AGGCTTTGCAATAGAAATGAATAATTTTTTTTTATTTTTGTTTATAATTTTAAAAAGATTTTTTGGATAGACAAAACGCGATATTAAGACATGAGGGGATTGGCATGTAAGCTTATAAGTTAGTTTTAATGATAATAAAAAAAAAAATAAGAGAGAGAAAGAGAGAAAGAAGAGTGAAGAGAATGCAATAAAAGGTCACTTTTATTTAAACACACGGATCTTAATTTTTTTTCCAGTATCCTTTGCCAATTGTTTATTTAAGAGAATGTCTTGGATACTTGCAGATTAACTAAAAATAATTTTTACACAAATTCTTTTATATCTTGCACTGGAGGGTTTATTGTAAAAGAAGTTCCATCTTTCTTTATGAAATGGAAAAAAAATAAATAAAAATAATATTCTTTTTTTTTACTTGCAATAAAAGAGGTAAAAAAAAAGAATGAAAATGATAGTTGTTGCAGAGTTGTGTGCATTGATTGAACCTAACACGCGTGAGGTGTGGCTACAGCCTTTCTAAACGTTTGCATGATAAAGGCGGATCTTTAGAATAAAAAAAAGAGCATATATATTAACAATAAACAGGCGTGAGTCCAGAAGGTCCTGTCACAGGATTATAAAGATACTTGTTACACCTTTATTTTGTTTGATTTTTTGTTTATTTTTTTTTTTTTTGGAGGGTTCATTTTTCATATAACTTGAATTTATGGACGCCCGATTGGGAATTGTAAGCTTTTGATTAATGGACTAACATTTGACCGTAGTTCTCTTTTTTTTATTAAAACTTTTCGATCTTTAAAAGTTATCTAAAGGTGGAGTGGATTATTGTAAAGATTATGACAGATTATGGGAACATTACTTGACTTGGATAAAGAAGCTACTATATTAGAAAAAAAACAAAATTATTTGTATAATAAAAAATTTTATTCTTCCTTAAAGAAAACAAAAAAAAAAGACTTCTTTGAAAAAAGTTATTGACTTGCGAGTGGATAAATTATTAGGTCTTCTTATGACTATGGCTGGTATATACCACACAATACTTTTATTCCAAAACATATATTGAATTGAGTTGATTCAGATGAAATTATAATTATAATTATAATTATTTATTAAAAATACACGTATTTTTATATTATCTCTGATGCTTTTTATTTTTGTTGAAAAAAAAAGTAATAAATGATTTTTATATCTTCTTTTTTCCCCCCTTTCACCTTGTTTTTTCAAGCTTCTCAGCTTACTTTTTAGGTGTTATTTTTTTTTTGCCCTTTTTATTTGTGTAATTTTCATTTTTCATTTCTCATTTTTTTTGTATAATATATAAATAATTGAAAATTTCTCCTTTCTTTCAAGTATTCTTTTTTTTTTCTCCCCTTTCTTTTTTTTCTCTCTCTTTCTTTCTTTTAGCTTAACAAATCATTATCAAAAGAGTTATATAGAATCTAATCTCTTTTCTTATTTCTCTTTCTATCTTTTTTTTTTGTTTTTTGGCTGGTGTCATTTGCCCTCATCTTTGTACACCATATTCAAACAATTTCTTAATCACATTTGCTTTTTTTTTTCTTCTTTCCCACAATCAACCCCATTCCGGTGGGAATTTTTATATTTATATATATTTATATACATATTTTTCTACACTTTTGATTGATTGATTTATTTTTTTATTTTTTTTGTTTTTGTTTCCTTGTAAGTATAACTATGTCTCACACTCTTTCCTGGGCTGCTTATTAACAAGTGAATTTTTTTTCCCTTTTTTTTTATTTATTTATTTTTATTTTTATTTATTTTTTTTGATATACAATTATAGGCTGAGAGTTTATTATTCATCAAAACAAATTTACACACTGCAACGTTACCTCCTTTTTTTCTACGCGCTTTCAACACATTCCAAAGTTTCTTTTGCATTTACTTGACAACACACAGACGATAGAGGAAAAAAAAAAATTAAAAATAAAATCTTCAGATCTTTTAAAATCTTTGTTTTTTAATCCTTTTCTCTCTCTTTTTCTTATTTATTTTTTTTTAGCTCTGTTTCCTTTTTTTTTACCCCCTCCCAATTCAACATCTTTTAGTTTCTTTCTAGAATCCTATTCTCTCAATTAGCTTCAAAGGGAGTAAACCATAGAAATATAAATCTCCCACACCATCCTTTTTCTTTCTTTCTTTCTTTGCTATAGAATTAGAGCAAACTAGAAAAACAAAAAAAAAACTTCTCTCCCCTTTTCAAATCCCTAAGGGAAACATCTGGTTAAAGAAATTTACTCCACATCGCCATGTCGAGATTGTGAAGCTCACAAAGATTTGTTTTTTTTACATTAGAATCTCTCCCAATTTTTAAATCAACTTTATCCGTCACGTTTTTTTTCTAAAGTCCAGCAGTACTTTATATATATATATTTTATTCGACTCTTTTGAAACAGCAAAAAACTTCCCAGCAATATCTATTCTCATTTCGAAAAAGAGTTGTTTCAGTTTTTTTTTTTCTCTTTTTCTCTTTTTCTCTCACTTATCAATTATTTTCTTTTTTTGAAAAAATCATATACCTTTTGGTAATTTCCGGACAATTGTTTATCAAGTAAGTAAGTTGTTGTTGTTTTTTCTATTTTAGCCCATTATTTTCTTCTTCTTTTATCATCATCCTCATGTTTCGTCTGTTCTAGACCATAATTTTCCTGCGACACATGTGAGCTATTTAGTTCCTTTTTATTTTTTTTTTCTTCTGGTCTTGTCGCTACATCATTTTCTTTGCATAAATTGGACTTTCCAAACAGGCAAAAATACCCCTTTTTTCTCTTACTTTTGTTCTATTTTCTCGGATTCATGCAATACTCATCTGCATGAATCTCCAAATACCCTTTAGTCGCTTCTATTTTTAAGCCTTTCTTTTCTTTCTTTTTTTTCTTTATAAGCTTAAGGGTCTTCTTGTTCATGCGTTCTTTTGTTTTCATATCAATATCTCCTTGTTTTTTTTTGCTTTTCTAATGAGTATGATGTTTGGTAATGACCATACAAATGTGCGTTTCAGTAACATTATCCTTTTGAAAAGAATTAAAAACAAAATGTCAAGTGAGCCTTTGGACCAATACCGTTACACTTTTTTTTATTTTTTTTCTCCCTTCATCTTTTTTTTGCTTCGTATCTTTTTAAAATTTTTTATACTGTCGAGAGGCTGATCAAGATTAATATGTTACACATAAGTAATGTATATATATATATATATATATATCCCAACATCTCTTTCTCTTTTTCTTCTTTCTCTTGGGGGCGTGAGAAAAATAAGGAATTTATTTTTTTTTAATTTCTTACCTTGTCATTCGTTTCTTAAAAGGCCTTTATTTTTTTTTTTTCAACTACAATGATTTCAAATAAATCTTTGTACTAACTTTCGTTTAGCAGTTTCTTTTTCATTTATCAACTTTTACATTATTATTATTATAATTCTTGTTTTTTTTCTTTTTCTTTTGATTATTCCAACTTATCCTACATTCATTTGAATATCATAAACTATAAGCATTCTACATTCATTCAACCATCAATCTTCTTCATTCGCTCCTTTAATTTCTATCCAGCAATTCTATTTTAGAAAAACTTCATTTTATTCTTTCCAGTTCTCTTTTTTTTTTTTTTGATTTATTATTTTCCAGCACACAGTTGTTATGTCAATACCCACGGACCCGCAGACTCCTTTGCCCCAGAAACTCAACTTTTGCACCTGGTAAGTACAGACAGATTTGAGCTTTTAAATTAAAATCTTAATTTTTTTTTCCCCCAAATAAAAAAAACTTTGCTTTCTTTCTTTCTTTCTTTCTTTCTTTCTCACTACTGCCTTTATTATTTATAAAAGCTATTCACTTATTTATTTCATTCCTCTTTTTCAAATAATTATGTTTTTTCAAATCAAAAATAACATGTATCCATTTTTTTTTCTTACACTTCTTATATCCTTTGTTTTTTTTTTATTTTATTCAAAATGCCCCAAATGAAAATGAAAACTTTTCACTCCTTTAAATTCTTTTTTTTTTTTTTTTCAAATGCTAACCTTTCAAAATCTCTTCCATCCTCAACTCTTTCACTTGTTGAGATTTTTTTTTTTTTTGCATTCTTTTTAGCCTATTATTAGCATCATCATCTTCTTCTTCTTATCAACAACAACAAAGTCCTCTGGTCTGTTCTTTTAAAACTCCCCAGATAATAAATCCCCTTCAGCCATTGCCAAACTCTTCGCGCTCACAAGTAGCAGCAGTAGCAGTAGCAGCAGCAGCAGCAGCAAATTATTCTTCATCCTCAAAGTCTCATCCAACACAAAGTCTTGTCACAACTTTCCGAAAGACTCAGAATCATCATCATCATCATTACTTGTATTCACCAACATCATTATCAACAACCTGGCAGTTATTTCCGTCGCTCCTTTATTCAAACATTGCCAGTTTATTGAATCCCCTTTCTCATATTGGTCTATTTTTACATCTTTAATTATTACACCAGAAGCTTACTTAAACCCTGCTTATCCCATTTAAGATTTCAGACTTTTTGCCTCCTCCTTCCTCCTTCCTCCTCCTCCTCCTCCTCCTCCCAATCTTCCATATTTTTTTTAGTCCCTCCAGCGCGCGCGCTCCTACACTGCAAAAAAGCAATTTTATAACGTCCCGCGCCCAATAATATACCGCGCACAGCCCTTTTTTGTTTTTACCACCACCACCAACAACAACAACAACTTTAAGCTCTTCTTTCATCTGCCCTTTTTTTTTCTTTTTTTTTTTTTGCTCACTTCTCTCTCTCTCTCTCTCTCTCTCTCTCTCTCTCTCTATCTACCTCACACCTCACACCTCACACCTCACACCTCCCCTCCCCCCTTTTTTTTCACCTTAAACCTTGCGCAGTACTTCACATACCCTTATTCTGCCCCCTTTCCTCTATTCAAACATCCTCCCTCTACCACTCATTCACTCACTCACTCATTCTCCCTCTCTCCCTCTCTCTCTTTTTCTTCCCTACGCAAATAGTCTATGTCCAAGTTGTCTTCGTCCTTCGACTATTACCCCTATTATCTAATCCCAGCCATCACCCGCTACTCCAAAAACTCCGGCACTGAAAACACCGTCTTCTCCATCTACATCACCTACGCGCAGCCTGTCCCGGACACGTCGCTTCTCCAGCAGGTCTTATCGGTATCCTTTGGCAATTACAGAATCACAAACCCTACCATCCATCCAGACACTAGCGGTAGTCCAAACTCCTTTTCCGCCTCAGTCAAAGCCCCACCTTTAGTCTTTGCGCTCGGTGCCCAACAGCAGCAACAGCCCTCCGTGCAAGACACCCAGGTGCCTGTCAGTCTCGTGGTTCAGAATCAAGACACGACCAAAGACCCCCAGTCTCTTTATGTGTGTCATTTTACATACGAGCTTATTCCTAAACAACCAGCCTCTCTTCCCCCACCTCCACTCCCCACACATTTACAACAACAACAACAACAACAACATCCAGATCCCACTAAGCGAGAAGAATCAAATCTCGCAACTGTGCCACTTGGTAGTAGCACAGAAACTTCATCTCTTACCGTATTACCCCCAGGCTCCACAATAACACAAGTTCATCCGGGTATCAGCCAGCAGCAGCAGCAGCAGCAGCATTCTTCAACAACTTCCTCCTCTTCTTCTTCCAGTGTCATCGATCCACGCGTTGTGTCACCAGAAAACATAATACCGGGTAGTCTAGTAGTCAATCCACAATCTGCCAGTCAAAACATTCTCGGGTATTTTAATCATTCTTCAAGTGTTGCAAGCTGTTCCCAGCAAAAAATCCATTACGTGGGCTCCACAGCAACTTCTCCAGTCACTTACCACCAACAACCCAAAACAGGCGGTAACCAAGAGTATACCACCCAACCAGACACTAGCCGCTCAGGTATAGACTCTCCACAAGTTCTCTTGCAAAGCATGGGCACCGCCAGCTTACAATCACAGCAGTACAAGCCTCCACCGCCGCCACTGCCACCGCCACACCATCAAGGGGTATCCACAGCTTCATCGTCCATGTCACCATTAGACTCGGCAACCTATGTCCCGGTATCTTCTCATTATCATCATCATTCTCCTTCATCATCTGTCACAACTACTTCCTCCGCATCGTCGTCAATTACAACCACAACCTCTTCAGGGTACATGGATGCAACAACGTACCCTCGCACATCTGGTGCTGGACCCCCAGCGCCGCAGTCGCAACAACAACAGCAGCAGCAACAACAACAACAACAGCAGCAGCAACAACAGCAACAACAGCAACAACAGCAACAGCAAACACACATCTATTACCAACAAGCAGCACCGTCATATTACCAGCAAGGGTATGAGCTCAACACACAAACAGCCGCATACGATCCAGCTGCCACCACAGGTATGCCGGACCTATCTGGTTGGGGAGGTATCAGTGGGGTTGCAACCGCTGCAGGTGGAGCAATCGGGTACTACCAGCCTCGAGTCATTAGCACACCACAGCAACAAGCCCAAGCTCAACAGCAGTTGGGACTTGCCAGTGTGACTGCCTCACAAATGCACCCTCAAATGGGCATGCAATCTGCACCCATGATGTATGGACAGTTTGATCCGTCCGCCATTGGGATCCCCAATTTGGTTCGAACAACCGCGTTGTCACAAGCCACCATGAGCCTAGGGCTTGGAGGTATGCCACACGACCCGCTAATCAGTGAATCTACCAAAGCTAGTCTAGAAATCATGGGAAATCTGGACCACATGACTCAAGAATGGACAGAACAGGAGAACCAAGCTCGAAGGCGACTAGTCCAGTTTAAACGGACACAGCATGGGGCTGTGGTGCGGGTACAATTCTTCCCCCTAGAGGCGGACCAGTACACGCAGCACACGCCGTGCATTAGCTGTATTTACTGGGCTGAGCGGAACGAATGTTTTGTGACAAGTGTAGACTGCATTTACTTGCTGGAGCAGCTCATCAATAATAAATTTACTGTTGAGGAGAAGAACCGTATCCGTCGCAATCTTGAGGGGTACCATCCGTTGACCGTATCCAAGGGCCGTGCAAGTTCGGGTGAGTTTTTCAGACTCATCATGTCCTTCAGCTCGCCAAAGCCCAGAAACATTGAAAAGGATGTCAAAGTGTTTCAGTGGTCACAGTTGGGCCGGGCTCTCCAAAAAATTGTTGGAAAGTATTCTGCAGACTATGGTGGACATGCTGCCAGTTTCGGGTATGCTGGGGCTAGTTCATATCATCCGCAGCACCAAATCATTCCGCTGCATAGTCAACTATCGTTTGCCCAAGTACAAGCTCAAGTTCAAGCACAACAACGTGCTCATCAACAGCAGCAGCAGCAGCAGCAACAACAACAACAACAACAACAACAACAACAAAAATCCGTTGTTTCCACGCCGGCGCAAAATGCACCAGCACCACTTCAAGCTCCAGTCGGTGCCCCAATCTCGGTACCGCCGCCACCACCGCCACAACAACAAACAGGCGTAGAAGGTGAAGATAGCCGGCAATGGCCATTGCAATCGCAAGGGCCTCCACCGCCACATCAACATCAACATCAACATCAGCCACAGCAACAACCTCAGCAGGTGTTGCCGCCACGGACAAACCCCTCAGGCAATAACAACTCTCGAAATAATAGTGGAGGGTCTGGAGGGTCAGCATCTGGCGGAGCTGGGTCAATTCAAGATTTTCTTCCAACAGGGTATAGATAGATTCAAAAAAAAAAAAAAAAAAAGAAAAAGAAAAAGGAATTAAAAAAAATATGTTGACGCTAAATGTGTACAATCAGTTTTTTTTTCTTTTGTTCTTTCTTTCTTTTTTTTTTTTTTTTGTTCCGGGACACTTATTTTTTTGTTAGTAAACTTAATAGCTATAATAATAAATAAAACGTATAAAAAGATTAAAAAATTTAACTTACAGGTACAAAGAGTAAAGTAGTAATTGTAAGAGTAAGAGTAAAGTATAAAAGTTGAAGGAAATGAGCATGAATATATTGGAGAATTGTTGTTGTAAAAAAAAAAAAAAAAGAGCAGGATAATGAATAGTTGATATTTAAGAGGGTATTTATTTATTTCAAGGAAAAAAAAAGTCTGAATAGTGTGAAGTGAAAAAAAAAAAAAAAAAAAAGCAAGGAATTTTCTTTTTTAGGATAACGCATTTTTGTAGAAACCTTTTTTTTTTGGTTCAATGTAGTATTTATATTCAAAAACGTAAAAAAAAAAAAAAGTGTAGTAAAAGAATAAACACAGTATAAAAAAAATCAATAATTCTGATCAGAGTTAAGAGAAAAAGGGAAGAAAAAGGGTATATTAGTTTGCTTGTGTGGGTCCCAAGAGGCCCTGACAAGTGGACAATTTTGAGAATAGAAACAAAAAAAAAAAGAGGCTTTGTACATTCCAATGAAATATGGAATGGAGGGATGGTAGAGAAAATAAAAGATTATAAAGTCAAGAGAAAGAAAAGAATGGTTTTTAAATGAAATGTTGGTGATAATAATCATGGAAAATAATAAGGGAATAGAGAAAAGACAACAATGATGGTAACTGTGTATTATTAAGGCAAGTTAGGATGATTTTTTCCCCCACTGATAACTATAGAGGAAATAGTTTGCGATTTATTGTTTGTGGATGACATGGTTGGATTGAAGATAAATTTCAGTTGGTTGAGATGTCTGAGCTTTTGTATTTTTTTTTTTTTTTGTTCTTGCTAAACAAAGGGTGGTTTAAGGTGAGAAAGATTCTAAAGTAGTGTGAGAGTATGAAAAATATTTTTAAGAAGATAGTTTGGTACGTTGATGGAGTGTAATTAAGTAAGAGAAGATACAAGTTTTAAAAAGAGAATGAATTTGTAGATTCTGAAATTTCAATAAATATATATAGAAAAAAAGAGTTATAAAAGACAAATATTTATGAAGGAATAGAGAAATGAAAAAAAAAAAAAGGGAATAAAGAACGGGACCTAAGATGCTCAAAAAGGAAGGAGCGATGGGATAAGAACTTTTTAAGGTTTTTTTGATTCCACAGTGCGTTTCTTGGTAAGGTTGGTACAAGGCGTGGGGTTTGGGTTGAAAGATGGTAAGGGGTAAGGTAGTATTGAAGGTAGTCAAAGTGTGAAAGAAAGAAAGTAAAGATTAGAACTTGGATATATATATATTATTTTCAAAAGTATAGGGTAGTTAGTTGTTGTAGGTAATTGCTGATTGATATTTGATATTTGAGATTTGAAATTTGTAAGTGGAAATCTTTGGAGTATTTGGTAATAATTGGATATAAATTGGATATAGGAGGGTATTTAGTTTATATATGGAATAAACACAGTTAGCTATACCATGATGATTTGATATATATATATATATATATATATATATATATATATGGTAGATGATAGATGATAGATGATAGATGGTAAGAAGAAAAGTTTATGAATAAATAAATGGGAGGTTTTGTTAAGTAAAAAAAAAAAAAAAAAAAAAAATTTCTCTCTCTCTGGGTTTGTTAATTATTAAATGGCAAGTGTCCTTGTTAAAAATTGAATCATTTTATTATGCTGGTTTTTGTTTTTTTTATAATTTTTTTTTTTTTTTTTTGGGGGGAAAATATAATAATGCTTTGTGTGTATATATTTGGATAATAAAAGAAAAGAGTAGACTAAAGTATAACAACAACAACATCATCACTCAAAAAATAGGTTTGTGTGTATTATGGAGAAGTGTTTTTTTATAGAGAGAGAAGGAGGAGAAGAAATGTAATGATTGTTAATGATTATGTAAGATGGATTAGTAATGATAATTTATTATTATATAATCATTTTGTAATAAATTTAACTATTCAACATTTAGTTAGGTCTATATACAAATTTGTAAATTTTTTATTTTTTTTTTTGAATACAAAGTTGAATATAAAAAAATTAAATTAAATTAAATTAAATTAAAATACAAGTAGCTTATATTATTAAAGGGAAAAAAAACGAAATTAAATTTTTTTACCCAGGAAAATGAAAAATGAAAAAATGAATGAATGAATGAAGAAAGAAAGAAAGAAAGAAAGAAAGAAAGAAAGAAAGAAAGAAAGAAAGAAAGAAAGAAAGAAAGAAAGAAAAAAGAAAGAAAGAAAGAAAGGAAAAGATACGGCTTTAGAGGAGAGGCTCTCGGAGATCTATCAGTTTTTGATTTTTGAAAAAATAAAATAAAAAAAGGACTGTTTAGGAAAAATAATGGAGAAAAAAAAAAAAGGAATTTTTTCTATTAGAGTAAAAGAATTGTTCCATTATTTTTTTATTTTTTATTTTTTTCGGAGTGATCATTTGAGACAACCGTTAGCAATTGTTAATTACTTTAACATGAATGGTTGTTTTTTTTTTAAAAAAAATCTTTTTTTTTCTCTAAATTTAGCCTGATCAGGCGATTGTTTATAATTTTTTTTTAATTTTTTTTAGGAAGGAAGGAAGGAAGGAAGGAAGGAAGGGAAAAAAAGAAGGAGAGGTATGAAAAGTGGAGGAATGTTACGTATGGGTTTTTATTTTTTTTTTTCTGGGGTAATAGTGACAGGTTATTCAATGAGTTACAGTCTACTATGGAGTAAGCTTTAAAAATTAATCCAGTGTAGTTATTTACTGCACAACAACCAATGGTGGAAACTTTTTCCGGGAAAAGAACCGTTGAGGAGGAGAGGAAAAGGATGAGGATGAGTATGTGAATGGTTATTATTAATATGATTTGTGGTTAGAACAAGCTCCGGGGGTTCTAAGGACTTCCGGAGAAAACGGTTTCGGGATTGATGTCCGAAGAGAAAGTGAAGCGGATAAGAAAGAATATATATATATATATATATACAGTAAGTACTTGTATTGTTGATGTCATGATATGATATCTTCCATTATCATTCATAGAGTGTGTGAAATGGAACAATTGATAAAGTGATTGCGGGACATGTGGCTGGAGGAGGTGGAGGGGGCGAGAGTATTTTGTATTTTTTTATTATTATTATTATAATTACTGTATATAATACTACAAAGGTTCTTGTTGAGTGTATTTATTTTAAAGCATAGAAAGAAGGTTTGCCAATAAAAGTTCATTGATTGGTAAGAGCCGCAATTATAGGCTGGTCTTCTACTTGGTATGGTAAAGTATGGCACGAGAGTATGGAATTATTTGACGGTTTAATTTTTAAAAAAAAAAAAAAAAAAAAAAAAAAAAAAAATTTAACAAAACATAGACAAAATCTGGGGAAAGCCGTGGCAATGGAACAATTCAGAAGACTAACAAGTAACACCGGTCAAATCAAAATCAAAATCAAATCAAAACAAAAAGGTTTCGGTGTCATTTGAAGTATGTTAACTACTACTACTACTATTATTATTACTACTAGGGGGGGGTAAAGGTGTTGTGTTAAAGGTTAAGGAATTTTTTTAGTTTTGACTTTGTAGACAACAATCATTTTATTATTTTATTTTATTTTATTTTATTTTCCAAGACTTAATATAAATGGATCTTGTGGCAAGTAAATCTCTTGTGTGTTGTAACTATAAGTATTAAAAAAGCATTTCGGAGGACCAAAAGCTTATGATTGGCTGAAAGTTACGGCCGAAAGTCGGTCCACGTGATTAAATCTGGGGAAATTTTAATTTTTTTAATTTTTTTTAATTTTTTTTTAATGAAAAAGCCTTGCCGCAGGACGGGCCAGCCAGTCACAAGACAGAGGGAAGGAGGGAGGGGTGGTAGGAAAACATTTAAAGTGTTGTACTTAAAGTGATATTACTTTAAATGCAATAAAAATATTAAAAAGAGGTGCAAGCAATCAATCAATATATATGGCTTTTTTTTTTTTTTTTTTTTTTTCATCTATTGTAGATATTATTATTATTATTATTATTATTATCACACAGACAAAAAAAAAAAAGTCAATCAATCAGAGCCGACCGTCCGATCGACCGACCGGCCATGGTGGGGGTTTATTTATTTATTTATTTATTTTTTTAATTTACTTGGGATTAGATTTTATTTTTTTTAAAAAAAAAAAAAAAAGAAAAATAGAATAGAAAGACGAGAAAGAATGAGGGTTTATTTTTTGAATAATAAGTAAGACTCAAGTCCGAGTTAGGAGGGAAACTTTTTTTTTTTTTTTTTTTTAAAGTAAGAAGAATAAGAATAAAAATAAGAAAAATGGGTGTATAAATCCATCTATCCGGAGATTGTTTAGAGAAGTTATTATATATATATATATATATAGATTTATTAAATTAAATTATAAAATAAAATAAAATAAAATAAAATAAAATAAAATAAAATAAAATTAAAATAATAATAACATCTGATAAAGAAGTTCAAAAATTTAATTTTTTTTAATTTTTTTATTTTTTATATATATACATATACACATTAGAGAACCCGTCTGCGCATTTTTATTAGGTCCGAGGACAGCAGCCATTTTGTTTGTATATATATATATAAATGAGCCAGCCAGAAAATGACGAATGAGAAACGACAGGGTTTGGGCTTACATTAGTTAACGCCGTCATTGGCTGTGGGGTTGATGGTTGTAGTGGTGGGGTACTTTGTGTGTATATAAAAGTAGTATTTAGTAGAATTTAATAGCATTTAATAGTAATAATAGAAGATACTGGTTGTCTTTAAGAAATGAAGGACTTTGAGAACAACATGCAGTAGCAGTAACAATAGCATCAGTAGCATCAGTAGCATCAGTAGCATCAGTAGCATCAGTAGTATCAGTAGTATCAGTAGTATCAGTAGTATCAGTAGTATCAGTAGTATCAGTAGTATCAGTAGCATCAGTAGTATCAGTAGCATCAGTATTAGTTTATTTATGAACTTTCAAAGTGATATGAGTAAAAAAAAGGAGAATTTAAACTTATTTGAACATTATCTTCTGTAGAATCAATTAATCAATCTATTTAATCTATTTAATCTATTTAATCTATTATTCAATTCAATTCAACTCAATTCAATTGATACTTTAATAATAATAAACAAATACAATTCCATTCATTGTCAATACACAACTTATTCTTCATTCAATCCACCAATTTAGTTAACTCTTCCGCAGTTTCTATTATTTCTATTATTTCTATTATTTTTATTATAATAATTATAATAATTATAATATGTGTGTAGGTGTTTGTTTGTTTATTTGTTTGTTTGTGTAGGCCTTTTTTTCTTTTTTTTTCTATTTGCCTTGTCAAAAAATACATCACACACTGCGCAGCCGGCCCCTCGGCACAAGAGGCGTCGCCTAGTAATTGTAATTCCAGTCTTATCATTGGCCAATCCAAATTCTCACCAAAAATCCTCTGGCTCATCTTTTATATAAAGCAGCCATTTCCCCACCAGTTTCTCAAAATTTTTTTTTTCTTTTCTTCTTCCTTCCCTTTTTTTTTTTCCCCTCAAGGATTTCCTTCTAAGAAAAAAAAAACCCACACACATACATATATACACAATGTTGTCTGCCGTCAGACTTCAAGCTCTCAAGCAGGTATGCAATTTATCAATCTATTAAATCTATTAATTAAATCCATCCATCCATCCATCCATCCATCCATTCAGTTCAATTCAAATTTAAATTTAAATTTATTCTATCCAATTCAATCCAATCAAATGTAATCAAATTCACAATCTAACTTTTATTATTATTATTATAGGGCTCCATCAGATCTACTGCTAGAGGTCTCGCCACTGCGTCTACTTCCCAAATCACCCGCGACTCCAAGGTCCACCAGAACATCCACGAGTCTGTTAACTTCCTCAACTACAAGAAGAACCTCGAGAATGTTGAGATTGTCAAGGCTAGACTTGGCCGCCCCCTGACCTACGGTGAGAAGATTCTCTACGGTCATCTCGACAAGCCCCACGAGCAGGAGATTGAGCGTGGTGTTTCTTACCTTAAGCTCAGACCCGACCGTGCTGCCTGCCAGGACGCTACTGCCCAGATGGCCATTCTTCAGTTCATGTCTGCCGGTCTCCCTGAGGTCCAGACCCCTGTTACTGTCCACGCTGATCACTTGATTCAGGCTCAGGTTGGTGGCCCCAAGGATTTGGCTCGTGCTAAGGAGCTCAACAAGGAGGTTTACGACTTTTTGGCTACTGCCACCGCCAAGTACAACATTGGCTTCTGGGGCCCTGGCTCTGGTATTATCCACCAAATTATCCTTGAGAACTACGCTTTCCCCGGTGCTCTTCTCATTGGTTCCGACTCTCACACTCCTAACGCCGGTGGTCTCGGTCAGCTCGCCATTGGTGTCGGTGGTGCCGATGTCGTTGACGTTATGGCTGGTCTTCCCTGGGAACTTAAGGCCCCCAAGTACATTGGTGTCAAGCTTACTGGTAAGCTTTCTGGCTGGACCTCCCCCAAGGATGTTATCCTTAAGCTCGCTGGTATCCTCACTGTCAAGGGTGGTACCGGTTTCATCGTCGAGTACTTTGGCGAGGGTGTCGAGGCTCTTTCTTGCACTGGTATGGGTACCATTTGCAATATGGGTGCCGAGATTGGTGCTACTACCTCTGTTTTCCCCTTCAACCCCCGTATGTCTGAGTACCTGAATGCCACTTCTCGTCCTGAGATTGCTGCTCTTGCTGAGCTTTACCAGAAGGACCTTCTCAAGGCTGATGAGGGTGCTGAGTACGACCAGGTTGTTGAGATTGACCTCAACACTCTTGAGCCCTACGTTAACGGTCCCTTCACTCCCGATTTGGCTACCCCTATCTCCAAGCTTAAGGAGGTTGCCGTCGAGAAGGACTGGCCCCTTGAGGTTAAGGTTGGTTTGATTGGTTCTTGCACCAACTCTTCTTACGAGGATATGTCCAGATCTGCTTCTATTATCCGTGACGCTATGTCCCACGGTCTTAAGGCTAAGTCTATCTACACTGTCACTCCTGGTTCCGAACAGATTCGTGCCACCATTGAGCGTGATGGTCAGCTCCAGACCTTCCTTGACTTTGGCGGTCTCGTCCTTGCCAATGCCTGCGGTCCCTGCATTGGTCAGTGGGATCGTCGTGACATTAAGAAGGGTGACAAGAACACTATTGTCTCTTCTTACAACCGTAACTTCACTGCCAGAAACGACGGTAACCCCGCCACCCACGCCTTTGTCACATCTCCCGATCTTGTCACAGCCTTTGCTGTTGCCGGTGACTTGAGATTCAACCCCATCACTGACTACCTCAAGGATTCTGAGGGTAAGGAATTCAAGCTCGCTGAGCCCTCTGGAGATGGTCTCCCCGTCCGTGGTTACGACCCCGGTATGGACACTTACTCTGCTCCTCCCGCTGACCGCTCTTCTGTTGAGGTTGTTGTCTCCCCCACTTCTGACCGTCTTCAGCTTCTCAAGCCCTTCAAGGCTTGGGACGGCAAGGACGGTATCGACATGCCCATCCTTATCAAGTCTCTTGGTAAGACCACTACTGACCACATTTCCATGGCTGGTCCTTGGCTCAAGTACCGTGGCCATCTCCAGAACATTTCCAACAACTACATGATTGGTGCCATCAATGCCCAGAATGGTGAGGCCAACAATGTCCAGAACCAGTTCACTGGTGAATGGAACGGTGTTCCCGAGACTGCCATTGCCTACAGAGATGCTGGCATTAGATGGGTTGTCGTTGGTGGCGAGAACTTTGGTGAAGGTTCTTCCCGTGAACACGCTGCCTTGGAGCCCCGTTTCCTTGGTGGCTTTGCCATTATTACCAGATCTTTTGCTCGTATCCACGAGACCAACTTGAAGAAGCAGGGTCTCCTTCCCCTTAACTTCAAGCACCCTGAAGACTATGACAAGATCAATGTTGACGACAAGATCTCTCTTGTTGACCTCAGCACTCTTGCTCCTGGCAAGACTGTCAAGATGGTTGTCACTCCTAAGGAGGGTGCCGCTTGGGAGACTGAGCTTACACACACTTTCAATGCTGAGCAGCTTGAGTGGTTCAAGTACGGTTCTGCCCTGAACAAGATGGCTGCTGCCATCCAGGCCAAGAAATAAATTGGTTAATTTTTTTCTTTTCTGATATATATAAAAAAAACTTTGACTATTGTAATAATAAAAAAATAAAAAAATTTTAAATTTACTTTTTGTGGAGGAGTGAAATGAGTGAGTGGTGGAGTTTGTTATCTATCTAATTGGTTGGTTGGTTGGTTGGCTAATTGAAGTTAAAGTTAATTGTAATTGTAACAAATTTATGTGTATATATTGTAATATTTGTATACTTTATATATTATATATTATTCTTTATATACTTTATATTATTTATTATACTTAAAGCAATTCATTAAATGAGTCTACACTTTTGAAGGGAGAGGCTTTCCCATTTGTAACAGTAATGATTTTGAGTTGAGTTTTAGGAGTCAATGGAGGGGTTGGGAAGACCGTTTTTTGGGAGGCAGCTAATAGTTGAGCAGCTTTAAGTTCGATCAATTGAGATTGAGATAAGATTGATTTTGAAGGTAAATTTTGGGCAATTGAAGGCCATAATGGTGCGATAATTGTTGATATGAAGAAAGACCAGGAAGATGAGATGATTGAAGAAACATTAGAAGAAAGACTTGAGACAAAAGAAAAGAAGGAAAGAGGAGGTGTTGGAACAGATGTTAAAAGAAGAGTTGTTGGGCCATGGATACGAACATATGGAAGAGAAGTTGATTTGGGCCAAAGGGTAGGAAGAGAGGGTAATTTAGGTAATTTAGGTAATTTGGGTAATTTAGGAAGAGATGGAAGTTTAGAAGAAAACCAGTTAGAGATGACTGAAGGTTTAGATTGTTGTTGTTGTTGTTGTTGAGGAGAAGGAAGAGATGATGATGAAGAAGAAGGTAGTGACTTGTGAAGGGTTTCTGGAACAATACTTGGTCCATTAGGAGAAAGGGCGAGATAGGCTAGAAGAGCAGGTTTAGAAATGACTAATGATTCGTTTTCTGCCAACTCAACCTTATAAACAGCAGGCGAAGAATTATTTTTTTTTGAAAAAGATTTTGTTGCTAAAGCTAAAAGACCTCTTCCAGTTACAATTGTAGTTTTCCCCAAAGATGTTGAAGATTTTGATGAAAAGAAAAGTTCACTAGAAGTTGCAAGGTAAGCTTGAACAGTTGCATTTTGAGTTAAAACCCAATCAGCTTTACCATCTAGAGTTAAAACAGTATTTGCAGAACTTGAAGAAGTACCTTTAAGTAATAAAGTAGCAGGACCTGAAGAAGTATGTGTAGCAGAAAGAGCACCAATACCTGGGGCAGTTGGTGGTGAAAGGGAGAGTGAAGAAGCTAGGTTTGTAGAAGCCTGTGAGTGAGGGAAGAATGCAAGAAGAGCAGATTTACGAGAATGAAGAGTAGTTGATGGTGGAAGTACAACTCTAAGAAGTGAACCTGGGAGAGATGTAAAAGATGGGGGTATGATGTTCGGTTGTTGTTGTTGTTGGTCTTGGTTTTGGTTTTGGTTTTGGTCTTGGTCTTGTTGTATGGGCGAAGGTGCTGAGACTATGGATGATGATGATGATGATGATGATGATGATAGAGGAGGTAATGAGAATGCAGGAGCAGGAACGATATGAATATGTCTACGGTATGAGTAGGCATTGATTAATTTTTTAGGGTATAAGTGATGATGATGATAATGATTATGTTTGAAGGGCATTTTATGGATGGTCATTTTTTTGTATAATAATAAAATTCTAAATTTTTCTAAATTTCTAAAGTTTTGTGAATATCACGAAAAAACGGTGTGTGTGTGTGTGTGTGTTTTTTTTTTGGGCTGTATGAAAAGTTGCTGGTTGGCTGGTTGGATTTTGCAATTGGATAAAGTGGGTTAGGGTAAGTTATATTAATATAAATTTTTTTTAAAAAAAGGTATAAGTAAATGTGGTACTTGAATAAGTAAATTTAATACTGAAGACATAAATAATTTTATTTTTTTTTAATTTTTTTTTATTGTGGGCGATAAGAGATTTTTATTCTTTTTTAAAATAAAAAAAAAAAAAAAAAAAAAAAAAAAAAAAAAAAAATTGTTGTGTAGATTTAAAAAAAAATTAAAATTAAAATTATAATTGAAAAAAACTCAATTGAAAAAAAAAAAAAGAATTAAATAGAAATATTTTTTATTTATTTATATTTTTGGTTAAAGAAAAAAAAATTTAAAAATTTAAAATTGGCGCAGTTATTTATTTATTTATTTATTTATTATAGTTGTAAATAGTTGTATATAATTTGTTGTTGCTGTAGTTGTTGCCACGAAGGTTGTTGCATTTGCGATAACATTTTAATTTATAATTATAATAATGACAATATAATATAAAAATAAAAAAAAACGTGCGGAAAGGCGGCCGGCTGGTCCACAAAGACCCGAACGTGGCATAAAGAAAGAAGGAAAGAAAGATGAAGAAGAAGAAGAAGAAAAAGAAGATGAAATAATAATAATAAGAATAATAAGAAAAAAAAGGATTAATATGCATAGAATTGAAAAAAAAATAAATAAAATAATAATAAAAAAACTGGCCATTTTTTAACAAAAAAAATAAAAAAAAATAAAAAATGGGCTTAATAGAAAAGATAGCAGTTGTTAAACAGACATAATTCAATTCAATTCAATTGAATTCAATTCAATCAAAATCTATTTAAATTTATTTCTTTTAATTAAAATCAACTCAATTCAATTAAAATCTACTCAATTGACTTTTATTTTTTTTTTAAAAAAATAAATAAATAAATAAAAATATTTAAAAAAAAAAAAAAAGAAACCCCCCGCGGAGGTCATTTGGAATTTTTTTTTTTTTTCCATTTGAAAAGATTATCATTATAATCATCATAATGATGATTATAATCATGATCAAATAAATTTAATAGCAAATCCTTAATATTTTACTACTATTATTTTCTAAAATGCCGTATCTAAATGTATTTAAATTAAAAGGGACTATTTTTATTTTTTATATTATTTTATTATTTTATTATTTTATTATTTTATATTATATTTTATTTTATTTTATTATCTCTATTATATAAACTCTTTCTCTCTTTTGTCTGCAAATGGTCTGATGAAATCAATTCTTTTTAGTAGCAGTTCAACTTTTTAATCTCAAAAGTATAAAAAGCCACCTCTTTTCCCTTTCCTTCCTTTTTTTTTTTTTTTTCTTAATTAATTAATTTTTTTTTTTTAATTCCCATCAGTAATTCTTTTCTATATATATAAATCTTACAATACACAACAACAAAATCTATAGTTCTAACCATTTACAATTCTAATTAATAATCCCTCACAATGTCTGAAATTACCGTCGGAAACTACCTCTTTAACCGCATCAAACAAGTCGGCGTCGATTCCGTAAGTTATCCCTTTTCAATTCATTCATTCATTCATTCATTCATTCGTTCATTTTTATTTATTTCCTAACTAACTAACCAACTAATATCCCAATCTATAGATCTTTGGCCTTCCAGGTGACTTTAACCTCGCCCTCCTAGACAAAATCTATGAGGTCCCTGGACTCCGCTGGGTCGGAAACACAAATGAACTTAACGCCGGTTACGCCGCAGACGGTTATTCCCGTATCAATGGCCTCTCTGTTCTTATCACCACTTTTGGTGTAGGTGAACTTTCTACCCTTAACGCCATTGCCGGTGCTTATGCTGAACATGTCGGCCTCGTCCACATTGTAGGTGTCCCAGCAACTTCCTCCCAACAAAAACACCTGCTCCTTCACCATACCCTCGGTAACGGCGACTTCCATGTCTTTGACCGTATGTCTGCAGGTATTTCAGAAAAAGTCTACCTCCTCACGGAAAATAAGGACATCCCAGCCCTCATTGATGACGCAATCCACACCGCCAAACTTAAACAAAGACCCGTCTACATTGCCATCCCAACAAACGTCGGCGAACTTAAAGTCCCTAAATCAAAACTCGACACTCCTATCGACTTTAGTCTTCCTCCAAATGACCCAGAGGCCGAACTCGAAGCCCTTGAGGAAGTTGAAAAGTCAATTGCTGCTGCTAAAAACCCAATCATTCTTGTCGATGCTTGCGCTTACCGTCATGGCGCCGTAGAAGAAACTAATGCCTTGGCAAAACTTACAAAGTTCCCCGTCTTCACCACCCCTATGGGCAAGTCTGTCATTGACGAAGACTATGAACGATACGGAGGTGTCTATGTCGGCTCTCTTTCATCCCCAGAAGTCTTCAAGGCTGTCGAAGCTGCTGACCTTATTCTTTCTGTCGGTGCTCTTCTCTCGGATTTTAACACTGGCTCTTTCACTTACTCTTACAAGACTAAAAATATTATCGAGTTCCACTCAAACTACATTCAAATCCGTAGAGCAACCTACGAAAATGTCTCTATGAAACCCCTCCTCGCTAAACTTGTTTCCCAACTTACCCCTCCAGACTTGCCTTTGGCCCCAGTCCCCAAGCTTGCCCGTGAACCCGCAGAGCCTGCAACTGAAACTCCACTCACCCATAAGTATCTTTGGCCCCGTATCTCGGGCTTTTTGCAATCCGGCGACATTATCATCACGGAAACTGGTACTTCCTCCTTTGGTGTCACAAGCATCGTCTACCCTGCAAAAGTCAATGGTATTTCCCAAGTCCTTTGGGGATCCATTGGTTACTCTGTTGGTTGTGCTCTTGGTGCTGCTTTGGCTGCTCAAGAACTCGACCCCTCCCGTAGAGTTTTGCTCTTTGTTGGTGACGGTTCGCTCCAGCTTACCCTTACTGCCATCTCCACCATGGTCCGCTGGAAAACAAACCCTTATTTGTTTGTTCTTAACAATGACGGTTACACCATTGAGCGTCTTATCCATGGCCCTGAGTCTTCTTATAATGATATCAAATCTTGGGACCACCAGCTTATCTTGCCCTTGTTTAAGGCTGACCCTGAAACAAGTGAGTCGATTGTTGTTAAGACCAAGAAGGATTTGGATACACTTTTCACTGATGAAAAGTTTAAGGTGCCCAATAAAATCCGTCTTATCGAGCTCATGCTTGACCGTTTGGATGCCCCAGAGTCGCTCTACAAGCAAGGTGAACTTACCTCCAAGACCAATGCTAGTTAGGACATGTGACTACAAGGTCAAGGTTTAAGTAGTATAAATTAAAAATATAAATATAAACATATAGGTTTAAGTTTTTTGTTTTTTGTCTTTTGTCTTTTGTCTTTTGTCGTTTTTTTTTTAATACAAAACTTTTATTAATTTATTAATTTATTAATTTATCTATATATACTCTTCACAACCACCATTAATGACCCCTTCAACAGACTGGCAATCAGATCCTAGAATAGCTTACGACCAAGCCCGGCGGTGCTGGATTTTTGAAGACGGAGACATTGAATACGTATACGACGAAACAGCTGGTCAATGGCGTGAAGACAATGGTGACGGCGAGGCCAACGAGGGAGGTACCACAGCTCCTCCTCCGCGCAAAAAACACAAAAAGCAGCAACAGCAGCAACAACAGAAACATGTCGAAGACAAGCGCGAGCGGCCCAACTGTGGTGTATATGTTTCCGGACTACCGCGGGATGTGGATCCAGAGCAACTGAAGACACAACTGGCAGAAGCTTTTGGCAAGTACGGTGTGTTAGCAGTTGATGCGGCGGGAGGTCCGCGTGTCAAGGTATATGGAGCTCGGGATGTGGATTTAAAGGAGAAAGATAATGAGAAAGATAAGGAAGAGAAAGAGAAACAAGTATTGGATTTGAAAGATAAAGATAAAGAAAAACTACAAGACTTAAAAGAAGAACCTACAAAAGAGGCAAAAGAACCAACAAAAGAGACTACAGAAGAGACTACAAAAGAACCAACAAAAGAGACTACAAAAGAGGCTACACAAGAACACAAAAAAGACCTAAACGGGGGCGACGCGCTTGTCATTTTCTTTCGACCAGAAAGCGTGGCACTGGCTGTTGAAATGACTGACAATGCCGATCTATGGCTACAAGGACCTGGCGGCCCGCCCACACGTGTGCACGTGGAGCCTGCGAAATTCAAGGCGAAGCCCTCGGACTCCAAGCCAGCTGAAAAAAAGACTGTGTCTGGGTACGAGAAAACTAAGGCGATGCGAGCGCGGGCCAAACTCGAGGCCAAGGTATCTACATGGGACGATGATGATGAGAAGGGAGGAAGTGGTGACACGAGGGCTGGAGCAAATAAGGCGAGATGGGCACGGGATGTTATTTTGGAAAATGTATTTGGGGTAGAAGAACTACACCCTGGTGGGAAGCCTAGTGTTGATGCTGGGGCTCTTGCTGAGCTTGAAGCGGATATTCTGAGTGGTGCGGAAGCTATTGGGGTTGTACGTGGGGTGACTGTTTATGATTTGGAAAAGGATGGAGTTGTAAGTGTTCGGTTTGAAAGTGCAGAAGAAGCAGAAGCATGTGTACGAGTGATGGATGGAAGATGGTTTGGAGGGAGAAAGCTAAGAGCAGAAATAAGTGATGGACGACGTAGGTTCCGGAAAAGTGGAGGTGGTAATAGGACTAAGACAGAGGAAGAGGAAGGTGGAGAGAAGGATGAAGAGGAAGAGAGATTGGAAGAGTTTGGTAAATGGCTTGAGAGAGATGAGAAGACGGAAAAGAGATGAGAGATGAGAGATGAAATAAAAAAAAAAAAAAAAAAAAGGTAGTGATGGAAATTCAATCAAAATGATTAAAAAGTGAATTACTTTTTTTAGGGTTTATGAATGTTGAATAGTTGGTTGATTTTGGGAAGAATAAAGCCTGGAAGTCTCAGTGAAGGTTTTTTTTTTTTTTTTTTTTTTTTTTTTCTACTGGAGAGACTTGATAACTGGGTAGTTTTTGAAGGTTTCCACTACTATATATAGTAGTTTAAAGAAAAAAAAAGCCAAAATCTTTTTTTTTTTCTTCCAGACCTCAAAAAATGTGATTGTAAAAAGAATTGGGGGGGTGGTTTAAGTCAGTTGTTTAGTCAATTTAATTATTGGATAACTGGAACAATGAATTGTGAAAAATATATAAGTGGTATTATTTATTTATTTTTATTTTCAATACAATTGAATCATGTTTTTATTAGAAGAGTTTTGAATAAAGTAAATTTAACATTTCAGTGAGTTTCTATGGAGGTTTGGAAAGGGAAGACTATTGATATATATGTTTAAAATAAAAAAAGAAAAAAAAAAACTAAAAAAATTGAGATTTATAAGTAGTATATATATATTTAGATTAGATTAGATTAGATTAGATAAGTTATTATTATTATTTTTAATTATTTTTAATTATTTTTAATTATTTTTAATTATTACTCTTTTTGAAGTTTTTCTAATCTACAAATGCTTTTTATATTTATCATATTTTACCTATTACTTTAAACTTACCAGGTAAATAATAACATATTATAAACTTATTTATATATAACCCTCTTTTACATACAATAAAATAAAACCTCCATAAAAGTTTCCACACAGCCAAAAAATCAAAAAAAAAAAAAAAATAAAATTTTTTTTTTTTTTTTTTTCTTTCACCACCACCACCATTTTCACCCACCTAACAACCACCAAAACAGGCAAATGAAAAAATTTTTCTTTCTTCTCCCATCACAACTTAAACTTTCATTTACATCACAACCACCACAACAACTTCACAAAACAACCCTCAGATTATTTTCATCTACAGCAGTCACAGAAGCTAAAAAGAAATCAAGAATGCCTCCAAAGAAAGCCGTCGAAGAAAAGAAAATCCTTCTGGGAAGACCAGGTAATAACCTTAAGGTAATTTATTCTTTTTTTTTTTTTTTTTTCGTTTTTGATCTATTCAATTTAGAAACTAACTACTTGATGATTTTTCATCTTTATCTTTATCTTAACAGAGTGGCATTGTTGGTCTGGCCAACGTCGGAAAGTCCACCTTTTTCCAGGCAATCACCCGCTGCCCTCTCGGTAACGTAAGTCTTTCTTTCTCTTTCTCTTTCTCTTTCTATCTTTAAATCAATTCCTCTTGCTAATCCCAATCAATACCAAGCCCGCAAATTACCCCTTTGCTACCATCGACCCTGAAGAGGCCCGCGTCATTGTACCTTCCCCACGTTTCGACAAGCTTTGCGAAATGTACAAGCCTGCATCTGAAGTCCCTGCTCACATCACTGTTTTTGACATTGCCGGTTTGACCAAGGGTGCACATGCTGGTGAAGGTCTGGGCAATGCCTTTTTGTCCAATATTCGTGCTGTCGATGCCATTTTCCAGGTCGTCCGCTGCTTCGATGACGCTGAAATTATCCATATTGAAGGTGATGTCGACCCTGTTCGTGATCTGCAAATTATTCTTGATGAACTGCGTCTCAAGGATATGGAGTTTGTTCTTAAGCACCTCGAAGGTGTCGAGAAGATTGTTAAGCGTGGTGGCCAATCACTCGAAGTCAAGCAAAAGAAGGAAGAAAAGGCCTTTGTCGAGGGTCTCTACAAGTACCTTGAAGATGGTAAGCGTATTGCTAACGGTAATTGGACCCCCAAGGAGGTTGAGATTATCAACTCAATGCTTCTGCTTACTGCCAAGCCTGCCATTTACCTTATCAATTTGTCTGAGCGTGACTACATCCGCAAGAAAAACAAGAACCTTATTGCCATTAAGGAATGGGTTGATGCTAACTCTCCTGGTGATGTCATTATCCCCTTCTCTGTGTCTCTTGAAGAGCGTTTGTCCCACATGGAGACTGACGCTGAGCGTGAGGAAGAACTTAAGAAGCTCGGAACTACCTCCGCTCTCCCTAAGATTATTGTCATCATGCGTAAGACTCTTCACCTCATTTCTTACTTCACCTGTGGTCCTGATGAGGTCCGCGAATGGACTATCCGTGAGGGAACAAAGGCTCCTCAAGCTGCCGGTGTTATCCACAATGATCTTATGAATACCTTTATTCTTGCCCAGGTCACAAAGTACAATGACCTTGTCGAACTCGGTGATGATAACGCCGTCCGTGCTGCCGGCAAGCTTATGCAAAAGGGTAAGGATTATGTTGTTGAGGATGGTGATGTCATTTACTTCAGAGCCGGTGCTGGTAAGAACTAAAAGGAGGGGAAGAGTTGAACTGTTAGTGTAAAAAAATTTTTTTTTGAATAAAATGAAACGTGGAAAAAAAATAATAATTTTTTTTTTTGGAAAAAAACGAAATCTTCAACTTATATTAACTTATTATTCACTTATAATTCTTCCAGGTTGCTACTCATGTCTCCCAAACTTGCTCTTTAGGTGCGCCTTGAGCTGTGCATACGGCCGGTCTGCAGGCACTTGTCCACTACGTACCCCTTCATCCTTGTAATCGCTTCTTAGCTGTGCCAGAGTTTCCTCTCTTGTACAGAATCGTTCCGGGACTCCATAGAGCGCATGTTCAAATACCAATTTCCAAGTAATTGGTACACAATCCGTTTGTGTTGTTAGCTTCTCATCAATTAATGACTTGAGTGCGTCTACTTTGGAGTATGCTCGTAGCGCACGCTTTGATAAACCTCTAGAGGTGCGCTGTTGCTGTTTCTGCTGCTGCTGCTGCCGCCGCCGACGCCAAGTGCCAACTTGTACAGGAGGAACTTGAACTTGGACCTCTTGTTCTTCAACCAAATCGTTAAACTCTCCAGAAGAGTAATACGGATCAGGGGGTGCTTCACAATCTTCAGTTTCAGTTTCAGTTTCAGTTTCAGTTTCAGTTTCAGTTTCAGGCTCAGGCTCAGGCTCAGGCTCAGGCTCTTCACCTTCACAGTCTGTAGATTCCTCAGGTTCTTCTTCTTCACAATCTGTAGATTCTTTAGGCTCCTCTTCTTCACAATCTGTAGATTCTTCAGGTCCTTCCTCTTCACAGTCACTCGATTCACTATCCCCACCTTCAATTTCGTCCTCTTCATCCTCACAATCTTCTTCTTCATCACCTTCATCGTCTTCTTCATCCCATTCTTTCCATTCCTCTTCTTCTTCCCCTTCATAATCCTCCCCATCCCCATACTCATCATAGTCATCCTCACACTGATTCTCATCTTCCTCATCCTCATATTCATCTTGAAACTCCTGATCATGTCTATTCATAAACCGTTGCAACCGCCCGAAAAACACATCTGTATTAATTTCCGGTGCGTCAATTCGAATCATCTTTAACTGAGGCTGGCCAACCCACAATGATCCAACATTTTCTTCACTCTCATCTCTCTCCTCAGATCTCTTCTTGAAATCAGTCTCGTCGCCATCTACAAAGTGCTTTTCAATTCCCCGTGCTGAAATCTTTCTTGCTTCTTCATTTACCGCTTTCCCAAACCGATCAATAAGTTCCACATTTTCTAAAATCTCATTACCCTCCTCTTCTTTCGGCCACCCAAGTTTTGGTTCCTTCTTATTCTTGTACTTGGTATAAGCTCTTTTCTTTAACCTCATTTCTTCTCCACTTTTATCTTCTTCATACTCTTCCGCATACTTGCGATCTCGTTCCGCTTTATACGCATCAAACCCATCCCGGATCCCGTACCCATCAGACCCATCTACACGCCTGAATTGTACACGCTGTGCATCCAGTAACCGTTCTTTTTCTTCATTATACGCACTACGGTCAACGCCTTCTTCCCACCCAGCCCATAGATTGTCGTCATAGTTTGGCTCTCTATAGTCTTCCTGAAGCTCTGCAAAAACTTCTGCTTGGGCACCTTCTTCTTCATCTTCTTCCTCAGCGTCAGCCGTACCAACGTCCAGTCCCTGCTCCAACTGGTGGGCCTTCAATCTCAACGGTGCTAAAAACGAAAAGTCAGTCAACTTATTTACTCATCCCTCATCTCCTCCAATCCCCTCCCCTCCCCTCAAATCCTCAAAATCATTCAAATCTTACCAATCTTACTAGAAATAATTGCCCTCAAATTATAATACTTTGCTTCATTTTTAATCCCAATCTTATTTGCATAATCTCTCACCCCAAGCATAATCTGGCCCAACGCAAAAACTCTGTCTTCAAGTGCATACTTGACTCTATCTGCTGTTCTTAATCCTCTCCTTTTTAGTCCTTGATGCTGCTGCTGCTGCTGAGGGCTATTCAGTGAATCTGATGACACACTTAAAAGTGACACTACTGCATGACCTTCCTCCTCAAACTTGAGACAATAACTTTGCTCGTGAAACTTGCAATTCACCTGGCAAAACGTAGAGTGCAGTAACGATTGAACACCAACTGTTGCCGCCCAGCGTCGCGCAAAGTTGTCAAAAAAAGTAGATGAGCTAGCCAAAACTGCCTTGGCAACATCTGACGATGACTTCACCAATGCATCATTGATATGATTCTTTGCATGTGTATAATGACCTCGTGCTCTCCCTAGGTCTTCCCGTGTTGGTGTTTGTAAAATTGTCCCATTACTCAGTGTGTTATTACTTGATGTTAACACGTTGCTGGTGCCTTCTCCCATATTCTTCTTCTTAGTTCGGTACTTGTGTAAAACAGCAGGTGTAACCCCGCGCAACCCGTGTTTACCCACATCACCGTCTTCTCTTGCATCGATTTCTTTTTCCAGCCGTTCCTCCTGGGCCAAAAGCCGTGCCACATCTGCTTCTTCCACAAAATCTCGAAGTGATTCGCCGGACCGAAACACAAACGCAAGGACGGGACCCGAAGTTTGCACCATTTCCTTGGACAATGGAATGGCAATACGGCGGAGTCCAATACGGCGGACCCATGCGTCACCAGTCTCAACAGGAACAGTTTTGACAGCAGACTGGGATAACAAGTGTTTGGGGACTAGTAACGAGTAGTTTTCAACATAATGGTAACGTGGAAGACCAAACGGAAGTGACGTTTGAATGATTCGTGCGGCATTGATATCTGCAAAATGTGCAGGACCTGTGTCTGAGGAAACTGATTTGGGAGAAACCGAGCGACTGGTGTTGAACATAAATAATAGCGATGTGTTTCCTGGAATAAACAACCCTTTATCGTCAATTGGCAGTGTCAGAGCAAATGAGGGTCCCAAAGACTTGATGTCAAAGTACCTTCCTGTAGCCACAAACTCCTTCATTCCTCCAAGGCTGGCCAAGTCCACTGGGTTGAGCATTTCCCATGGCACAGAGTAATAGTCAGCCCACACATTGGGCACGGCGGCGTTCCAGGCAGCCGCCAGGCCAGATTCTGCAAAAGAAGAAGCAGAAGGAGAAGATTCATTAGTATAGGGTCGGACTTGGAGCCCTGGCCCGCGGTACGGAGCCATTGGAGGGTCAATGACGTCACGACGGTCGACAGTATTTTCGCGGGTGCGGGAACGCATGAGGCGGTCCAAGCGGTCTGGGTCTGAGAGGATGGCGGCGCTTACCGCACCATATAGCAGAAAGTTGAACAACATTTGTGATGAGGAAATAAAGATGAAGCAATTGCTTTTTTTTTTTTTTTTCATTTATATATCGAAAAGAAAAAAGAAGAAGAAAAAACCATTACATTTGCTATGTACATTAATTAAGACTATTTACAACATTAATATTGAGCCAACCCAACTAGGAAAACAGCTTGCCCCAAAAGGTCTTGCCCTCGGCCTCGCGCTCAGCCTTGGATTTCCACACAGACATGTGCTCGCGCATTTTTTCGACTGCAGTTTCGTAGTTGTACTGCTTGCCAAAGACGTCAAGGTACTGGCCCTCTGGGTCCATAAAGTAGAAAAAGATACTGTGGTCAACGAGATATTCCTGGTTAGGCTTAAGGTCTGGCGGCAGAGAAAAGTAGACGCGGTAGGCCTTGCAGACGGCCTTAATTTGGTCATAAGTGCCAGTCAAACCAATAATGTCAGGGTGGAACTCGGCCAAGTATTCCTTGAGGACTTCAGGTGAGTCACGGAACGGGTCACAGGTGATGAAGACCGGAGTGACAAGTTTTTCATCCTTGTTAATTTCATCCAGAATCTTGGCCATTTTCTCCAACTCATCAGGACAAATGTCTGGGCATCGGGAGAACCCAAAGTAAACCAAAGCATACTTGCCCAGCAAGTCTTTATCAGAAAATGGCTTACCGTCTTGGTCAATAAGTTCAAACGGTCCTCCGACAAGAGGCTTGCCCATGCCACGGTTAGATTCTTCCAGACGCTTTGTTTCCACACGTTCGCGTTCTTGTCTGAAAAAGTAGATAAGACCACCACCTGTCACAATGAAGATGACTGCGGCTTTCCAGTTAAGAAACCCAATTGTGGCCTGTTGTTCAGCCTTATTTGCGTCAAAGGCTCTGCCAATTGCAATGCGCGACAGAGGCTTGCGTGGCTTCAATGGGTCATATCCATGGCGTGCAGTTCCTGGGTCTGCAATGCCGCGTACTGTCTCGTCGGACTCGTCTTGGGGCTTTTCAGGCTCGTCGGGCTTTGCTGTTGAAAAGGACCGGGTGATGTTGGAGGGTGAAGAGACGAGCGAGGGGAATGCAGTGCGTGCTATAACAGCGGAACGCATTTTAAAAAGATGAGGGGCCGGTCGATTGAGTACCGGACGGAACAGAGATTTAAAAGACATTTTAATTTGGTTTGATTGTTGTTGTTTGATAAATGGCTGTGATGGTAAGACTGTAAGGATTTGTAATGGCTGGTTGTGGTGGTTTTGAATAAATTTTTTTTTTTTTTTTTTTACACACAGCAATAATAAAAAAAAAAATTTGGCTGTTGTGGCGCGGCGTGTGCGGAATCTGCAGGAAAAAAAAAACGGCAGCCAGGAAAAAAAGAAGCAAAGACCGGATCATGTGATAAACGCGTGACTAACACGTAAAAACGCGTGGCTGTTGTTAAAAAATTAAATTTCCTAAAAAGGAAATTTATGTTAACGCGTGTTGTTGTTGAAGACCAAAATAAATAAATAAATAAATAAACAAATAAACAAACAAAAACAAACAAAAATAAACAAACAAATAAACAAAATAAACAAAATAAACAAAATAAACAAAATAAACAAAATAAATATATAAATAAACAACTTAAATTTCCCATAAAAAAAATTCATTAATTAATTAAAAGGGTCTTTCCATTAGTTTTTTAATGCGGCATAAACTGATTTCTTCTTCCTAAAGCAGCTTAAGTTTCATCAACCACCACCTACTTGGTATTCCCTCCCTAAATTTTTTTTTTCTTCATTTCTTTTTTTTTTTACTCGCCATATAAAAACTCCCCTATTCCCCCCCTATTTTCTACAGTTCTTTTTTTTTTCTCTCTTTTTTCCCTCTTTTTTCATTCAACACTACTCACCTACTAAACATGGATCAAAACGACCCATACTACCAACAAAACTCGCCAACCCGCCAAAGGTACCGGCATGGCTCTCCTACCCGTAATTATGTTCCACTCGACTCTTCGACCCTCCCGCATCCCATTGTGTCTCCAGCACTCCCATCACCATCCAGAGCTGCCTATAACTCGCGTCAATCCTACCATCTCGGTAAGAAATCCCCATTTATATTACCATTTATTCCTCTTTTTATATCTAACTTCCCAGATGAACTCACAAACTCAAACCTAGGCGGATACCAATCGGAAATCCCAGATTTGCCACAAATCCCTCCTATTGGAATGCCTGCTCAAACTTATACCCCATCCCACTCACCTACCCGAGCCGGAGCAGTCTCTCCATCCAGATCACCTACAAGATCACCTACTCGGTCCATGAACAACATGGTCCACGGTTCACCCAAACGTCGTGGCGCAGAAACAACCCCTAGGGCCCTTTGGACACGCCTGGAGTCCCCCGCACGAACTGCAGACAATACTCCCATTGTGATTGACGATGATGATGACGACAATGACAATAATTATGCCAATGACGACGAGCTCGAAATCATTTACGAACAAGATGGAAACCCGCGACATTCTACCATGGACTCATATGGTATCGCCAACACAGGAAATGCAATGCATCGCGCCACAGATTCAAACGCAACAGCCTTTGCAGATGCACCTCTATTGCCTCCGCCAAACCTTGCCGATGATGGATACTCATACTTGGAAAACGATGAATCTCAAAATACTTACGCAGACCCAACCATTGAGCAAACGCCCCAGTCTACAGAACTTCGCTCTGCCCCGTCCTCGGAAACTTTGTCTAGTAACGCGTTCGAGGTCCCCGTTAAGGCCCAGCCTCGTCGTAACAAGTCTATGGCGCGTCGTGAGGTCAAACTGGTACGCGGTAACCTTGTTTTGGACTGCCCAGTTCCTACTAAACTCTACTCGTTTTTACCTCGCCGTGATCACGACGAGTTTGTGTATATGCGCTACTCAGCCGTCACCACAGACCCAAATGACTTTGTCGAGGGTGGTTTCAATCTGCGGCCTGCCATTTACGAGCGTGAGACTCAGTTGTGCATCTGCATTACCATGTACAATGAGGACGAAACTCATTTCACCCGAACCATGCATTCGGTCATGAAAAACATTGGCCATTTAGTATCTCGAAAGAATTCACCACGTCATTGGGGCAAGGATTCATGGAAAAAGGTTGTTGTTTGCATTGTGGCCGATGGTCGCTCAAAGGTATCTCCTGGAGTTTTGAATGTTCTATCTGCAATGGGTGTTTTCCAAGAAGGAATTGCCAAAAACTACGTCAATGGTAAGGAGGTCCAGGCCCATATTTTCGAGTATACAACCCAGGTCTCGCTTGACCCAGACCTTACATTTCAGGGCGCTGAAAAGGGCATTGTGCCTGTCCAAGTCATGTTTTGTCTCAAGGAAAAAAATGCTAAAAAAATTAACTCCCACCGCTGGCTATTTAACGCCTTTTGCCCTGTTCTGAACCCTGCTGTTTGCGTTCTTCTTGACGTTGGTACAAAACCCGGGCCCACATCGATCTACAATCTTTGGAAAGCTTTCGACTCTGACTCAAACATTGGTGGCGCGTGCGGCGAGATCCGGGCCATGACAGGACCTCAAGGTAGACACTTGCTTAACCCGCTTGTGGCTGCACAAAACTTTGAGTACAAAATGTCAAACATTCTTGACAAACCTTTAGAAAGTGCATTTGGCTACATTACAGTATTGCCCGGTGCCCTTTCGGCCTACCGCTACATTGCTCTCAAAAATGGGCCTGACGGCAAGGGCCCACTCGCACAGTATTTCAAAGGTGAGTTTTTGCACGGCTCCGAGGCTGACGTTTTCACATCAAACATGTATCTGGCCGAAGACCGCATCTTGTGTTGGGAACTTGTAGCAAAACGCGGCGAAAAATGGCTGCTCAAGTATGTGCGCTCGGCAAATGGCGAAACAGATGTCCCCGACGATGTCCCGGAGTTTATCAGTCAGCGCCGGCGCTGGCTCAACGGCGCTTTGTTTGCAGCTGTTTATGCACAAACCCATTTCACGCAAATCTGGCAAACAGATCACTCTTTGTTTAGAAAGATCCTGCTCCACATTGAGTTTGCTTACCAGTTCCTGCAACTTCTCTTTACATTTTTTTCTGTTGCAAACTTCTATCTCGCCTTTTACTTTGTTGCTGGGTCCTTGTCATCTTCCAACGACGGCCTCATCCCAAGTCGTGCAGGCTTTTACCTCTTTCTGCTTTTCAAGTATATCTTCCTGTGCACACTTGCCGCCCAGTTCATCATCTCTCTGGGAAATAGACCTCAAGGTTCACGCCACTGGTTTTATGCTAGTTTTATTCTCCTCGGCATTGTTGGTCTGTACGCCATTGCCTGCGGTTTGTACTTTGTTGCACGCACCGTTCAGCAGCATGGCAATGCGGATCTTGGAAATAACGCTTTCACCAATATCCTTGTGTCGATGATTTCCACCTACGGTCTCTATGTCGTCATGTCGGTTCTTTATCTGGACCCATGGCACATCATCACCTCGTCCATCCAGTACTTTTTGTTGCTTCCTGGATATACAATTACCCTACAAATCTATGCCCTGTGCAATACCCACGATGTCACTTGGGGTACCAAGGGCGACAATGAACAAAAAATGGACTTGGGTAGCGCCGTTGTCAAGGCCGAATCAGGCAACGATATTGTGGAAATGGACATGCCAGCGGAACAGTTTGACATTGATCAGCTTTATGAGGAAGCCCTGAGCTCGCTACGCGACCGCAAAATGACCCCGGAGGCCCCACCGGCCGTCAACAAAAAGACCATGGTCGAGGACTACTACCGAGAATTCCGAACCCGTGTCGTGCTCTTTTGGATGATTGCAAACATGATTCTAGCTTTGCTCATGATGCAGGTCTTTAGCCTCGATAATACTAATGGCAACGTCTACCTCAAAATCATTCTATGGAGTGTCGCTGCTCTCGCAGGCTTCCGAGCCTTGGGCTCGCTGGCGTATCTTGTACAGATCACTGTCAAGTACCTGTACCGGTCGCGCGACCGTACGTTCCGTAGAAACAATCTTACGGGCAAGTAATTTATTTATATATATATACATACAATACTTAGTAGCTTAATTTAATTGTTTATAGAGACACAAGTCCGTCCACACAAGATTGCTGGGAGCGAGCTGGTTGACTATAGGCTCGAGGTCTTCCGGGATGTACAAAATCCGCTGGATCCCTGTAGATGCTCCGGAATCAAGCATCTTAAAGCACTCGATTTGTTGCCAATCGGTATCATTTGAAAAGTTAATTTCCCCAGCCTCGGAATCCACAGGATAGGTAGAATCCACCACATAATTGCACGTTGAAATTGGCACGATTTTGCCTGGGTCGCGCTTGTTACGGTTGTTCATGCCTTCCGGGACCTCCCAGATCCCACTGTATCCATTATCTTCGCGGAAACTTCCAGGCAATAATCCATCGAATCCGCTCGAGATGAACTTGAGCCGCATATTGTCTTGCAAGAAATACGACGACGGGAATCGGTACCACTCGCGTCCCACACATACCGTGGTTGGTTTATGAACATTGAGCGTGGATACTTTGGAAAAGATTTCCACGGGCGCACGGTAATACGTGGCCAAGGCAGCCGACCGGGAAACGGAAACAAGAATAAAGGCAGTCAATCCGATAAAAACAAGACTGGTTTTGACAAGTAACTTGGACATTGGGACTATTCTGGAAATGAAACTGATGATGGAGGACAAACCAATGGCGGCATTTAGAAGAAACGAAGAATATGACACATACATGAACCGTTCTTCCTTGTGTGGCTGCGCGGTAAAGATGGCAAGCCATATAAATGACGGCGCCAGGAGAAGCGCCCAGCGGACTGGCCGGTTAGGTTTATTGAGAAGAACAGCCAGTGGCGATACCAGAGCAAAGAGAAGACCAAAGTTCAAGTTGAGCGCAAGGTTTTGCAGGTAATAGTGCCACGGCTCTGTTCCGAAAATGTCTGGCCCGGATGTGGCGTCTGCTTGTAGAACATTATATGCCACAATGTTCCATGGTACAATTGTCAGCTTGCCGTAGAGGTAAGAATCAATAGCCACAATGGCAGCGGTGATGGGCACGACCACTTTGAGAGCGGGCCGCACGACTGCTGGAAGAAACTGGGAAAAGTGGTTAGAAATGGGCCAGCCAAACGTGAGCCAGCCAAGTGCTACATGCACAGCCCAAACACCACCAATGGCCAGCGCAAATGGCCAGCCAACAATGGCACCAACAGCAATCCAGGAAAGCCCACGACCTGCAGCCTTTGCAAGATCGGCAGAGTCGCTTGAAGTGACATAGCGGACCAGGTAAACCAAGGAAAACGTGGTGCAGACCATAGCAAACGATGAGGGCAGGTATGCAACCGATGCGTGGAACATGGCAGTTGCTGTAAGTGTAAGTACTGTGTAAATCGACGACGGGCTAGCCAAGACGTCGTACCAGTCCTGTTTTTCCGGGAGCATTACCGGGTCGATATGTTCCTTGATTGTAAGGTATAATTTAGTGTCTGCGATGGCTGCGACGATGGCAAAGACACTACGAAGAAAGTAGAATAATGCCACAGACTCTGCGGCTCCATCGGAACCGCCAAACTTCGCCAGGATCGGTACAAACACGTGGCGGCCTGTTTCAAGAATAAGCGCGTGGAGCCCGGCGTAGGCCCAACTGCGGATGGCATAGACTGGCGAATACTCCCACGTTTGTAGTCCAAATCCGTGCGTCAGGTAGTGCGTGGGGTCCCAGTAATTGAAGACCTCATCGCAATCGAGGATCGGCGCCAAACTGGCAGAAACCAGTCGGGCAGCAAGCAGTGCGCGGAACACTGGTTGGGATAGAACGTATCGGTTTTGTGGTGGTTGTGCCATTTTGAATGGTGATGAGGGGGAAGGGATTAAAAAAAAATAAATAAAAGAAAATAAAATAAATGGGCCATTTTAAAATTACACAGGAAAATTATATTCAAATATTCAACTTTTCTACAAACTAATCATCGTCATCCCAGTTGCCCTTGGACTGCGGCGTGGGCATGACAGGACCACCCGCACGCTTGGCCATGATGATCTGATCAACAGAAAGAATCGTGCTGGCAGCCTCGGTGGCCAGTTCAATAGCCGACTTTTTCGCCGCGTAAATGTCAAAAATACCGTTTTCGCGCGCATCAAAAACGCCACCGTCATGATCATTCTCAATGTCGACACCGTAGTAAACGGTGGATGCAGTCTCCGGAGACTCATTTTCCTTTGAGGTATGGGCAAAGTAAAGCTGAGACATGACCTCAGTTGCATCCAGACCGGCATTCTCGGCCAATGTGCGAGGAATCACTTCAAAAGCTTCACCGTACTTCTTAATGGCATGCTGGAGCAGACCAGGTGTGCGCTCGCCATACTGCACAATGCGAGAGGCCAGCTCGGTCTCGGTGGCACCGGCACCGGCAACCAGCTTTCCTTCACGTGTCAGGGCCTTGATGGCGCTGACACCATCGTCAATGGCACGCTCAAGGTCATCAAGAGCGTTTTGTGTGGCACCACGGAGAACAATGGTAGCTGTTCGTGAAGCTTCCTTTTCCTGGCGGAAAACAGTGACACGGTCACCACCAATTTCAATTGTCTCGACCACATCAATGACACCGAGCTCATCAGGCAGTGGGGCACCCAGACGTGGGAGAGGAGTGGCGCCAACTACCCGACACAGACGGCGCAGATCAAACTTGCTTGAGACCTTAAAAACGAGAATACCAGCGAGGTTGAGGTAGTGCAGGGCAAGCTCGCCCACACCGGCACCAGCAACAACAACGCGTAGACCAGTGTCAGCAATCTCCTTGACGATGGCTTCCATTTGCTTTTCCTCACCCTTGGTGAAGTCAAGCATCTCCTTTGCATTATGAAGCAGCACGGTGCCCTTTGTTTCGGTGGCAGAAATGTCAAAGGGGGTGGTGAAGACACCGACCTTTGTTTTTTCAACATGCTGAACTGAGCCTTCGGGCTCACGGCCAAAGACCATACCCTTGATGACCTGGGAGTTGTCGAGACTGGAACCGAGAATCTTGACGACACGCACATTGTCGACATTAAAAAGATTGGGGTTCTTGGGAGGAATAATATGAACAATGGCCTCGGAGACGAGCTTGGCAAGGTACTCCTCGTTACCATATTGCTTGGATGCCAGTGTAGTTTGGACGGCCTTAGACACTTGTTTTGGGTCGGTGAGATCGGTGATGTTATCAGCAATCAAGGTCTCGAGCTGATCAACTGCAAACTTGCGTGCAAGCTCGTAGCCTTGAACGATTTCAGAAGGATGAAGACCCAGTCTTAAAAGGCTATCAGCTTGGTAAAGGAACTCACCAGCAAGGATGAGCACAAGGTTGGTTGAATCACCCATCTAGAGAATGTTAGATCAGATCAGGAACTAAAGTAGTGGCGGGCTTACCTCTTGTTCTTGTTGTTGACTGGCCATGACGACGAGCTTGGCAGCAGGATGGACAATCTCAAGCTCGCGGAGAATTGTAGCGGCATCACTAGTGATGAAGATCTTGCCAAGGTCTAATCCATTAGTTAAGGTCAAAATATACAATCGGTAGACTTACGGTTCACGACAATCTTATTATGGCCTGAGGGTCCCACAGAGGTGCGGACCATGTTTGTGATTTCACGCACAGCCTGGATGTTTCTAGACACAGCGCCATCTTCAGATGCATAGGTTTGGTAACCCTGCTTGAAGAGACCTGTGCCTGGGGCATTGGGAAGCTTGAGCGACATGGTTGGTAGTTGTGGTGGGTTTGATAGTTGTCTTTGGAGAGGCTCTAAAGGGAATCTGTGATGGTTTTATTTTTTTTTGTTTGGCGGTGGCAATGAAAAAAAAAAAAAAAAAAAAAAATTAGGCTGCCGGGTCAGTCTGGAATTTACTCAGTCAGACCACAAACCACGCCTTTAAGGCCACCACACAGCCAAACCACCACACCAAAACCCTGCCACGCCCTGGTTACCCCATATATCGCACAGAAACACGACCGGACCGGCACTCAGAGACAATGGATGCAGCGTTAGATAACCCGCACTACGACCCCGTGGAGCATCTGCAGATTCTCTTTGGAGCGCCAAGCAACATTGAGCGTCTTTCGGAGGTTGCGCGTCGAGTCTACTCTCACCAAAAGGTACTGACGACGCGCATTGCTGCCAACTCTCAAAAGATCTGTTTGAATGCTAGCGAGACCCATGAAGAAACAAAGGCCGAGACGTTAGCACAGTTATATGCGCGAATTGGAGAGCTGCGTGCACAGGCTTACACTACGGAATCCAAAATTACAACCATGACATCGCACATTATATCGCTTGACCGCACAAAGTCCAATCTCATTTACTCCATTACCGTGCTCAAGCGACTGCAAATGCTCACTACGGCTTATGACCAGCTGGGCGGGTTGATAACTACTAGAAACTATGCGGAAATGGCTCAGACACTGCCAGCTATCCAAGAACTAATGGACTACTTTAAGCCCTTTCGCAGTATTCCTCAGGTTGCAGTGCTCAATAGACAAATTGGCGACATACAAGTGAAAATTACCGACCAAATCTTTTCTGACTTTGAAACAGTTCTTTCAGGGAAGGGAAATGTTGATCCTGATCTGGCAAACAGTCTAGCAGATGCGACGGCCGTGCTGGAATTACTTGGCGACCAAAATAAAACCAAGCTCATCAACTGGTACTGCTCTTCACAACTGCATGAGTACCGGACAATTTTCCGCAACTCAGACGAGGCTGGGTCGCTAGAAAACATGGCACGGCGGTTTTCCTATTTTAGGCGACTGCTCAAACAGCATTCCGAGTCTAATGCTCGGTATTTTGATCCCTCGTGGCACATGGCTGAGGAACTCACAAATACCTTTTGCAACACTACCCGTGACGATATCCAATCATTGCTTTCAGAAAATGGCGGCAAAGATGTCAATGTCAAAACTCTTTTACAGGCTTTACAGGAAACTTTGGATTTTGAACAGTACCTAGAAAAACGATTTGAGAGCGTTAGCGACTCACGCAGTTCTACTGACAAGAGCCCAGAGCCCAAGACCTCGCTCAAGTCAGCCAAAGCCATTTCCATGGCATTCCAACCACACCTCAACATTTGGATTGAGTACCAAGACAAGCAACTGTCTCTCAAATTTGCACAATTTAAGGCACCACCACCGCCAAAACAAGCCCTTGACGAACAGGAACCAGACCCCACAGTGCTACCATCGTCTGCAGATCTCTTTATCTTCTACAGACAAATTCTCGCACAAACATCCAAGCTTTCTACAAGGGATCCTCTTGTCAACCTTTCCAAGTTGTTTGCCAAGTGGCTCGACACTTACTGCTCGCAGATTTTACGACCAACTTTCCCCAATAAGCTGTCTGACAAGGACGACTTTAAGACTCTTGCTCTGATCATTTCTACCGCTGATTACTGTACAACAACTATTTCCCAACTGGAAGAAAAACTTCAATCTACTATTGACGAGGACCTTAAAGACCAAATTAACTTTGACAATGAGCGTGGCAGGTTTTTGGACATAGTGAATCTCGGCATCAAGCGACTTGTCAATACCGTCGAGTCTTCTTTGGAAATGCCATGGCGTGAGATGGCCAATACCAATTGGTCCCGGCTCGAGTCTGTGGGCGACCAGAGCTCGTATGTCCAAGAACTGAACCGTGCACTGCAGGAGGAAACCAAGACAGTGCTGCAGTACACAACCAAGAAGACTTATGTGAGGCTTGTGTGCGACAAGATTGTCGAGTCCGTAGCCCAGTCCTTCTTGACGCAGGTCGTCAAGTGCAAGCCAATTTCTGAGGTGGCCTCGGAGCAAATGCTGCTGGATTTGTATGTTGTCAAAAGCACATTGCTCAAGCTGCCGACATTGACTGAAGGTGCAGACCCCACGCCATCTTCGCTGTATACCAAGCATGTCAGTAGTTCCATTGGTCGCGTGGAAACAATTCTTAAAGTTATTTTGACACAACCCTCACCGCCAGAGGGTCTTGTGCAAAATTACTTTTACCTCATTGGCGACAAATCGGCAGATAATTTCCGCAAGATTCTCGATCTCAAGGGACTTTCCCGAAGTGAACAGGCCCGGTTCATGGAGCTGTTCCATGCTCATATGAAGGCCCATGATAACTTGGTAGAATCATCGCCAATCTTGCATTCCTTGAGATTAACTAACCAGCCAATTTCTCAGTCAAATGGCTACGGTGTTTTGGGAATGAATGGCTCAGGAACTAGTTCACGAAATGTCTCTGGGTCATTTTTGAGCGGCTCATCCAGTTCACGAGACCTGGCTTTAACAGGTGGGCGGAATACTCCTGTCAACGAAGCAGTTTCTGCTCTGGCTGCATCGTTGAGCCCACCCAGCTTACACATCCCTAAGTTCGACAAGAGCTTTGGGCTGGCCAAGGACCAGCTGGAAAAGGGCATTGAGAAGATTACACAGGAAAAACCCGTCAACAAGCTTAATGAAAACATCCGCAGCTTTGGCCGGCTGTTCCGCAGAGATACGGGTAACAACTAGATTAGATTTAATACCTTTATAGTTTTTTCTCATCATTAAACATGAAAACGTATTCGTCACGCAGCGCTCCAAACTCTAGCACATCTTGCGCACGTAGCTCAACGTAGGAAGCTGCTGGGACCTCCTCACCATTGAGATAAGTCCCGCGCGCAGACTCCAGGTCGATTATGTAGGGAACAGTTTCTGTAATAGTCTGGTTTTGTTTATTCCGGCGTCGTTTGACTCGGAACTGGATCACAGCGTGCTGGGCATCAGCTCGAGGTCTTTTACCCTCTGCTACAGGTGGCCCGGCGTCCAGAACTATATCAGCCACTCGGGAGTCAGTTCCAACCAGAAAGGCCGTTTGCTTGTTTAAACGGATGGTTTGAGACGGGTCTCCAGACTTGGGGAACAATACAAGGGCATACCCAGGGACTGGGGGCGAAGCTGCGCGGTCAGCTGGCTCGTGGTACTTGAGAACTACAGTCTCTACTGCAGCTGAGTTCCCGCGACGTGGCTTATCTAAGGCAGGAACAGTGACGCGGTTTCGCTCAAGAGCAAGGAGACCTGATCGATGGTAGTTTGGACGCTCCGGTGAGTGTTCGGGCGACTGTCTAGGGGACCTTGAGCGGTGATTGTCTCTGTAGTCTCTGTCCTTGTGATCTTCTCTTCGGGAACTCCTCCGATTGTCTCTCCTATCGTCTCTGTGATCATCTCTATAGTCTCTTCGTTCGCTGGAGTACCGGTCGTCTCTATAATCTTTTCGGTTATCCCGTCGGTCGTCTCTATGATCTCGGTGCTCGTGTCGGCCCATTGTGGTTTGTATGTAAGGTTGAATGCTATTGTTGCCAGTTCCACCCATTAATTAATTAACACTCCAAAAAAAAAAGCCCAAACCCGCCAGTCGCCAATTTCTTTTTTTTTTTCCACCCACCAGCCTGAAAAGGATTTGTCCTAAAGTAAACAAACAAGTACAAGCTCTTTAGAAACCGCACAAAGAGATGGACCCGAACCGGAACCAGCCACCATCAAATCCTCACCAGCAGCAACAGTACTACGCGCAGTATACTTCCGCTGGTGAAGGCCAGCAGAGCGTCCCCGGTGTGCAGGAATACAGCATGTACGCGGGGCCTGCGGGGTACATTCAACAAGCTCAGTACGCGGGGCAACTTCAACAACAACAACAGCAGTTTGCATATCAGCAGCAGTACCCGGGACAGCAAGCATATCCGGTGCAAAATACTCAACAGTATTCGGCACATGTACCGTACCAAGGCCAGGCTCAAGCACAATCACAAGCACAAGCTCAAGCTCAAGCACAAGCTCAAGCACAAGCTCAAGCACAAGCTCAAGCACAAGCTCAAGCACAAGCTCAAGCACAAGCTCAAGCACAAGCTCAAGCACAAGCTCAAGCACAAGCTCAAGCACAAGCTCAAGCTCAAGCACAAGCACAAGCTCAAGCACAAGCACAAGCTCAAGCACAAGCACAAGCACAAGCACAAGCACAAGCACAAGCTCAAGCACAAGCTCAAGCACAAGCACAAGCACAAGCACAAGCTCAAGCTCAAGCACAAGCTCAAGCACAAGCTCAAGCACAAGCACAAGCACAAGCACAAGCACAAGCACAAGCACAAGCACAAGCACTAGCTCAAGCTCAAGCTCAGGCTCAGGCACAAGCTCAGGCTCAAGCACAAGCACAGGCCCAAGCACGGGCTCAAGCTCAGTATCAGGCACAGGCACAGGCACAGGCTCAGTATCAGCTACTTCAAGCTCAAGCTCAAGCTCAAGCTCAATTCCAGGCTCAAGCCCAATCCCAAGCTCAGCAATACCCAGTACAACAACAATATGAAGCCCAATATCATCCTTCTCAACCGCAGCAGTACTCGGCTCAGCAACAGTATCCGGTACAACAACAACAGCAGCAAGAACAATACCCTCAATATAACCAACAATACCCAGAAGTTCAAAATCAACCGGCTGAAGTTCCAGAAGAATACAGACCGATTTCAAGGCTTGAGCCAGCTCAAGAAAAGAAACAAAAACAAAAATCTAAGCCTCAGCCAATACCAGAACCAGAACCAGAACCAGAACTAGTATCAGAGCCAGAGCCAGAGCCAGAGCCAGAGCCAGAGCCAGAGCCAGAGCCAGAGCCAGAGCCAGAGCCAGAGTCCGAACTCGAGGGCGACTCATTAGCAGAATTGGATCAACAGATTGACCCTGCAAGTTCGTCGCTACATATTAACATGTTTCCGCTGGTTTTTGAGTACCTTGCATCAGCACATGGCGTTTCGTGGGACGTTGTTTGTGGTCGACAAACAGTGGAGATTTACCGGATGCTTGTTGCGTGCGCGATTGCATGTTTGTACACGATTCTGAGTGAACCAGGAGTGCACCCATTTATTGAAATCCAAGTACGTTTAAAACTTGCAACTTTGCTATCCGAAGAATCTGTCAACTGGCAGGAAGCCACAAAATTGGTGAGCCGTGGAACAACGCTGGCCAAATCGTACAATTATTACACACTGGCGATGCAGCTCAAGTATGCTTCTGTCAAGGCGATGGCATTTTCTCCTGGGACATCGACAAAAACTACTTTGACAATGTTGGACGCATATGTTGCAGAGTCACAAGCACTTGCGGAGCAGTCGGAGGACGCAACGGCATACTTTTCATTCATGTTTTTAAAGATTTCTGTGCTGTTCAATGCTAATACTTTGCAAGAAGCCAACGAGGGGATCCGGCAGCTGGGATTTTTGCAAGAGTTTAAGGGCAAGCAGGATAACGTTGCACATTTAGCGTTTACAATGCATGCGTTGAAGCTATTCCAGCTGGGAAGCAACAATGCCGACGAGATTTTAAACTTTCTTGCGCAGGCAAAGGCACTAGAAACCAAGCAGATCCCATTACAAATGGTGTATATGCGGGTGATTTACGAGATTTTAATTCTTGTGGAGCTGTGCGACTACAAGGCCCTGGACCGCGCCCAGGATGAGCTATTTGACGTGCTCCAGCGGCAACAAGAAGAACAGGGGAATAACCCATGGGTCGAAGATACCATTGACATTCCTCTTGAGCCATTTATAGTTGCAGGTGGCAAGCCCGGAACTCTGCAAATGGAAACAAGCACACTACAGAGCAAGACTGTTGTTGTGAGCTGGATCAGTCCGTCGGAGGCTAACATTTTGGCATATCTGCTAGCCGGGCTAATCAACCTACGAATACGTGGGAAGGCCAAATTGGCAGCACACTTGTTGCAACAGGGGCTGGCCAAAATTAAGGCCGAGCTGGAATCGCCACCGGAACTGGCCATGAGTTTACGCACTGCACGTGCGCACCATGACCGATTGCGCATCATGCAGTGCTATACGCTGCTGCTACTTACTCTGGAACGATTTTTGGCTTCGCAATGGACTGATGACGCATACCTAAAGGAACTGTTACATACAACACGCCAATTACCCGCCAATTTCGCCGACATGTTTACCCCGTTGACATACTACCTCTCTGGAGCATACTTCCAAGCCTCGGGGAATATGCACAATGCTATTCAATTTTACCTTAAGATTCGCGAGCACCCATGCGTCGCACCAACGTCAGGGCTGTATATTATAGCGACAATAAACCTTGTGCTTGTACTGGAAGGCTCGCAGGCGCAAAAGTACAATAACTTTGAGGTTATTTCCAAGATGGAAGAACAACGACGGGACGAGGATGATGGTGGATCGACTGGTGCAGAAGCCGGACGAAGAAACAGCATGATTAAAGAACAAACGCTTAAGGGGGCCAAGTCGAACGAAACACCGTCGGCGTACTACAGACGAGAACTGCTGCGGCCGGTGTGCGCGACCCATGCGTCGCCCATGGTACAGTGGGCGCTGCAACTGCTGGACGCAGTCTACGATAGCGGGCCGCGGGATCATAACAAGCTGGCGGTTCTGGTGCAATTTGCGGTACGGCTGGACAACCTGCAGGTGGGTGCGGTGGTGGCTGGTGTTGCGGGCCACGGCGGTGGTGATATGACGGTACAAGACCGAGAGCGGCTGGCGCGGCGTGGGGTGGCAGATGCTGAACAGGAGCAAAGTGCTCTATGGGGGTGGATGAATGGAGTGCTTTTGGAGAACTTGGAGCGCGAGGCGGGCAATATGGAAGCTGTGCAAAGCCGGCATAAGCGTAACAAGCAGTTGAAGAAGACGGTAGAGGCACAGCTAAACCGAGTTGATTAGAGAGGTTTTTTTTATATAGAGATAATATTAAGAATTGAGTTAAAGTTTTTCTATAAGATTTTGGGCCTCAGCTTCAACGTTTCGAAGAAGAGCAGCCTTGCGTTGCTGAGCAGACTTTCGGGCCTCCTTGACTTTGGGAGCCTCGCGCAGTTTCTGGTCAAAAAGCTGCTCGAGCTCACCCCATTGTTCATAGGCTGTGCGGAAATCCTTGTTACGTGCAATGACATGGGAGTGGAGCATGGTGGACACGCGGAGACGCTGGACAGCCATGTCGAGGGCCTGGACGGCGCGCTGAGTGGAACGGTAGTAGCCGTCCTCTGTGAAGGAATTATCCCAAAGACGGCCGGTGCCTGCTAGCCAAACAACAAAGGCGAGACTAGCGTCGACGAGGGCCAGGAAAATTGCGCGGTATTTGTGTGCCTCGCGGTAGATCCAAAGGGCGGCATCACGAGAGACAGCGTGTCGGGTTTGCATGGCAAACTGGGTTGTGGGGAAACTGTAAAATAGGGCCACATCAAGGACGGCCAGCACAATAGTGATGGTCACAAAGATGGAGGTCCATTGAGCGGATTGAGTGGTAGTGATGAAGTTGCGTGGTCCACGGGTGACCATAAGAACGAGCCCGAGATTGGCAATGTATGGGGCTAGGATTGCCGGGAGGACATAAAGGAAGAAAGTCCACGGAGCGTCAGTACGGCAAAAGTCACAGTGCAAGAATGCGTTTGAACCGTAGCCTGTGTAAAGGACTCTTCCCTCGAGGGTTGTGAGTCTTGCAAAAAACCGTTCCCAGGAAGCTTCTGTTGTGAAGGCTGCGGCCTTGCGCAAGTTCCGGGGCATACGAGCCTGTGCTTCTGAGAGCCACGGCTGGCCTCCTTCTGCGCCAGGGGCTGCATAGAGCACACGGAACCGGGTTGCAACTACCTCGATCGGTGTTTGGAGACGGGATTCTGTGATCTGGAAGATATTAAATTCGGATGCCCGTGCAATGGGCGTGTAGAACAGCAGTAGAGCAACGGTGGCAGCTGCAAGGACCAGGACGACACGCAGATTGCGTGCCGAGATCGGGTGGATGCGCGCGCGGTACTTTGGTGATTTGAGTGTGTGGTACACTTTGTTACCGGACCGCCATGCCATTGGGACAAGTATTGGCAGGGCAGTATATGCCAGGTTCTTAAAGGACCCGGCAATTTGAAGGAGCTGCGACATGTCGGGACTTTGGAGGTTCCGTTGAAAGTTCCGTTGAAAAGGGTTTGGGTGGGAAGTTTTGCTGTCCTTTTCAAGGAGATTTTTTTGGTAGAGCAACAGCGGACCAAAAGGGAGGGGGGGAGGCAGTTAGCAGTAGAAAAATTTCAGTCACGTGAAAACCTTAATTATTTTATTATTATTATTATTATAGTTAATTATTAATTAATCAATTAATTAATTATTATTATTATATATAGAGTTATAGTTATAGTTATAATAAATAAGCTACTATATACTACATACAAAACCAAGACAATCAACCCGTCAAGGCCCGTCCATGCTCAGATCCTCGGACCCGGGAACGGTATGTGCCCCATTGCTGGCATTTAAACTCAGACCGGCACTCGACACTGACCGTCCACGCTCGTCAATGTCAACCAACCCAACCACCTCCTCAAGTGGAATCTCGCCAGTCAGCACCGCCAAAGTGTCAAGAACTGCCTCCGGGTCTATCAGGTGCCAGGCGGCTCCAGTACGCTTATTGGCAGGCCCCACTGTGACCGGGAACAGCCCATCAAGTCCACGCTCGTAGGCAGCCTTAGCAGCTTTTGCATTACTTTCAGAAACCTCCTCATTGTCTCCACTGGGCTCAACACTCGGAGTGGACAGCCCCGAAACCACGGTAAACATATCCTCATCTGTCTTGTCATCTCCCAAGCAGTAAACAAACCCTGGGCGCCCCCCATCAAGCCCCTCTCCAATTTCCCTGACCAATCGCTTAACAATCTCGCCCTTGTTGAACTGGCGTGGCCGGACCTCAATGTTGGCCTTGCCTTCCATGACCTCGACATCGTACTTGCTCACAAGCTGCTTCTCGAGCTGCGCCTTAAGCGCCTGCGCCTGGAACTGGCCCAGCTCGGGGTCTGCACGGCGGTAGTGCCAGGTAAGAGCTGCCTGTTTGACCTCGACGTGCGAGCCCTGCGTGCGCTCCGTAAAGTAATCAAAGATGGCTCGCGCATCGTTACGCCATGACATGTCGACCTGCTCAGCCAGGTTGACCCACTCGCTGGACCCTTCGTTTTTGAAAAAACACCCGTGCTCGGCACTAAACCCAATGGCCTTGTTGTGGCCCAGCCACTTATCGAGAAACTCTGAGTCGCGGCCAGAAATAATCCATACATGGTTGCGCGGGTCGCTTGTTAAAAGTTCCAGCGTTTTGTACAGTCGAGCTGAGGGTATAGCAGCTGATGGTTCGCGCACAATTGGTGTCAGGGTGCCATCGTAGTCAAACAAAAACAAGCGTTTTTCGGCCTTTTGGTACTGTTGGAGCAACAAAGCACGGTCCAAGGTAGGCGTCATGTGAGACTGGTCATGACGAGACAAGTTGTGAATCAATCGAGAAAGGAACCGCACGACCCAGTCGTGCACCGTGTTACTGGTGACGGTTTTGTAAAGATGGTCTTGGACAACAGCATTACGTTCTGGAGATTGCAGCAGACACTGATTAATTGTTTGAGCAACTCCGACCGAGTCCCAAGGGTTGACTTGAACGGCGTCCACAAGCAGACCAGCAGTACCTGTAAACTCGGAAAGAATAAGAGGCGAGTTTTTAAACTTTTGACAAATGACAAACTCGAGCGAGGTGGTGTTCATGCCGTCGCGCACAGAAGTAATGAGACCAAGGTCGGCTCCGCGCAGCAGGGCAAAGTACTCGTCACGGGCCACATGGCGCGGGTAGTGCTGGATGGGCGAGTAGTCCAGGCTGCCGTAGGTGCCGTTAATATGGGAAATCATCTCGGCGATTTTCTCCTCCATCTTGTCTGTGTTTGCATATGCTGGTGAGGTCACCTGAATAAGTACTACCTTGCCAATCCATTCCGGATAAAGATTGAGAAACATTTCAAATGCATAGAGCTTTTGGACCACGCCACGGACACTGTCGAGACGGTCACGGCCAATAATGAGTTTCATGGAAGGGTACAGCGAGCGCAGCGCAGAAACTTTCTTGTCGACAATGGGTGAAAAGGCATCTCGCTCAACAGCTTCTGTATCGATGCCAATAGGGATAGTGTCGACCGAGACATGGACACCGTAGGCAGAAATGTAATTGGGTCGGGATTCCAGGTTGAGCAGACGGGTACAAGCCGAGATAAAATGCCGCGAAAATGCATAGCTCTGTGTTGCCACCAAGTTTGCACCCAACATGCCCTCGAGAAGTTCTTTGCGCTTAGGAATGACACGAAAGTACTCCGAAGATGAAAAGGGTGAATGCAGAAAGGAGCCAATGTAAGCATTAGGGAGTTTCATGCGCAAAAGTTGTGGGAGCAGCAGCAGGTAGTAGTCGTGGATCCAGATAATATCTCCTGGCTTGTAAATGTCAATAATCCGATTAGCATATGCTTCATTAAAGGCCAGATAAGACCGCCACCATTGCTGTTCTTGAATTCCATCGGTAGGTTCACCTTGAATGTAGTGAAGGATTGGCCAAATGATTTTTTCTGCGTATTCTCTCCAGCGGAACTGGTCCTGACCCAGGAGCCAGATAGGATGTGTTTCGCCGTATTCCGTTTCACGCTCGCGGTACTTTTGCTCAATGAGCTTTGCATCTTCTGCAGAAATGTCGACATTGTCTTGGTGGATATTATCAAGTGCCACGGTGGCCTTGGTTTCAATTTCGCCTGTCCAGGCCACAATTAGAGACTCCCAGTGTTCGTGGTTCTTGAGGAAACTGAGCGCTGAATAAAGCGCTGAGTTGCCGCGCCGGTGCCGCAGATCAAACGTCTTGTCGTCAGTGTTGTAGACTACTGCGTGAGGCATTTGCGAGAGTGCATTGATAACCCGGCCCGAGACGTGGAGGTTAGACGGTGAATCTTTTGGGTTATAGATGAGAGGGTACGGGTTGGCGGTAGTGCCAGAAGATGAGGACGATGGAGCCGATGTTGGAGGTGGAGAATCATCCAAAGGATCGACTTCAGCGTCAAGAGAGAGCCGGTGCTCCTGGGCTTCTTCAATGCTGCGCGGAGCAGATGAGTCCACGGACGGCATCAGACTGATGGCGGCCTTATCGGAGACGGTATCTGGGAAAGACGCAGCCTCTTCCCCGAGAGCACCCAACGCGGGTGTCATATGAGAGATATGGTGGGACTTTTTTTAAAAGAAAAAGACATGTTAGCACAACTATCGGCACAAAAAACAAACAAAACTTACAGGCATTGCGCACTTTGATTTGCAAAGAAGGTGGTGAAGGTCAAGATGTTTGCTGGTTTAAAGTTGAAAAAAAAAAAAAAATAAATTAAAATAAAAAAAAAAAAAAAAAAATAACAAAAAAAAAAGTTTTTTGGTGGCTGCGTTTTGCTGCATTGTTATACAAACTCTATCTATCCTACTGGTAATAACATAAGGTAAGCCTAGGGTAAATATTCCAACTTACTCGGTAACTTTAAGTTTGGTTATCAAGAGCTGCTCGGTCAAATACCAAGTCCCGAAACTCCTCCAACATGCCGTGGGTGAAGTTTGTATCCTGCGGGAACCGGTACTGCCAAATGTCCATATTCTTGTGAAACCGTTCCCAAGCCAATTTTTGTTTTTCCGGATCTTCGGCAATTTCAATGTCGGCTGCCAGTTCCGCCTGACGTTCCGGAGTGGCATTACCTTCCTCATTGGACCCAGCAATTTCCTTTAGCTTACGGATATCTGAATCTGTGTTGTGAACTCCTAAACTATACTTGTATTCCCATTGATCGAAAAGAACAGGAAACACAGAGTATGTTCTCAAAAGACCAAGTGCAACAAGCCGCTTAATTACAATGTCCACGGGCATGTCCATGTCAACCCCAGCACGGAGAGCCAGCTTGCGAGCACCAGCCTGTGATACAGCATAAGCAACGGTACATGCGTTTGCTTCCCGGTAACGAATAACCCGGCGGTTGAGGGTTAAAGGTTTCCCATAGTAGTGGAAGCCAGAGTTGACGTGAGGATCGTAGTATTGGACAGCCAGATTACTTCGTGGGGGTTCACGCCAGCATGCACCAAGCTGAAGGACATCCCAGTGGGAAGACAAATAAGGGTCTTGTTTAGTTGAGTGTTCATTGGACATAAGTAGGTTTTGTTGGCGCAACATGTGTTCAAGGCCATGAGACAAGTGGTACATGATGGCCCTAATATTGACGTCCCAGGCAGCATCTGCTTCCATAATAAGAGCCGTGGAAAGATTTTCATCAAGAACTTTTTGCCAGACCTTATTGTGAGCCATATAGCAACCAATGATGGAGTCTGGACTTTTTTTACTTGAGGGCAGGTTCATGCCCTGTTCACGAAGTTTGGCGATTTCTGCTGCCTTGAATCCTTCTATTCGGTCCGCACGGATTCCACTAAGCGAGCTTTGCAGATGGAATGTGTTTTCTCTGTCGAATCGAGTGTTAATGTTGATGTAAAAGATTTTCTGTAAACCCAATGTTTCATTTGCAAGGCCTTGAGGAAGTTCTATATTGGGTTCGTCTTCCAGGACAATATCGTTGGTTGGATCTGAGCCTGGTTTGGAGTATTGGATTTGAGCTTCTTGAACAGCTTTAGCTTGTTGTTTGAGCTCTTTTGCAGAGGGCCCAACAATCTTGTTGCTGACCGTACCGACTTTGCCATAGATGGTAGCTGAATGTTGAGGGAAGATGAAGGCTGCTGCTGCAAGGAGTATAAGAACCACCAGGATGAACCAAACCCGGCGGTTGACCATGAATTTGACTGGAGTGATCATTGGTGAAGGGGTAAAAAAAAATATGAGGAAAGGAGAATGGGAAAGGATTATATGGAAGCGGGAAAAGAAATTTGGATAGCAGAGCGAATTGAAATAAAGTAGCTGAAGGATAACACAAAAAAAAGAAATAATATATAAAAAAAAAAAGAAATAATATATAAAAAAAAAAAGAAATCATATATAAAAAAAAAAAGAAATGACTAATAAAAAACACAGAAAAAATTAAATTAATTTAAAAATAAATAATGAAAAGATTAAAGAATGAAAATAATAAGTATATTTGTTTTTTTAGAAGAAATTTGTTTCTTTCTGAGAATGTTTAAGTTAAGTAATTAATTCTCCATCAAATTTTAAGAAAAAGCCCAATCTCAATCGAATGATTTTCTAAATACTCTTTATAACCCTTGAATAAAAACAAAAAAAACAAATAAGCTTTCCAAGGAGGTCAAATGTTTTAGTGTGATAATTATCAGTTAACTTTTAGTTTTAGTTTTAGTTTTAGTATAAAGAATTTAAGATTTTTTATGTGAATTTCTTTGTTATAAATCGTTGGTTACTTTAAACAACATAGTGTATCCGGCTTGGATTATATTTTGGGAAAAACAGAAAGCTTTAAAAAAAAATGTCTCTAATATTGATGTTTGGATGAAAAAAAAGTGGGCTTTTGATTATTCGAGTGTAAATAAATATCCAATAAATGCCATGGTTGAGTAATAGTGGCCTCTGAAATTTTTATTTGAGTATTTCCATAAATTGATACAGAGAACTTTGATTGTATTTTTTCAAAGGGGTCATTGTTATTAACTTTGTTTCTGTAATTAATTACTCAATATATATTAATTATATTGGTTATTTAGTCTTTATTATGATTAATATATAGAAGTTACATTTTGAAGAAAAAGAAGAAAAGTTGATATTAAAGATTATTTTTTTTTTTGTAAAAGATTCAAATGTTTGATGATTTCTGAAAAGAAAAATCTCCCTCCAATTCATATCAAAATCATGTGATTATTGGTTAATCAAAGTGCTCAAAGTGCTCAAAGTACTACATTTGTGATATTTGGATACGCGTATATATATATATATACAAATAAAGATTTCAGCATTGAAATGCATCAAATGTGTTTGAATCTAACTTTTTTGTAAATTATTTAGATAAAATCGAGACTGTGCATATTGTTGTATTTTTTATATAAAAAATACTTAAAAAACATTAAAAAAATTATTATTTTGGGCAATATCTAATTAGATATTAAAGAAAATTTCCCAATCGATTGGAGAGATATCTCTCCAAGACAATTGTAGAAATTGTTCTCATGAAAAAAAAAAACAAAAAAAATAACACCCATCAGCAACAGCTTTCAATGGGCCATTGCCAAATTTCAATCAACAAGTCTTAAACTGTGCATCTTGCCAATTGTGCCCTAACAAAAATATTTTTTTACCATATGGTATATACCAAATTGACAAAAACAAAAAATTTACTTGAAACCCCCAAATCGCTGTGCTTATTAACGTGTTGAAAAATGAAGAGGAAATCGTTATTAAGAGTTTGTGAAATGGTTAATAAGGATTTCATCTTGTGTTTTTTTTTTTTTTGTTTCAGTTTCATGTCAATTAGAAATGGTTTATGGAATTATGATCTGTACCATATTGAATAATTGGTAGAGTTTGAGCCCAATTGCTGCCAAAAATAACTGGAATATTACCAAATCCAAATGTATTTTTTTTCGGTTCTGTAGTGTTTTATCAACAGCTAAAAAATTTTTTTTGTGTTGCATTGTTTCTTCATTCCAAATAATTAAATCAACCTTTTTAAATATTCCTTTAAAGCAGGAGTCAAAAGAGTATATGAGACTTTTGTAGAATCTAATGGAAGTTTAAAATTATAATGAGCTGTAGTACCATTAGGTAGTTAGTTATAAGGCCGATATTCCAGTGGAGGCACAACATAAGACTATTTTGCCTTGTGTTTTATAATGATATGCAATTGTACTATAAATGAAAGTTTTTCAGCACCTGAATCACCTTGTAGGAAATAAAATTTCTTGTTTTGTTGATTGTATGAAATTTTATCGTCAATGTAGGAAATTAAATCATTGAAACCATTTAATTGATTAGAATTCGTTTTTGTCAAATTTAAATTGACCTATTTTTCTAATGTTTCTTTGTCATTTTATTTGGCAAATTCTATATATGGATTGTCATTGATATAAGAATTATTACAACTATATTGAATAGGTGGTAGTCCATTTAGTTCAAAGTTAAGCTCATGCTTTTTAAGTAATTGATTGATATAAAATAAAGCAAGATCAAACGTTGCATCTGGTTTATTTTCATTTTGAGGAAAATTCTTATGAATTTTTGGAAGTAAGCCATCTGAAAATTCAATGGTAATTCATTCAAAGTACAATTAATAAAAAAAATTCTGAGGACTGTTCCTGAAGCTTGTTGTGATGTCTCTTTTAGAAATTTATCTCATTCATGTTCAGAATTTAATAAACCTAAGGCGATTGCATTTTCATTAAAGGGTTTATAAAATACATTATTTACAGTAAGTAAATCATGATAGGAAGTAGGACTTTTAACATTTTTTTAACAATACTCTCAATGTATATCGTTCCTTATTTTTTGGTGCAGGCGGTCCAATTTTTCCTAAAGTAAAAGAATTTCCTTTTCTTGTATCCCAATACATGTTTCCATTGCTATCTTTATTTAATTTATAATACATTGGAAATTCCGAATAATACCTTGTGTCCAGCTTGTTTTGAAAGATTCAATGTCATTGGAATGCCATGTAACTAAGTACCTTTTTGATTTGGTAAATGTTAATCTAATTTCATTATTGTACGATATTTGTAGTAAAGTTTATATTCTTAAATTCTAATGATTGCCTCTAATGCATTATAATATCTAGATTTAATAGAGCTGTTAATTTCATCAATAACATGATTTGATATTATTGGATTAATAATTTCAAGTGTAACAACAGCTTTGTCAATGGTTGAATGGTAATAGTATTGAGAAATTTATCATTAATGTAACGTGAACTTCCTGTGACAATTTTTTTGAGGGATATTCTTATCAAGTTTTATTTCTTAAAAGCTCTTATCTGGTTGTATTTTTGAATTGATACATGGACAATAATTGGTTAAATATTTTATTTATTTTTTGTGAATATATTCAGAGATTTAACTGTTATCTTATTTTTAATGGTTCATTTTGAGGATCTTAAAATGGTTGTCTGCGGCTTTTGTTGCAGGGTTCAATTTTGGGCTGATGAATTCCCGTGACATTTGTAATAATGAAGAATTATATTAGGAATATAGAAAATTGGCAATCCCAACCGCCCTTCGCACTGGGAACCCCTTTCACCTTTTCACAAACGATCTTTATGGCATAATCTCACAAATCGTCCAGACTACAAAACTTGACACCCAAGATAGATTTTATTAAACGCCGAGTTGCCGCTGGGATTTCCTCCACGTTTAATAACTCTACTTTGGCCAAGTTTTGGCAGACCAAAAACCAACTCCAAAACCACACTAGCAACCACTCACCTTCACAGCTGGCACAATAAATTAGGTAAAATAAAAAATATTTATTTTTTGTAAAATATTTTGTATTACAGTAGAAATAGGGCAGAAATTAATAGATTATGTAATTTCAAAAAAAAAAAAAAAAAAAATAGAATTGGCAAGGTGGTGGTTGTTGAGAACAAGCAGTTTTATTTTTAACTAACTATAAACACGCTGATGTAATCAGTATTAAATGGAAATGGGTGACCAACACAGTAGTAATAACCAAACATTAAAATAACTCGGGACTCGAGATACCTTCACCATTGTAGTCTAAGGTTGTAATATATTATAACTAAGTTAACTAATAATAATAAAATTTCAAATTTAGTTCTTATATTTGAAAAAAAAACTCATTTTAGCCTTAGGTATAAAAATTAATTGGATTTGGATTCTAAAAACCTTTTGATCTATTATATATCTGGTTTTTTACAACATCAATAACTCTTCAATGTAACTTTTGTTCAAAGCATATTCAGTTCAATTCATGATCATGATCATAATCTATTCAATCATTCAGATCTCTTCAATTATTTAAATCTCTTCAACTATTTTGACCCCTTCAACTCTTCAGATCTATTCAGATCTTTTTAATCATCTTAATCTCAATTCAACTTAATCTTATCAATCTACTTTATTTTTTTCCTAACTTGGGAAGCCTCCTCGACTTTTTTCATGTGGCTAATCCTCCTTTAATGTCTCCAAAAAGTCCATCCCTTTTCTTTTTTAAACACCTTATCCAAACTATGAAAACTCTTTTCTAACTATAAATCTGACTTTAAATGGCTCAACGCATTAACAACTTCACCGTCAATATCTCGTTATTGGTATTATGGGCCTTTGCAGCTCCCTTTGCAACACTCATCATTATCTACTTTTCTACTCAAATTCAAACTTACTTTAAAAACCATTACTTTGTTTCTTCTGAACTAAGAGATGCAAACTGTGATGCAGTCTTAAAAGCTGGAAGGTATCTCGATGACCCATCATACCGACCTATGTTATGGCAGCCCGATGGATGTGCGATGCACTCTTATACCGGACCCTCTGCGTTGCACGATTTCACTGAATGCTTTGATCCCGGAGACGAGATTATAGTGGCCGGTGACTCCACGGCACGCCAAATTTATTATGGAGTTGTGGGTTCCTTACAACCTGGACAAAACTTTTACACCAACTTACAGACCAATGCTACAAACAACATCAATGGGGTTTTGCTAAGATTTTTTTGGTCATCCTTTTTAGACGACGCACCACCAATCATCTTTAAAGATATTGCAAAGAAAGGTGACAAGTCTGAATTTGGGGGATTTCGAAATGGCTTGAAAAAAAACCCCAACCGCAAATCTAAAAGACATGTGGTCTTCACTGGGGGACTGTGGCACGCATGGCACAGAACTGAAAAGAATGCATTTAACTATTATAATAGTACCATGTCTCAGATGTTTCACATTTTCAAAACAGCGCCTAGTGGTGTTTTTGATAATGTATATTTTGCACCTGTCATGATTCCGAGCTATTTCCAACTCCCTGAACACAAGAAGACTCCAAAAGTGTTGGCACAAATGTTAAACTTTACCGACTCTTACTTTAACTTTCATCGTGGAGAAAATACTCATGGTGATACTGGGGGGATTGTTTATAAAGACTCTGGAGAGGTGGCAATGTATTACATTCCATTTCCCCATGAAATTGGAGGTGAAAACCACTACGGACTTTACGACCAGTCTGGCATCCACTTCAATGATATTGGGCGGTACCTGGAACCCGATATTTTACTGAACCACATGTGCAACCAAATCCTGGCAGATAAAAAGGTGCCAAGCTTTACAGGTACCTGTTGTGTTAAGTACCCCGGAATGTCGCGGATTGCACAAGTTATGCTTCTTGTCATAACTGTTATAGCGACAATGGCTTTGGCTCTGGCACTGATAGTTGTAATTTTCCGGAAAAGTGTCAAGTCGATGGCCATTCTGCCTGCCATTGTTTTGGCAAATGTTTGGGCTGCGGTATATGTTTATTTGGCTGAAAGCACACATGCATTAAATAAAATCGCGCTGCACTTTGAGCCCACAAAGTTTGCCGTTTTGATTCAGCTGAGTATGGTGGTGGCCATATTTTGGCCATATTTTGGAGATTATGGATACAAGTCATTAGGAGTGTCTAAAAGACTGATTCCAGAGGGTGTTTTGAGTCGACCATTTGTCAATGAGTTTAAAGGATTATGTGTTGTGTTTTTGCTCATTGTGGAAGTGACAGGCTATAACCGTGTTTATGAGACATTTACTGGCGAGCTATTATCCCGATTGTTTTTTTCATGCTATACCATGGCTGAGGTTTATACATTTACGATTGATGTTATTGAAAGGCGGTCTTTCAAGTTGTATTTTTACAAGGTGGCCCATATTTTCTTGTTACCAGGGTTGATTGGTTTGGCTTTGGACTACAAAACTTTACAAAAGCAATCTAATGAGCATTCTTTGTTTAAGTTACTTATGGATTTGTCTCCCATTACGGCCAAGTTGTTTTTCTGGTTTACATTTGTGGTAATTGCAGGAGAGTTGACTAAGGTTTTGCGCAACAGGTGTTCTCAGTCATTGTGTGTTCAAGTGGGAGTAGGAGGAGTATTTACTTTTTGTGCAATAGTCTCTTTTATTGTCCAATTAAAGTTTGCACCAGCAGGTTCCTCGGATGAAACTAAAACAACTCCAGCTGGGATCATGATTGATCTAGGAGACACGGTGTACAATAAGCAGCATCCGATTCTAGGAGACTTTTGGCCTGTGTTTGGGTCCTTTTTAGCTGCGTGGTGGGGGATTACTGTAGTTGGTACTAGTACTACTACTAGTACTACTGCAATACAAGTACCTCCAAAACAGGCACTTATTAGCATTGCAGCAATAACAACAGCCACAATTAATGTGCTGCATCGGATGCTCAAATATGAACTTCCTCCACTGCTGATTGCTCCTATAAACCGATCGTATATGGATTTGAGTGCTACAGGGTATGCCGGGGAAATTGCTCAGCGAGGGAGTGGGTACGGAGAATTTGTACATGGGGGGTTGTGTGTTGTTGCAGTTCTATTTTGGGTATTGTTTCGGTTAACTTTGCTGGAGATTACCAGCGATAAGAAAACCAAAAGAGAGTCCAGATTCCGGTACATGAAAGGGTTTATTTTGGTTGGGAGAAGTGGGTATGAGATGGTTGTATTGCGGACTCATGTGTTGCTTTCAGTGGGCGGAACAACGCTATTGCACGTGTTGCCAATGGGGACTGGGGCAGTTAATGTGAAGTATGTTGAGCGGACATTTGGGAAGATTTCAAAAGATGCTGAATATAAGTTTTATGAGTTCCCTGGGGTTTTGATGGAGAAGTTTCTTGAGAGTGTAAATTTGTTTGTTGTTGGATGTGTGTTTTGGGTGGTTGCAGAGACTGTAGCAGCAGGTTGGAGGGTTTTAGAGGAGAAGGAGGAGGAAGAAGAAGAGGAGGAGGAAGAAGAAAAGGAGGAGGAAGAAGAAAAGGAGGAGGAAGAAGAAAAGGAGGAGGAAGAAGAAGAGGTTTATTAAAATGGAATTTATAAAAAGTATATATACTTATATATATATATATATATATATATGAATTGATAGATAGAAATATATATATAGAACCGTTGACATATTTCAATATTCAATTAAGTTTAAGGGTTTTTTCGTATACGTAATGGACATCTTTAAAATATATATATGAGAAGGGTCTTAAAGATATACATAGGCAGTTAGCTACGTAATTCATATAATTTTATTTATTTATTTATTTATTTAATGCGGATCCCCATAACTAGTAGAGACGTAAGCTTCGGGTTTAAGCTTTTTTTTTTTTTTTATTTTTATTTCAATGCCCATGAAAAAAAAGAGAAACAAAACTTCAAATCTTCCCCAGATTATTATCATTATTTTATAAAAAATTCAAAAATTTAAAAATTTTAAAAATTTAAAAAAAAAAAAAAAAAAAAAAAAAAAATCCTGTAAAGTTAACTAAAATTTTATTTTTTTTAAAGAATTCTTTTTATTAGTTTTATTATTATTATTATTATTATTAATTATGTAGAGTTAATAAGCCACATCACCACCATCTTGACAGGTTGGCTAATAATTTTTTATTTTTAATTTTTTTTTTTTCATAATTATATATAATTATGATTTAATATTTAATTTGATATTTGATATATTTGACAATCAGTAATAGTAATAGTAATAGTAATAGTAATAGTAATAGTAATAGTAATGTTAATAATATTAGTGATATTAGTACACCTAAAAGTCTTTTGTTTATTTTTTTTTTATTATTCATTCATTTTTTTCTTTCTCCCTTTCTTCTTCTTCTTCTTCTTCTTATTCTTATTCTTCTGTATTACTTTAATTTTAACCTTTAAAATATCCTTAAATTCTTAATTCAATCATATCATATTCTCTGCTATTTCTCACAATGAAATGGCAACTACCTCGATACTCATCAACAACTAATAACAAATTGACCTCTCCTTTCACAAAATACTCACCCTTTTTGCTCCCCTTAATAGTCCTTTCAGCCGCCATTTCATGGAACCTCTACTCAAATGCTTCCTATTCACTTTCCTCAAAAGAACCTCCCAACTGCAGCGCTCTCCTCAAACGAGGCCGCTATTTAGACGACACCTCACCTGACCCACTAATATGGCAACCCGACGGTTGTGCTATGCGTTCCTATGACCAAGACCCAAGAGACCTGCTTAAACATTGTCTTTCTCCAACAGACCAATTTGTATTTATGGGTGACTCAACTGCCCGTGGTTTGTATTGGGGAGTCAGTAACGTAATAGAACGAGGCCATTTCCGTGGACTCAAATCCCACTCCGACGTCCATACTACAATCAAAAACATGTCTTTATCCTTCTACTGGAACCCACTGTTAGAAAAAGACCTCATGAACCCTATTGTCGCAATGGCAAAGGGAACCCCGCTTGAAGAATGGCGCAAAAATAGAGAAAAAACAAGAGGGAATGGTAAAAGATACTTGGTTGTTACTGGAGGACTATGGATGGGTCTTGTTGAAGAAACCCCAAATAGAACAGATATTGTACCACGCTATGCTCGCAGTTTGGATTATCTGTTTTCACAATTAGATAATCGTACCGTGGGGTCCTTTGATAAGATCTACTTTGCCCCTCTGCTTCTTCCTGCTTCTCCGTACCAACGTCCCGTGCGAAGAGACCAATTGTCTCCTGATTTTGGCCGTGATCTTCTGACCTACGGCGACCAGTTTTTCGGGTACGAGCGCAGTTCAACTACTGGGAGTGGTGCCCAAGGTGGAGTGCACAGGTTTAGCAACGGGTCCAAGGAAGTTTCTGCCTACTACTTACCTGTGATCAATGAACTCTTTGGAGAACATCATTATGCAAACCGAGAAGTAGCAGGAATGCACTTTATGTATAATGGTATTATTACTCAAGGGAACATTCTGCTTAATCATATTTGCAACGAAAAGGTGGCTGCGGCGTATACCAAACAGGATAAACCGGCTCCTCAGATGTCATGTTGCGTGCACAAAGACCCGCGCTTTAATGAGAAACTCGTGTGTCTATTGATTGCCGTTGTTTCGCTAGGTTTACTTGTTGCTGCTTTGTTTTATCGGCTTGTTAAAGTTCCTATTGCCAACGCTGCTGCCGTTTCTCTGGCGGCTCTTATTGCTGGTGCCTACAGTTTACTTGTTAACAATTCGACACCCATAGCACTCATCAAACCTCATTTTTCCCCAACTGATATGTGTCTACTGCTCCAACTCTGGGCTGCAATTACTTGGTTCTCCCTCAAACCTTTACCTTTGGACCAAGCCGTTTTGAGTGAAAAAACAGCGTTATCAGGAGTCTCACAGAAACATTTGAATCAAGGGTTGTGGGCACACCAACTTAAAGGTGTTTTTATGTCGTTGCTGCTGATTATCAACGTCACGGGTTATGATAAACACTTGTATCGTATTGAGGGCGAGTTACTTGCGCGTGTTTTACTTTCTTTATGGTCTTGTGTTGATTTAGTTGATTTTTCGCGCTCTTTGCGAGTATCCCGGACTCCTCGACCGGTTCTTCTTCGGTTGATGCGGGTTTCTTTTCTGCCATTAATTTTATTTGTTTCTGGGTCTTGGACTAACCCCTCAGCATCATTAGAAGACCGACCAAGTTTTTATCTAAGCGCAAACAACTTTTGGTGTATCCCCTTACGTGTAATATTCTGGTATGTATTTACGCTTTTAGGCCAGCCGTTGGCCGAACGGGTTGTGGCTAAGGGTTTTGGCTGGGCACCGGTTACAAATAAAACATCCCACTTGAAAAGTCTGGTGTTGGGTGGGTTTGGTTGCATGGGCTATGCATTATGCAGTAGGTGGTGGTGGTGGTGGTTGACGGGATTCTCCTTCTTGGCATACGACTTTTGGCTGCTTCTGGCTGCACTTGTATGGGAGGATTTTTTTTCTGCAACCATCCATTCACAGCAACAACAACAACAACAACAACAACAAAAACAGGTCTTACGGGTGTCCATAGGTATCATGGCTCTTGTTGGGATCAACTCGCTTTTTATATCTTTTGGATCCTATTACCCGCTTTCTTTTGGTATGGACGATCCTTCTCGTCAGTGTGATTTTTCACAAAATATGGTGGATGCTGCTGTTTCTGCTCGTGGACGTATGTATACTCGATTGGTTCATTTTTTTATTTGCATTCCTTTGTTTGTTTGTTTAATGTCTTACAGTTCCCACTTTTATTCTCCTTTTTGGGTATCTGCGGGAACTTATTCTTATGAGATTCTTGTATTACGGTTACACATTATTCTAGCAAAGGGCGGATCACTCTTAGTTCATGTTTTCCCTACTGGCTGGATTTCATCACGCTTTGTTTTACGAGCCTTACAGATCTTGCCTTCGGTTTTCCCCAAAGGTTTTAACTATGATTACGGGATGACACTGGGCGTAGGGAAAGGCCTGGGGTATGGATTTGAGTATATTGTAGGAATGAGGGAAGTATGGGTGGCTGTTAGGAGAGTAGCAAGCTTAATGCTGGTAGTGTGGGTGGCTGCTACTATTGCCAAAGTGTATTACAGTGGGTGGTCTCTTGAGGATGATGAAGAAGATGAATTTGAAGACAATGGGGTTTAAAAAAAAAAAAAAAAAAAAAAAGGGAGTAATTTTTTCATATTAAAGTAAGGTTCAATAAATATATATATATATATTGAATACGAAAAGTCAATTGAGTTTAATTTTTTAAAGTTTGGATCAAGGTTTTTAGTTAATATGGTATTTCAGGGTGAAATACTTTTAGTTGAAAAGAACCTCCCCCAAACTTATTACTAAATGAAGATATAAATATAAAAGATTATAATCTTTTTTCTGTTGTTACTGCCTCAACATTATTATTTTATGTCCAATAAAAAGCACCAAATTTATTTATGAAATTGATTGATCTTTTTTAGAATCAAAGTAAAAATAAATGGATAATAAATAAATAAAAAAATAAAACAAAAGGTTGCCTTATAAGGTTAAATAATTTTTTATTTATTTATTTATTTATTTATTTTTACAGTTTTTTGATATCTTCACCTGGTTATCTCTAATCAGAAATTGCTTATAAATTACTTTATTAATAATATTATTATAAGGTAAAATATGTTTAAATTTTTATTAAAACAGTGTACATATATATAAAATACCTCCTTACATAGTTTGCTGCTGTAAGCTTTTGAATTTAAAAAGTAAAATAAACTTTGGTATTTAAATTTTCTTTTTTTTTTTTATATTTATATTATTATAATAATTAGTTAAATTAATCAAATCCATTAATTTATAAGTTATTTTTTTTTTTTTTTTTCTTTTTAAAATAGATTTTCTAAAATCCCTTTGCTCACTTTTCTTTTCTTTTTTTTTTCAAGTCTTTCTAGTCTTAAAAAAAAAAAAAAAAAGTACCCTAACCTTTTCTTTCTACCCCTCTTCCTCTTATGTTTTTTTTTTTTTTTTTTTTTTTCTCTAATACCTTTCAAAAATAAAAAATAAATAGAAATATATCCTCCCCAGATTTCATAAAAAAAAACATTTTTATTTTTTTCCATATCAAAAATAAATAAATAATGTTTTCCACAGGAACCCAGCAAAAACATTCTTTCCATCCGCTATTGTTCCTGTGGGCCCTCGTGGCTCCGCTAGCAACCTTCATCATTCTCTACTTTTCTACAGAGCTTCAAGCTCATCTCGAACGCACATACTTTGTATCTCAGCCTCTTAGACAATCAAACTGTGATGCAGTCTTAAAGGCTGGTAGGTATCTTGATGACCCGTCATTCCGACCCAAAATCTGGCAACCTGATGGATGTGCAATGCACCCTTATACCGGACCCTCTGCGTTACACGACTTTACTGAATGCTTTGATCCTGGCGATGAAATTATAGTGGCTGGTGATTCCACAGCACGTCAAGTGTTCTACGGGCTCGTGAGCTCGTTACAGCCAGCACAACACTACAACATTAGCAAAAGAGAAGACCTCACAGTGATTGTCAATGGTGTATCGTTACGATACTTTTGGTCTTCATATCTTGACGACATGCCGCAAATATTTAGTGACATTTCTAAAAACGGAGCAAAGTCTAAGTACAAGCAAGTCGCAAATAGCTTAAAGCCAACTGAAAGTTTGACTAGAAGCAAAACACATGTATTTTTTACAGGAGGTCTTTGGCATGCCTGGTACAAAACTAAAGATGACGGTCTCAGAAATTATTATAAGAGCATGTCACAGCTCTTTGACATTTTTAAAACTGCTCCAAATGGAGTATTTGACAAGGTGTACTTTGCACCTGTCATGATGCCCAACTATCCTCAAATGACCAGTGACCGCTGGACTTTTGATGTTTTATCAGAAATGATGAACTTTACAGACACTTATTTCAATTTCCACCGTACCAAATCTGGCCATGGAGGCCCAGGTGGTGTTGTTTACAAAGAATCAGGTCAAGTAGCCATGTACTACATTCCCTTTACTCATGAAATTGGCGGCGAACACCACTATGGACTTTACGACCAATCCGGTATCCACTTTAATGATATTGGACGATACTTGGAACCCGCTATTTTACTGAACCATATGTGCAACCAGGTCCTAGCAGACAAAAAGGTTGCCAACTTTGCTGGCACTTGTTGCATTGAGTACCCAGCCATGTCACGTGTCGCACAAATAGGTCTGCTGGCCATAATCACTGTAGCTCTGGCAGCTGTGATTGCGGCTTCAGGGAAAAAGGCTGTGATTCCGCTGGTCACTGTTTTGGCAAGTGTATGGGCTGCTGGGTACGTGTACATGGCTGAGCGCACGCATGCTCTTAGTAAGATTGCATTACACTTTGAGCCTGCAAAGGGTGCCATTTTAGTTCAACTTGGTGTACTACTTGCCATGTTTTGGCCAGTTCTTGGTGGCTATGGATTCAAATCTGGAGAAAACTTGGTTGTGTTTAAACAGTCATTCCCCGTTGGGGTTTTGACCAAACAATTGCTCAATGAATTTAAGGGGCTTTGTGTGGCTATACTACTAACTGTCCAAGTTACTGGATATGATCGTGTTTACGATACGTATACAGGAGAAGTACTCGCCCGTGTGTTTTTCTCGTCCTATGCCATGGCCGAGGTTTACTCTTTGACTCTTGATGTTGTTGAACGCGGGTCTGTCAGATTATACTTACGAAGGCTGGTCCATATATTTCTCCTTCCAGGGTTAATTGCTCTTGCCCTTCATCACAAGGATTCTCAAGAAGGAATGGTAGAAAAAACTCAATCAGCCTTTCAAGCTCTCACAAATCTCTCACCAATAGCTGCAAAGTTATTTTTCTGGTTTTCATTTGTTGTTGTTGTTGTCAATCTGGCAAAGCTACTACAAGTCAAATTTTCTCAGCCGTTAAGCGTCCAAGCAGGATTTTTGATTATTGCTGGGGCTGCCACTTTTATTGCCAGATGGGCTACTGTTGAAAAATATGGTCCTACTCAGGTGACCAAAACCCCAGCTGGAACTATGATTAACATTGGTGATGCTGTTTATAATAAGCAGCACCCTATTTTGGGAGACTTTTGGCCCGTTTTTGCAGCCTTTTTCGCGGCCTGGTTTGGAAGCATCAGCATATCCAATTCTTCTGAGACCTACTCTGAAGTAGTCCCTTCTAAGAAGGCACTTGTAAGTGTTGCTGCTGCAGCTGCTATCGTGACCAATGCCCTTCACCGTGGGCTCCGGTTTGAGCTGCCTCCACTACTAATTGCTTCAAACAACCGGTCATACATGGATATTAGCGCAGACCGTTACGCTGAGGCCATTCTGCGACGTGGACATGGGTACTCAACAAGTGTGCATGGGATTGTTTGCATGGTGTTTGTTTTATTTTGGGTTTTCTGTCGGTTGGCCTTATTGCATGTCACACGGGGAGATAAACAAGAAGAAGAAGGAGGAGGAAAGGAAGTGGAAGAAACAAAGGTTAGTCAATGGCGGAAACTTAACTATAGATATCTGGGTGGGTTTGTTTGGCTGGCTGGGTGTTCATACGAGGTGCTAGTTCTACGGGCTCATGTGCTATTAGCTGCTGGCGGGACCACATTGCTGTATGTGCTACCTACAAGCACTGGTGCCACATTTTCACGGTTAGTTGAGCGGACACTTGGGCTTATTGCCAAGGATGCTCCGTTTAAATATTTTGTTTTCAATGGGGTTTTATTTGCCAAAGTTTTAGAATGGGTGAATCTGTGTGTTGTTGTATGGGTTTGTTTGGTAGTTGCGGTCACAGTGGGTGCTGGATGGCAGTATATGGAAGAGGAAGATGAAAAATGAAAAATGAAAAATGAAAAATGAAAAATGAAAAATGAGAGAAGGATATATATATATATATATATATATATAATGTTGTATTGATATTGTATCAATATGGTAACTAAGCGATAACTAGGTGATAACTAGGCTAGTTTGTGAAAAAAAAAAATTTTTGTTTTAAGATGTCTGGAAAGATTCAAGGCAGATAAAAGAGAATTATTTTGATTATTTTTGGTTAGTTTGAATTGATGTTTGTATGTGTGTGGAGGGGGGATACGTAGACAAGTTTAATAAAGAAAGGATTAAAAAAAAAAAGTTTAAAAGATGGAGAAACAAGTTTAATAATAATAATGATAATAATAATAATAAAAAAAACATAAAGATGAATGAAAAGACAATAGAACAATGGATAGAATTAAATATTTAATATTCAAGATAATATAACGTATATAGTAAAGTGAATAAATGTTTAGAAGAAAAGTTGGGATAGATGTTGGATCTATTAACATATTTCCATATTAAGTAATGTACTTAAAAAAAATGCCTTAAACTTTTATTTGAAGTTTTCTTTTTTTTTTTTTTTTTTTAAATAAAGTAAAATTTTAAAGTAAAATTTAAAATATTTATAATTATAAATATAAGAAAAAAAATTAAACTTTAGTTTAAAAAAAAAAAAAAAAAAAAAGGGGGGATATATATATATTTATTTATTTATTTATTTATTGTTAAGATTTTACTACATTAAAAATATTGATTGATATTAGTCGAGTCACCTAGAATATATTTTTATTAATAATTTTCCTCAAGTTGAATACTAAAATAAATAAATATCATTATAATGATTAACTATTCAAAAAACAATTATTATTGGTTTTTTTTTTATCAAATACTTTTTTTTTGATGTCTTATTTTTTTTTTATTAAATATATTTAATTTATATTTATATAAATATTTTTTTATGGGCCATTTCTCATCAACATCACCATTAACGCTTTGCTGGCATTTTTTTTTTTTTTTTTGATCTCTGTTTATATAAACTTAGCAACATCACAATCTATATTATTATTCCGTATATAACATAAATTTCACTAATTAGTGGCAATATAAATCGTATCGATATAATTTATATTATAATGCAGGGATATTTGCATTTCTCTGCATTTCTATATTTTTATCTTTCTATCTTGTTTTGGTCCACCGCAGCTTCTGCTTGCCTGCTTTCTCTTCTTTACAAAGTACTCACCGCTGTAGAAGGTCGTCACCAATTGCCGATGTGTCTTTGAATGTTTGTCGGTTACTTATTAACTTTGTTTGTCCAAGTAAATAAATATAAATACGTACCTTATAATTATAGTTATAATTATAGTTATAATTATCTGTCTTTCTTCTTCTTCTTTCCATTCCATTTCCCCCACAAATCTTACAATTGTTCAGTCCTGTTTTGTATTTTCAAAGTACTTCTATCTTTTTTTAAGTCTAAGCAACATCAATTATAATAATTTTCTCTCTCTCTCTCTCCCTCTCTTTTTCTATCTTTGTGTTTTTTCTACAAGAGTCAATTTCAAAATATAGAAACCAAATCCCGTAATTGCATTATTTAAATAAAAAAAAAAATGAAACTCCCCATAAAAAAAAAAAAAAAAAGTCGCTTAAAATTGTGTGTTCCTTTTCCCTTTCTTGTTTTAAGTGACCCGTCAACAACAAAATAAATATAAACCCTTTTCTTATAGTCTCTTTATAAAAAAAAATTTTTTTCAATCTTCTAAATATCTTAATTAAGATATTTATTTATAAATATATATATATCGATGGTTTAAGGGTACAAAAATTCAAACTGTCTGTGTTTTAATTTATTTATTTAATTTTTTTATTTTTTGGTTCTTCTAGGCTAAAAAATAAAATAAAAACAAAAAAACCTCCTTTACTTTACCATCACCAAATCTTCCCACAACTACCACCAACAACCCCTTCTCACAAACCCCAATGCGACTCCTCCCTAAGGGCTCCACCGGCGCGCTTCTACCAGTCCTTGCACTGGCCCCAGCTGCCGTGTCTCTTCTGCTTGTCTGCGCACTTGGTCTCCGTCTTTACATGTCCCATTACTTTATATCACCTGTTTTACGTGCTTCCAGCTGCGATGCTATCCTTTCTTCCGGCCGTTACCTTGATGACCCCTCCTTTGCCCCAAAAGTTTGGCAACCCGATGGTTGTGCCCTCCACCCATACGACTCTCTCAGTGCAAGCTCAGATGTCTTGGGTCCCTGCTTTAGTCCTGGTGACCAGCTCGTGTTTGTAGGCGACTCATCCGCACGCGATATCTTTGCAAGCATGCTGGTCATGATGGATCCTGGGCACTATCTTGAAGCCGACAAAGCCACCGTGAAAAAGACTTACACAGTTAAAGGTGTTAATTTTATCTACTATGAAACCTTTTTCTACAACTCCTCTTTAATAATGGATAATCTTAGGGCCCTGGTTAGCAATCCTTCTCCCAACCAGTCAAAAACTTACGTCGTGATTGCCGGAGGATGGCATTTTGCCCAAAAAATCCAAAACTCTACCCTGGCCGTCGAATCCTATGGGAAAAATCTCCAGCGACTCTTTGACATTGTGAGTGACCCAGCACCTGGTACAATCGCTCGTACTTACTTTGTACCACCAACCCTACCACACTTTGCCCTACTCAAACAAGACGACCCTCTCAATAACAAACAGCAAACTTACTCAGGAATGCTCAAATACATGGACCGAGTCTTTGCCCATGGTGCGATCTTTGATAGAAACAAAGCTACCGTGCTCTATGCTCCTGTATTTAACCAAATTGGTGGTGCAAACCACCTGGGATTATACTCCCTCAACGGTACAGACTATAGCGACCGTGGCCGTTTCCTCCAAGCAAATATCCTCTTCAACCATATGTGTAACCAACGTGTGCTTGTTGAAGCTAGTAAAAGCTCTGCCATCAATGCCACCCGCATGGCTGGAACTTGCTGTGTCCACTATGCTCCAATCTCCGGCTCAGCTTGGATATGGCTGGCCATCCTTCAGATAATTGGTCTAGGAGCTGTTCTTTTACTCTTTGTTCCAGCTACTAGACGTTCCGTTGGTGCTCCCTCGTTATGGACTGTCCCACTTCTCACAGTGCTTGTATCCACCTTAGCTGCCACATATGTCTTTTTCTCCGAACGCTCCCAAATTTTTTCCAAACAGACTTTGTTTTATGACCAAGAAAAGCTATATACCCTAGCCCAAATATCCATCTTTGTTGGAATCCTATCTCTCAGACGCACAGATACTCTAGGCTTTTCAAATCTACAGCTTGGTGCTCCCCTCGTCCATGAGCTTAAAGGTTTGTGTCTTACTGCCCTTATCATCATCGAAACTTGCGGCTACGACCGTGTCCCAGAATCCTTCACGGGAGAATTGCTTGCCCGTGTCTTTTTCACCTGCTATGCCGCCGCAGAAGTCTACTCATATACTGGAAAATACACTGGCCTAGCAGCTGCACAGATTCGTTACAAAAATAGACCCCAAGGATTTTGGTCTGCTCTCGTAGCTGCAACTCCTCTACGATACCTCGTCATGACTTTGCTCCATCTGTTTCTACTACCTGCTCTTATTGCAATTGCCCTAGGAACCCCAGGTAAAGCCCCCTCTGCCTTTGATGCTCTTGCACGCCTGGCCCCCATCTCTGCTAAACTCCTCTTTTGGTCCTTATTCGTGGCCCTCGCCGTTCCCGCAGTATACGCAACAACTTCTGCTGTAGTCCGTGCAGGAGCTTCATCTCAAGTTGCCATCGCCACCCAGTTTGCCGTTCTTCTGGGTCTTGGTACCCTCGGGTTCATCTTCAGACACATTGTCGTTTCTGGAGCCCCCACAAAAGCCAGCACCGACTATCCTCGTGCCATGATCTTGACTCTCGGGAATATTACCCATCACCAGTACCATTCGGTCCTTGAAGACTACTGGGTGCTGTTTGTAGCAGTTATGGCAGCTTGGTCACCAGTTGCCCAAGACCTCACCCGTTCCGCAAACGGCCTTCCAACAACCCCTCCAGACTCGCCAAAAAAACCTTCCAGAGTCTCTCCGCCAGCATGGTCTCTTGCCTTGGTGATTTTCCCCCTATTGGCTCTTGCAGACTACCTTGCAATCGCCCTCCCCTTTAAACTCACGAATTTGAATTCTTCCACATATATCAAATCCTTTAGCGACTACTCAACATCCTTTTATGCGCGCCATTTGACTTACAGAGGCGCCTCTTATACCCCAACAGTACATGCTACCTTATGTCTGCTTGGCCTCGCGGTTTACGTGCTCCTGCGGCTCCGCATCATTGCCCTCGGCACGACCCGCCCGCCGCCATACATGCGTGTCTATGTTATGGTCTCGTCCGCAGCATATGAGCTGGCCGTTCTGCGCACCCATGTCATTGTGGTCACCGCAACAGGCGCCAGCGCACTGCTCAGCCTTATCCCCACAGGAAGCCTAGCACCAATCTCTGTCTTGGGCCCCATAACTACCCCAGCCACCATTATGGACCGCGTGGGCGCCATCCCAGGACTGGCCGCTATACGCTTTGTATCCTGGATCAACATCGTGCTGGTATGGGGCGCTGCATTTGCCTTATCAAAGGCTTGTGCTGTTGGATGGGACATGTTGTTGCAGACAGAGTATTACGGGACCCGTTCTGAGTCTGAATATATTGAGCTGGAGGAGCTGAAATCCAATGAAGAGTAAGAAGTAAGTAAGTAAATATAATCCCGAGTCTATATATGTTATATAAAGTGTTAAAGCATCTGTATTCTGTATTCTGTGTTTTGTGTTTTTTTATTTTATTTTATTTTTATTTTTATTTTGTATTCCCCAAATTCCCCATATTAAGCATCCGGCCGTTTTGGCGGAAGAACCGCCCGGTTTGGACGCGCAAGATCCACGTCTGGAGCTGGCGATTCCGGCCGTGGTGTATCGCTTGGTGTCACACTCGGTGCGGCTACTCGTACCACTGTAACTTCTTCCGATGAATGCAGCGGGCTGTTAATCTTAGAGTCAAGCGCGCGCAGAGCCATGGCTCGGCGGCGCTCTGTTTGTGCACGCACACTACTGCCAATTGCACTGTTTGCAGCAGCAGCAGCAGCGGCAAACGCAGCAGCGCCGCCTTGCCGCAGATACGCGTAGGGGGAACCTGTGCCTGCGGTTCCAGCGGCGGCACCACGTAGTGCAGCACGAACATTTGCGTCACCAACATCCTGGGGTGAAAATGATGGGAGGATACGGAGACGAACGAAAATCGGGTAGAGAACAGCGCCAACTGCAGCAACAAGTGACGCAAGAGGGTCTGGGAAAAAGTGGGCGAGTGCAAAGGAATCTGCAGCATCTCCACAGACTGTCTGAGAGGTGGGACGATGGAGATTGGAAGATTGGCGGCGTAGACCCGAGGATGGTGGAGAAGGTACAGAAGCGTCCGAGTCTTCAGAGGGTTTTGCGAGCGGTAAGAGTGGGTCAATTTGGGAAACACGGAAAAAGCGGAGGTAAATCCAAGCAGAAAAAAAACCGACGAGGGCTGTAAGTGATCTACGACTCCAAGTTTCGAGAAATAATCCGTAGGCAGCCATGATGAGGAGATAAAGAGCTGGGAGACGGGCAACTCGGATGCGAATAGCGCCGCGGAATAAAGCCACGGTATGTTCAGGAACTAACTGTTTAAGGGCTACTGCAAACCCGGCGACAAATGCGGTACCGCCATTGATGGTAACCCAACGATCCGGAAGAACAACAATGTCAGCGGGCGGTGCACATCCTGGGAGCTGGCATAGCGGGTCATAAGAGTGGGCGGCAAGAGTGATGAGGAGTACCACAATGTTGGGGACAAGAGTTTGTATAGCGACAAATCGGGCAAGTTCTGCAGACCCCCACATGTGTTCGCAGTATTTCCCAGAGACGAGAAGAATGGCGGCTGTGAGTAAGAAGGAAAGAATATGGTCTTCAGCAAAAGTGGCAGTTGCAAAGACCCATGGGTAACGCAAGACACTCATGCCAGGGACCATGACGAGGAATGGGACAGCGATTGCGGAAAATTTAAGAGGTTCTGAGAGTGCTGGATGCTGATTATTATTTTCTGGTGATTGAGGAGAAGATGTTGGGATAGTATCGCGAGAAGTTTTGCCGAGAGCTGCACGTAACATTTGTTCGGCTTGGTGGTGATGGTGAATCGAATCAATGAGTAGATAATACCGGATAACTGCCATTGAGAGCGAGAAAAAAACCAGCAGGCCCAGAAGTGTTCGTGTAAGTGGGGGCACTGATAGTCGGGCCATTTTGTGCGGTTTTTTTATGATAGTTTGGTGGTGGTGGTGGTGGTGGTGTTGGTTAAAGTCTGGAAAGACCTTAGTTGGTGATATGCAAGATGGTTGTTTCGGTGGAGGTTTTAAAAATTAAAAAAAATTAAGAAAAATTAAATTAAAATTTAAAAATTAAAATTAAATTAAATTAAATTAAATTAAATTAAATTAAATTAAATTAAATTTGAGCACCACCACCACCACCACTCCTATTTCCACTTCTACTTCCACTTTCAATTTCAATTTCAATTTCAATTTCACCCCTTTTAAAACCTTTTTGTTTATTGATTTGTTTAAAACACAAACCATTATGATCCGTCAGATCCTTCGCTGTGCACGCCCGAGTTCTGGGCTCCGACCTTTTGTTATCCGTCGGTTTCAGTCCACAACCTCATCATCATCTTCTTCCTCCGGGTTTTCTCTCAAAGGAAACCCTTGGGTCCCTTATATTCTGTTACTTTCCGTCGTCTCTTCGGCTGTACTTAAAGTAATGGCTGTTCAACAAGATATGCGTGTACTTGAGGAACGCACAGCAGCTCGTCGGTCAGTTCTTGAAGACGTTTTGGCTCGGTTGGATCAGCACGAGCGTGATATTGCAGAAGGCAAAATTGCTCCAGGATCCCAGGGTTTTGACGTTGCAAAGGAAATCCAACAACTTATAGAGAAAAAGGACTTGGATAAAACTCTTGAAGAAATTCTTACCGAAATGGAATCAGCAGAAGACGAGTGGATCGATACAACACCGGTCCAGGTCACTGCGGCTGTGGCTCCAGAGCAGGCCCCGGAGCAGGCCCCGGATCTTACCCCTCAACCTATACAACCTGTCCAGCAAGTTCCCAAACCCTCGACGTCCAAGTTTTTGTAAATAACAATTAAAAAAAAAAATTACTCTATTCATACATCTATCATAATTCTCATCCTCTTGTTTTTTTTTTTTTTATGCACGAATCCTCTTGGGACTGGGCTCCGGCGGCTGAGGAACCGGTTGCGCTTGGTTCACATCTTCCGGATGCTCCCGCTTCAGCGTCTTATCGTCCTGCTCATTATCTTCCTCTTCTTCCCGCCGCGCCTTTCGCCACGTCTCCAGCTCGTGTTCAATGGCCGCGTCGTCTGCGCACAGCGCCGGCACGCGACCCAGAACCTCCCGCGTCATGGCCAGTGCTCCGGCTGCAGGCTCAAACCCGGCTCTTGTTGCGTGCTGGCACAGGACCCGTTTATATGCTGCCAGCTGGTCTCGATATAATGCCGCTTCATCCGAGTCTGGTCCTGTGCTACTTGTTACAAAAAGCAGTCCAGCAAATGAAGAAATCAATGCCAGCTGGAACCGCGACGACGAGTACCAAAATGCATGCAAGTGATGTGCTTGTAACTGCGTCACAAACTTGATTGCCGCAAGTAGGCGTGTTTTGGCAGCGTCTCGACAAAGCCCCACTAAAATCTCAATAGGCGGACTATTTGGTGGTCTGGGAGTCGTAAAGGGTTCTCCAGGAACTGGCAAAGACCGAATGATTCGTCGATGCAGAGTCAGTTCTGTCGCAAAGTACGACAAGTGTAGGTATCCGTTTGCCGGGAGCCGCTTGGTATCCTGATCATTTCTTAACAGTAGGCTTTGTGGGAGCGAATGGTACCAGTTGCGCAGACGTAACTGCAAAGGTTTGGCTCGTTCCAAAATGTCTTCAGTTTGGGTGATTTGACGTAGAGCCATAATGGAGAAAAGTTCATTGCGAATGTCCTCCATTATTGAAGACAATTTGATCATCTCCATAAAAACAAGTCGGCCATTTTCCACCTCCGCAACAAGTCCGTTCTCAGTCTCGACTTCGGTACGTTCGGGGAAATCCTCAGCAACAGGTTCTGCAATCAGCCAGGTACGCAAGCGGTTAGTATGGGCCGGTCGGGACTCAGCAAGAGCAAGCCACTGGTCTTGTAGCCATACGGCCCATGCAAGACGCCGTCGAAGCCCCCGCTCCCATCGGGGGATCTTCCATTTGTTACAGTCATATCCCAAGGCCAGTTCCTCAGCAATGGCGACTACTTGTGAGCACAGCATCCAGTTACCTCCACGAGAGGGTCTGCATTGTAATAGCAATAAACCGGCCTGGATAGACGCTAGTTTGGGCCTATCCAGAGCATCGGCAAAAGTAGTTGTTGCAAGCTTAAATAGGGCTTCAGCGTTGGGCTTTTTGCATGGACGAGTAGGTGGGTCTAAGTGCCACCAGTTGAGGGCCATTAGATAAACCGCAGCTAGTAACGGTGCAAGAAACTCTCTATGAGTGCGCTTGTATTTTTCTAAAAACACTTGCTTGTGCAAGATTGGGAAAGCCGGATGGACGATTTTAAAGTACAAGTCAATCAAGTGCTGGCCATGTGGAGCGACGATTGCCTCTACCGCGTCGCAGTTTTGGATCGAGCGCGCGTAGAGTTCTTCAGAATAGTCATTGTGGAGAGCAAACGTAATGGTGGGAGATACGCTGCGGAGTTCAACGTCAGTGGGCGTGATGCTAGGTTTAGATGGGTCAACAAGTAGCGGGTCGTAAACACTTGTAGGTCCCAGAAAGTAGGCAGACCTTGGGTACTGCAGACTTAAGGCCTTTTTGAGCAAGGCGTGTCCTCCAAGTGATGCATAATCTTTATACTGGAGTTTAGGGCGTTGCATAAGCATTTCTCCAAGCACTTGTTGTTGTTGCTGGACCAGTTGCTCTGTTTGTTTTTCATTCTTCTTGGGTCGGCTTTTCCTCAGCGGAGCTTCAAGAAACGTACACTGCTGCTTGCGGAACTCGCAGTGGAGACATCGTGCGGGTTCCGAAGGTAGCATGATACAGCGGACCTTTCTTTTACGGCATGAGTCACAAGGCCGTGGTTTTTTAGAGTGAGGATTAGTAGAAGGAGCTGTAGATGCTGTGGTTGTAGACGGGGCTGCCGAAGACTCATGAGCAATGATTTCGGCAGCCATGGCAGCAGCCTCGCTGACGGACGGGGTATGTTTACGGATAGGGTATTGTTGGGATAAGGGGCTTGGTGCTTGGGTGAGTTTGGGTTGTTGTTGCTGTTGTGGTTGCTGCTGCTGCTGTTGTTGTTGCTGTTGTTGCTGTTGTTGCTGCTGCTGCTGTTGTTTTGGTTGCTGTAGCTGTAGCTGTTGTTGGGGTCTAGGTTGGGCAAGATATGGGTAGGTTCCGGTACCCGGAGGGGACTGCATATCTATAGGGCTTGGACCTGACGGACTTGGACCGTCCTGATAAGGTAATCCTTGGGGAGGTCGGAGCGACTGTTGTTGGAGTTGCTGAATAGATTGTTGTTGTTGTATTTGCTGGTAAGGATTTTGCATCGTTTGCTGTTGTTGTTGTTGTTGTTGTTGCTGCTGCTGCTGCTGCTGCTGTTGCTGCCACTGGCTCACGCGAGACCCCTCATGAATTTCTTCGGGTGACTGGAAGGTCTGCTGGATCAACGCGTCTTCTGACTGAATGCCATATTGCGAGTTATCAAGATCCACAGGGTACCACCAGTTGGAGTTATTTGGGCTGGCAAACGACGTACTTCCGCCAGTTGAGTCCGGTGAGTTGATTGCTTGGTTAAAAGTGGTCGATGTACCGGGACTCGGTTTAGGAGACACTGTTGGTGCACTCATAGATGTTGCCAGTGGACTCAGCAACTGGTTCTGGACGTTTACTGAAGTACCTGAATGGCCGGGACTCGGGTCGGGTCTTGCAAATGGAGGATGAGTCATTTCTGGGGGGGGTGCAAAGGGGCCGTTGGGAGAGCCATTGGTAGTTTGGATAGGAGGGCTCTGTTGGGTCGGGACCTGGGAATGGACGGGAGAAGGTTGCTGGCCGGTGAATGCGCCGAAGCCAGGTCCGGCCGGGCCTCGGGGGTAGTTGCTTGCCATTATTGCCGGGTCTATCGGGTGGCAGAGCAAATGAGTAAGAAATTTGTAGATTTACGTATGGGTGAGAAAGCAAAATAAATAAATAAAAAAAAAAAAAAACGGATTTTTTTTTTGACAAGAATAGCAACTTTGGCATGAGGGGTTGAGCTTACAGGGTTGGGGGATTTTATTTTAATTTTTTTTTTCTCTTGGGGAGGTTATTTTATTAAGATATGCCATAACAACCCCTCCCATTCGGGTTTTTAAACAATTGAATGACACCCGAGTCTTTAAAAAAAAGAAAAATATAGTTATAAATGATAAAAAAAAAAAACACAGACATTTATATTCAATTCAATTCAATTCAATTCAATTCAATTTGGTTCATTTATTTATCTCAATTCGTTACATATACATCTAATCAAAGGGTGTTAGGTAGGCCTCGGCAACAAAGCGTGCACGAGCATTCAAAAATAACTTCATTTCAGAAATCTCCTTGTCGACCTCCTCCATAAAGTCAATAATAAAGTCCACAAGCTTGTGTTTAAGCATTTGCTCCGTATGAAAGTTCGTAATAAGGAATGACACGTCGTAACCTGGAATGGGCTTTCGTCGTAAAATGTAAAACGCCTCTGCACGGCCTGTCAGGAAACGCGCAAATTGGCGCACCAAAATAGTCTCAATTTCATCAGCTTGCTTGATCTTAATACTGACTCGCACAGAGTTAATACTTGGCTCAATCAGAACTTTCTCATTCTCATTACGTGCAATTGTTAACGGGTTCAGTAACACCTCAGGTGTGGTTCCAAGCTCGACCTCTGGCGTGTTGTGTCGCTCAACTGTTTGCGACGCAAAGTTCTCCAAACACAAGGCAGCCGTCAATGACGAGCGCACTGCATTAAGATAAGGACGTAACGATTGGGACTAAAACGTTAGAAGTGTAGCAGATGGGAGGGGGGGAGGAAGAAGGCGTGCGCACGCCATAAAACGTTCTTACCATTGTTGAAAGGATGGAAAGGCGATTGCGGGTATTTGGTGAAGAAAGTGAGAATGAAAGAGTGAGAGAAGCTTTTTTATGGCCAGGTGGTGGTGGCTTATCGTTTAAAAAAAAAAAAAGCCCGCGACCGGGTAACTTTTTGAAAAATTTAAACCTCCACAAGCTGACATCACCACCATCATTAACTTAAATACATACGTACAAACAAACCAAACAAAAATATACAATGTCAGTCTGGCAATCGCATACTAGCGAAGACGGCAGAGTCTATTACTATAATTCGGAAACAGCAGAGTCTTCATGGGAAAAACCAGATGAGCTACTGACACCTCTTGAGCGCGCTCTCGCAAAGTCTCGATGGAAAGAGTACACAGCAGAGGGTGGCTCCAAGTACTGGTACCATGAAGACACTCAGGAAAGTGTATGGGAGATTCCAGACGAGATTAAAAAGATTATTGAAGCAAATAATCCTGAAATTAAAGATACCGAGGAACCTGAGGCTACTAAGACATCTGCAGGACCTACTTATGATACCTCTACAGCCATCCGTGGCGATGCATTCAAGTATACTTCCCAGTCCCAACTGGCACAAGCCAAAATCCCCAAGTACGATTCTGAAGAAGCTGCTACTCAGGCATTTAAAGGCATGCTTCGAGAGCGTCAAATTGATGGTGAATCACATACATGGGCCAGTGCCATGAAGCTACTAATTCGCGATCCACGGTATTGGGCAGTGACCATGCCCCTTGATCGTAAACGTGCATTTGATGAATGGAGCGATGAGATTCGCCGTGAGCGTGCTGAGAAACGTCGCCAAGCTCGCGAGGAACAACTTCAAGCAATGACTTTGGCTCTTACTGAGTACCCTTCTATTAAGTATTACACCCGCTGGCGTACTGTCAAGGATTCCATCATGACTGAAAACCCTATATTCCGCGACGTTGATGATCCCAAATTGTGTCACTACGCATTTAATGTTTATCGCAAACGTCTGCGAAATTCATACGAATCTAATTTGGCCCGAGAGCGCGAGGTTGCCATGGCCAAATTGGAAACCTTATTGGGGACCATGGGGTTATCTGCATCATCGTCTCAATGGCTAGATACTCTTGGTGAACTTAGATCTATGCCCAAGTTTTCAGATGACCCACGTCTTAGCACTATGGCTCGAGCAGATGTTCTTGCAACTTATGAGAGTTTTATTCGTAATGATGAGCGGCGACAAAACGATCAGGTTCAAAAACTTAAGAAGCTTCAGCGACGGAAGGAACGCAAAGTGCGTGAGGCATTTGTTGGGCTGTTACAGGAACTACATTCTAAAGGCTTAATCAAAGCCCGTACAAAATGGATGGATACTCGACCAATTTTTGAAAAAGATCAGCGATACATTGACATTTGTGGCCAACCTGGGTCGACTCCATTGGAGCTTTTTTGGGATCTTGTGGAGGAAGAGCGTCGGAAACTTAAGTTACAGCGTGAGCAGGTGATTGATGTGCTAACGGCCAAGAAGTTTGCAATTGACGATGGAACTAAGTTTGAAGAGTTTGCCAAGTTTGTGCAAACTACAATGGCTACAACACATTCAATTTCTGAGGAAAATCTGGAAACCATTTTTGAAGATATCAAGGCAGCTGAGGCGAAAAAACGCGAGGAAGACCGTTATGCAGATGAGCGGCGGATTATTCGTGCACAGAATGATCTCAGGGCTTTGTTTAAAGAACTGGACAACCCACCTATTGGAATTGATGATAAGTGGGAAGATGTTCGTCCTCGTGTAATTAACAGTGAAGAGTATACGCGTGTTCCAACAGAAGAGCTGCGGCGTGAGGCGTTTGACCGGTACATTAGGCGACTACAGGAACGTGAAAGAGATGTTCGTGAAAGACGACGCAAATTACCAGCATCAATCCCCCCCCCAGCAGGAAGTATTCCTAGTGGGCTTCCTGGTGGATTGCCAAGTAGTTTGCCGAATGTATTGCCTAGTAGCTTGCCTGCTCCACCGCATGGGTCTGTTACAGCAACTCCACACGGGTCATTACCGCCACCGCCTATGGGAATTCCTGGAAGGTATCCAATTCCTCGAGGGTATCCTCCACCTCCTCCACCGCCGTATTATCGTGGTGGCTATGATCCTCATCAACCCTTTTTAAAGTATTGATTTATTAAAAAAAAATTATTATTATTATTTTTTTTTTTTATTTTAATTTTTTTTTATTTACAAACTAATTTTCACCTTGTAGCAGAGTACTTAACCCAATTAATCCTAACAATGCATACTTGAAGTTTTGATTTTCTGTTAAAAGAATTGTAATGTAGCCCACAATTGGAATATATCCTTTTACAGAACCAACAACTTCGGCCTCACGATCAAGATACATTTGCTTGTGAGCATAGAGATCAAGGTCATCAAGAGCATTATTATCACCCTTTGTAAGAAGCAGTTGTTTTTTAGGGGATGCGTGTTGGCGTAAAACTCGATGAACAATTGGAATTTCACGGTCCTTGATGTTATAAACCACAATATCTCCTGTAGAGACACGATGTTCTTGGTTCCAAAGAAAGAGAATGTCACCACGTTGGAAGGCTGGTTCCATGGAACCTGAGAGGACAACAACAATAGGAGAAGGAGAGTTTGTGACGACTGAAAGACCTTTATAAAACATAAAGGCAGTGGTAACTACTAGACACAGGTTAAGTGCCTGAGCAAGGGCCTGGCGTGGTGAAAGATTTGGCAGGCTAAACATTGTTTGTTGTTGTTATTGTTGATGAAGTTGTTGATTTTTTTTTAATGAATGAATGAATAAATATTGAATTGGGTGGTTGTGATGTTGTTGAATTATTTTGAGGAGGTTGTGGTGGCAGATTAACATAAGCAATTAGTCAGCTATATGTATGTATATATATTTTCAGTGGCGATTCTTCTTTTTCTTATTATTCTTCAGTAAGTAAATTGAATTAGAATTTATTTTATGCCTCCAAACACAACTTTCTCTTTAACAAAATCCTCTCCACCCAAATCTTAAAAAGTTCATTCTTTTAACCTCCAAATATTAAAAAAAAAAAAAACAAAAAATAAAAAATGTCTACAGTTCCTGGTATGTTTATATCATATAAATATTTAATAATAAACATATCTAACTATTTTTCTAGTTGTTGTTCGCCATGCTGGCAAAAAGTATGAGCTTGAAATCGATCTTTCAGAACCTGGAATTGTATTTAAAAACCAGCTCTATTCTCTCACAGGTGTCTCCCCAGAACGTCAAAAGATTCTCGTCAAAGTAAGTCCTAATCAATTCATTTAAAAAAAAAAATAAATAAAAATAATTTATTCTAACAATTTATAGGGCGGCCAATTGAAAGATGATGCTGATTTATCGACCCTTAAAATCAAGCCTGGCCATGCATTTATGCTACTTGGTACTCCAGGCGATGATGCACAACCCCCAGCCGTGGTCCCACCCCCCAAGTTTATTGAAGATATGTCGGAGGCCCAGATTGCACAGGAAACAAAGTACCCAACAGGTCTTCAAAATCTTGGAAATACTTGCTACCTTAATTCGACTTTGCAAGCCTTGCGTACCATCCCCGAGGTGCGAGGCGCACTTAACACTTATTCGGGCCCCCCCACAGATGTGACTGGGTCACTACGTAGACTTTACTCTGGAATGGACTCTGGAATTTCTGTACCGTCTTCATTTCTATCAGCATTTAAGGCTAGATTCCCACAGTTTGCTGAGGTTGACAACCGTGGGTACCCCAAACAACAGGACGCAGAAGAAGCATGGTCTACACTGATAAATCTGCTGCGTGGCTCACTCAAGAGCTCATCAGACGTGTCGACTGTTGAAGAGTACATGTCAGGAGCTTTTGAGACAGAACTCAAGTCAGTGGAAACTCCTGAAGATGAAGTCAAAAAGGAGGTTGTTCCATTTTACAAGCTTGATTGCCATATTTCCATCAACACCAACTACCTTAAGGACGGAATTCTGGATGGGCTATCAGAAACAGTTGAGAAACACAACCCAGAGTTGGGCCGCGATGCAGAGTACCAATTGACTAAGAGAATCACTCGCTTGCCCAAATACTTAACAGTCCATTATGTGCGGTTCTATTGGCGACGCGACACACAAAAGAACTCTAAGATTCTGCGTAAGGTTGTGTTCCCTAAAGAGTTGGATGTAACAGATTTGTGCACTGACGAGCTCAAGACTCATACTGTGCCTGTACGTGAAAAGCTAATGGAAATTCGCAAAGAAGAGGAAGATACGCGTCGTGCGGCAAAGAAACTTAAGCTGAATGCTGGTGCTGCTGTAGCCTCTGCTGCTGCTGAAATTAAGGATGCCGTGACACCAGAGAAAAAGGCTGAGTACAAGGAGGCCTTGGACCGAGTGGTAAAGGAACATTTAGATCCCTCTGCAGGACCAGGTAGTAACCCATCTGGTCTATATGAGCTACAGGCAGTGGTGACACACCAAGGTGCGAGTGCTGACTCGGGTCATTATCAGGCGTTTGTGCGCAATGACGCAGAAGAGGGCCAATGGTGGCGATTTAACGATAACAAGGTGACAATTGTTGATGAGTCCAAGATTGATGCACTTGCTGGTGGTGGCGAGAGTGATTCTGCATTGATTTTGTTGTACCGCGAAGCAAGCATTTAGAGAATATGTATTTTTCTTTCTTTCTTTCTTTTTATTTTTCTTTTATTATATATATATATATATATATTTAATATATAAATATAATTTTTTTTTATCATGTCTACATTAAAGCTTCTGTTCATACTCGGCCACTTTTTGCTTAAAAGCCAAATACTCGTCGTAACACTTGAGAGGCTTGGTTGCATTATCAGTCAAGCACTTGGCCACAGCAGAACGGGCTGCAGAGGTGTCATTGTCGAGAGTATGACGTGTACGAGTAGCCTCCAACTTGTCGCTCAGCTGCTTAACCTGGGCCCGCAGGTCTGCACTGGATATGCTGTTGGAAGAAGAAGAGGATGTATTATCTGCTGAAGGATTAGTAGATTCGTCAAAGGCCTTTTTGAGAGCAGAGGCAGCATCTTGTTCGATTTTCTCGAGTTCCTGAGCCACACGGTCCTGGATATACTTTTCAGTATACTGCGAGCGAGTATAATCAGACTATAATAAATAAAAAAAAATAGAGATAAAGATTAGAAAACAAAGAAATAAAAAAAAAAGAAGCCAATTGAGTGATAAAAATATAAAAGTAAATGGTGGTGATAGTAGTAGTAGTAATAATAATAATAATAGTAAGAGTCGTGGGGTGGTGGGAATAAAAAAAAAAAAATAATAATAAAAAAAAAGAAAAAAAAAAAAAACAACTAGAAAGACAAATACACATACCTCAATAGAAGTATCCATCTTTGAAATAAGACCAGCAGAAAACTGGGTTGGTGTTGATGGTAGGAAAACCTTAGTTGAAGGTTGTTTTTCAGTAGAAGATGCTTGACCCATTGTTGTTGTTGTTGTTATTATTTATATATATAAATAAATATATATGTGTGTGTGTAAGTGAGGGAGATTATTGGGAATAGTGATGAATACTTTGGCAATGGATGATTTTGCCTTTTGGAATTTTTTTTTTGATATTTTGGCGGGAGTGGTTGAATTTTTTTTTTTTTTTTTTTTTTAAGGAAGAGGTGGAGGAACGAAAAGTAAAGCAATGTGGTTGGCCAGTAAAAAAAAAAAAATATATATATATATATATATATATATAAATAATCATGTGATATGTTACAAAAATATAAATAAAAAATCTTGTTGTTGTTACAAAATAATGTAATGTAATGTAATGTCATAAATAAATATATATAAATACGTTAAATGCAACACACCCAAATTGTGTCTCAAATGTCCCAAAATTCCCAAATGTCCCGACTCAAATAAATCAAATGAATCAAATGAATCATACATTCTTAACCCCCCCTCTAATATATCTAAACTAAATAAATACATCACATCCCACCAACTCGTTCAACAAATGCACTCACTACACCGTATAAAAGCTCACCTAATTCCACACGTGCTTCTTCACAACTCCACTCTACTAACTCAGCAAACGGGACCCGCCCGTCAGTTGTTTCAATATTCATCATTTCCTCTGCACTAGCTATGATCTCGACTACCTGTTCTTGTGTCATGTGCTTCTCCCTAGCTGCCCGTTCTACAGCATCAATTGATCTTTGGTACTTGTTTTCCTTAAAGAACTTTATGCAAACATCCCAGACTTGTACTTTGAGATCAGAGTAAGCAGATGTATTGTTGTTTACAAATACTTTTGTGTGTGTGGGTATATTTCCTCCTGAATTTTCTAAAGAAACATGCCCGGCCTGCGGGTCAATGCGTAAAATATCATAGAGAAGATATGCTGCACGTTGTTCTGGTACAACTGTGTGAATATGGGCCAAAAGTTCTGTGGCAACTTGTTTTTCGATAATCCGTAGGTATGTTTGATCATTAGTTGTTGAATGCTCTGGACGAGTTGGTTTAATTGGAATTACCAGATCTAGCTGGAGGACTTTTTGTTCTTTTTGTTCTTTTTGTTCCTTTTGTTTTTTAGATTGAGCATAATGTTTTGTAGATGATGGAGAAGAAGAAGAAGAAGAAGATGCGTAAAGTGAGCCTGTTCGAAGATCAATTTCAAATGGAATAGAAATGTCAACGGCTAAGACTGGTGATTGTGTTGATGATGGAAGCAAATAAGCAGGTAAAAAAGATGCAAGAGAAGCATGACGCTGAGCGTTTTTGTTTTTTAAAAAGGAAATGGCTTGTTTACGAAGAGCTCTTGCGTAACAAGTAGGATCTAAAAGAAGTATTAGAAGAAGGTTTCTTTCTTTTTTTTTTTTTTTTTTTTTTGAAATGAAAGAATGTATATATATAACATACATGGAAGAGGAGCTGACATTATGTGATGGAAAAGAAGAGCTTTAATATGGTGGAAAAATAAAAAAAATACTTTTTTTTTAAGAAAACAAAGAGTTTATATATATATATATATATATATAAATATATATATATATATATAAATATTGAAAAAAAAATATACTGAAACGTTGAGGATTTTTTTGTCCAAACAAGTTTGTGACTTGCCACGCGTTTAACTTTAGCAACAAAAAAAAAACGTATGTGCTATGTTTGTTTGTTTATCGAAAAGTGCGAGACAACTTTATATATATATTCATTTATAAATAATTAATATAAATATTATTCAGATCAAACTTTAAGAAGTTATTTATTTATTTTTTTTTTTGTTTTTAAGAAGAAACGACTCTTGACAACAATCATTTATTCATTGTTTATTTTGTTCGTTTGTTAAAAATAAGTTTGTGCCTGGTACCTGAAAAAAGAAAAAAAAAAAAAGGTTTACACAATAAAAAAACTTCCCACACACACACACACACAGACACAGACAAACATATGTTTTATTTATATTTATTTACCTCACTACATACTATAAATCCCCTTCCCTCCCCCGGGGACCCCCTGTGTAAATGCAAACGAGTTTCAGATACGCCGTACTGGTTGGTCTTACAATAAATTAAATAAATTGAATAAATTAAAAAAAAAAAAAAGAGTACAAAAGAAAGAAACAAAGAAACAAAAAAAAAAAATTTAAACAAAATACCTTAAATGCAATGTTTACTAAAGACATTTTTCAAAGTATGTCACGTTAAGATCCCCGGATAATCTTTAACACTAACGAAAATCACAAGCCTTGATGGCCAAGTTGGTAAGGCGCGTCACTAGTAATGACGAGATCGTCGGTTCGAATCCGGCTCGAGGCAGCGTTGTTTTTTTAATATATATAAAAAATTATTAATTTACTCTTTTTTTTTTTGTTAAAAAACTTGTTTTTTTTTTTTTTTCAAATAGTTATTGAATATAATGTTTAAATCAAGAAAATTTCCCCATTTTTCTTAGATAAAAAAAAATTTAAACTTTAAACCTTTTCTATTCTTAATAAGGGATAAAAGTCTTTGTGTCTAGGTTTTACACTGATTAAGCAAAAAAAAAAAAAAAAATAATCGCTTGTTTATCACTTAAATGAAATAACTAAACTTCTTTTTAACTTTAGAACAAAAATATAAAATAAAATCTATCTGGTACCGAACATCATGCCATTTTCAAATAATAAAAGATCATTACTATTATTACAATTAGAAGAAATATGAAAGTTTAGTTTTTTTTTTTTTTTTTTTTGTTTCTCTCTGTTGTTGTTGGTTATTGTTGAAAAAAAAAAAAAAATTACTACATTGATCATCACCACCAAGTTCACATGCCAATACTTTAAAAAAAAAAAGAAAAAGAAGAAAGAAAAGCTTTGTTTGAACATTTACTGAAACGTTTTCTCTTTCATAAATCTATATATATATATTTTTTTCTTTTATAATAATTGTAAGATAATTTCTAAAAAAGAATTAATGAATTACTATATATTTATTCAATCACTAAATAATGAATTCTATGTACTATCAAAACATGTGGGTTGACTCAATTAATTTTTAATTTTTAATTTTTAATTTTTTTTTTTAATTTTTTTTAATTTTTTAAACTCTAGTTTCTATTTATCTATTTAAGTATATACTTTAATGAAAAAAAAAAACAAGAATTTGGAAAATCCAAAAGATAATATATTGTAAAAATTTTATTTTCCTAACATGTTATATATATTCATCCTTTTGATTTTCCAAATTCTTGTTTTTTTTTTTTTAATCATCCTGATCAGTTATCATGATAACTTAAGTATAATATTCAACTCTTATCCGAAAAAAAAAAGATCTTAACTAATGAATAAATTTGAATTGTAAAATTTCATTAATTAGTAGAAAAAAAAATGATTTAATAATTTAGTATTATTCAAACTTATTTCTTTTTTTATTTAAAAAAAAATAAATCTCAATTCTTAAAATTCATGCTGCCTTATTACCATCTTTTTTTTTTCTTTTTTATTGTCGTCAAAACCAAAGTAAGTTATTATTGTCTACATTCGTAGATAAAACAACTAACCTCCTCCTCCTCTCTAGGTATCGGTAAAATCTTCTTCATCTATATATTCAATATAACTTTGATTTAATAATAAAAAAAAAAAGAAAACAAATATTTATAAATCATTGTGATAATTCTATTATTCAATTCTATTAAACTCTATATACTGTTCTTACATAAATCTCCTATATATCTGTCCTCATCTCTCCCTCCAATATCTTAACCAAAAAAAAAAAAAAAAATTCTTTTAATATTAAGTCTCCAGATCATTGCCTATAATTGCAGACATATTCCAAATCCCTCGCTGGAACCCCATCCAAGCTAATCCTTGCAAAAATGAATCTGCTAAATCATCAACTTTAATCTTCTTAGATGTCTTTTTTATCTTTTTATCTTCCTTCTTCTCTTTAATTATCTTCAGAGTTTCTTCATTCCTTATTCTTTCTTCTTTAAAACTTCCCCAACCAGCCTCTTTTATAACTCGAACTTGCTCTGTAACAGAATTTTCAACATGTGGAATTAAAAACGTAGACCTTATCACACCTTTCCCATTATCATTTCCTTGATCTTGACTCTTACTTAATACCCTTGCAGCAACATTTATTTTCCACTGCTTATTGTCTCGGTATGAATTCCCCGAGTCTTGTACTTCCAGCATCGGGAACTGTTCACGCCAGTATCCTACAACTCGTTTCGGTGCAATGCTATAGACATGTATTCCAGTTACTCCCTTTCCATTCCTCTTACTATTCCCTCCATTGTGCAATGAATTCGATCTAACAGTGGTGGCACCGGAAAATAATGCAATTTCAAGCATGTTGACACGGAGAGTCCATTCAAGAACTTGAGATGCACCACCACTCCGAAACCGCTGCCGCTCAAGTAAAAGCACAATGTCATCTGCATCGTGTGTGTTCATCAAAACTTGGTCGTGTAATAGATTCTGAGCAATATAAGAAATGTGCGCAGGTCCATATGGCTCCCAGCCATTGATTGCAATCTCCCCTTTGTACATGGTATCAAGGTCTAAGCGGTCCCAGTAAATAAGATGGGGTGATTCTTCTTTTAAGAAGGGCCGGCCTATCAGTTCGAGGACTGAGGGTGTAGAAATCAATGCCTGATCCAGCAGGCTTTGATGTTTTTCGATAATACCTTGGTTCACTTTGCCAGATAAATCTCTTGTAACCTGAGGTGGGAAATAAAATTGATTGCTGGCTGGGATACGCCATAGAAATTGACTAATGGATAAGTTACGAATGCCCATATCAATAGACACCACCTTGACAAGACGTTTGGAGTGAGGGGGTTTGCAGGCTGATGATCCTTTGACGTCATTGCAGGAAGACTGGCCACTATAAGTTTCGGCCAATAACCGCGTCATGAGTTCCTGCTTGGTTCCCGTGCTACCTAGTAGTGATATAAAAAAAAAAAAAAAAAGAATATTTGTCAAAAGTGGTTTGCTGAAGAATTCAAAAACAACGTACCTACACCGGTAAGGGCGCATAAAGAGACAAGTTTTTCTTTTAACACGCCAATCCGTAAACCGGCCATGGTGGTAGTGGTGGTGGTGGTAAAGACTAAATCTGGTCACTAAACAAAAAAAAAAAAAATTAATAATAATTACGGGGGTAAAACACTAAGAAAACCAAAGTGTAAATTAATTTATAAAGCAAACTAGTATTGATGTAAAAAAATTATGTGATTCGACCCAGGATCGAACTGGGGACGTTCTGCGTGTTAAGCAGATGCCATAACCGACTAGACCATCGAACCAATTCGTTATAATGTTTACATATTTTAAAATCTTAAAGTAAATAATTGTAAAAAGTAAATCACAGCTTTTCACAGCTTTTTAAAATTAGTGGGTCAAACAGACTGGTCCTCGTAAGCTGGCATTAGGGTCCATTTTCCGGGCTACCGGAGACGCACAGAACAGAAACCACTCGTACTAAAAAGGTACAAATGAAAACCGGCAAGTCACATAGTCAAAACAATAAAAGGATAGCGCAGATGCTGATGTTATATATTTCTATAACCCTTGAATAAAAACAAACAAACAAACAAACAAACAATTAGTGGGTCAAACCCTTGAATTAAAAAAACAAACAAACAAATTAGTGGGTCAGATAAGTCGGGAAGGTTTGGTTATTTTTAACCCCCTGTTACTCTTAAGCTGGCATCAGGACTTACTTTTAGGCTGTTGGAGATGCAATGTTGAAGCCAAAATTAAAAGTTTATTATGAAAATGAAAAGATATATAGTATGGACAAGAAGGATAGTGCAGATGTTGATGTTATATAATTCTACTGACTAATTTTATTGCTTTTTTCCTACAATTTTTTAATAAAACAAAATCTTCTACTCTGTTGGTTTTATTTTTTCTCATATTTTTTTTATTAACAATGAAAGTCATTTATGTTTATAATCTATTATCACTTCAAGTTCTCCTAATTACAATGAATGTTTTTTTTTTTTTAGACTTTTACTTTTTGTTTAATTGAGCTACTTTCCATCATTAGCAATCCTGAAACACAAATCGCTACCGTCCTTACAAGCTTCAGTGGACTTTTACGATTCATTGGCATGAAAGCAAGACGTATAAATGTTCTTAAAACAAAAAGTAATGATCCTTTAACAAATATTTCCGAATCTGACTCAATTAGTTACTTTCCACAAATAAGTTTTGAATTTGAACTAAATAAACTCAATAACGGGCTCCCTAACGACAAACAAAACACAACTGTTAACGATTGTTTAATTCCATCTTTCCCTCAAAGAAAATTTCGATTTTCTATTTTATTGATATTTTTTTTCATTCATTTTAGCCTCAAGTTACGGCTCAAAAGTTTTAAATCTAATTATCTCCAATAGTATTTATCCTAATTATGAATATAAATTTGCTCCTATTAAAAATGCTTTGAAAATTTATCCTGGTGACAAATAAAATACCTCATTATTTATTTCTTCTGATTTTGATATAAATAGGCACTGGAGCCCTGAGCCTATTTTTTATAATCCAGATGGGGATTATAGTTCAGTTGATGAATTGGAAGAAGAACACGTTGTTTATGAAGATGATCAAGTTGACTACGGCAATGTATTTTATATGTCAGGCACAGTTCTTTTTAACTATACTGATCCTTCATCAGGAAACTTTTTAAGTTGTGGTTTGACAGATAAATGGGAAAATATCAGTTTACAAATGTTAATGGTGCCTATACCCTGGAGATGAGTAAACATAATGTCTCTTTTTTTCCTCACGTTTTATGTGTAAATAACACCTTAAATAACGATGACCCAAATTTTGATATTCAATCTGATTCTCTGGAACCTTATTTAGTTATTAATCCTGGAGAAAAATTTACATTTTTTGGAGTGAACAATGAAACTAAAAAAAATTATGCCAATAACTTTTTCTATTATGACTTTCATTATGATTATTACAACCTTTCAATCGAACAACAATTTTATTATGATCCCTTGAACTTTTTTAAAAACAGTCTTAAATTATTTGATTCCAACTTATCTTCTTCTAATTACAACGGTCGTTTCAATATGGATTGCAATGAAGGAAAATTTATTATCGAAAATAATATCACACAAAGTTTGCTGGATTTTCATAATCTTTATGTTTTGGGAAATGTTAGTTTTGTGCTAAAATTCACTTTGTCAAAACCTCTTGAAGGTAACCTTTCGTCATTTGGGGTTTTTCATAATAAGGTTGTACTTGGGTATTTAAGAGATAGCAAGTTTTTAACTATTACTCAATCTTGAAACTTTGGGTATAAATATCAAAGGGTCCAATGAATTGGGGTTCTATTACCTAAGGAAAATTAGATATGAAGCAACTTCAATTGTTATTGCTATATATATATATATATATATATTTACAGTCAGGTCACACCCGAGATTTCAAATGAATCATCATCGCCTAAACAATTTCTTTTTTTTTTTGTTTTCAGTTAAAGTCATAAATATTAAGGCAAGAATAACCGATAATTTTTAATCTCTAAATAATTTTAATTGAAGCGCTGTAATCTATAAAATAAAATACATTAAAATATTGTTTGTATTAATTATCTTAGATAATATATATAGTGTTTAAGTAAGAAACAAAAAGAAAAAAAAAATGAAGGCCAACTCAAATAATATTAATATTTTTTTTTATTCATTAATGAATCATTAATTATAATTAAGAAATTGGATTATTCTTGGAATAATATCAAATTATTTTATGAAAAATTGGTTTTCTAAAGCTGAATGAAAAGTTAGAAAAAAAAAAAAAAACAATTCAATTTAATCAAGATAATGATTTAAATGTAACAAAAAAAAAGCATAGTATTTATATTAATAAAAAATAACTAATTTTTATTGTTAAATTAAATCATAATACAAATGTGTAAAAGCCTACGTAGACTTTTTAATTCAAATTAAATTGCTATAAATAAAAAAAAAAAAATAAAAAAATAATTCTCGAGACCTTTTTTACAGCACGTTTAGTTTTCAATGTGACGTATAATTAGTTACTTTGACTAAACAATTGTTTAGCCGCAAAAACTAAACACCAAAAAAAAAATCAATATAAATGTACAAAATGCTCATTAAAAAAATTTCTTAAATATATATATTTTTTTAATATCTTTTCATTTTTTACACTTTTTAAGACAAAAACATTTTCTAAAACATTTTTTTTATATTACCAATGAAGGTTTTTTATGTTTATGGACAATTACAACTACAGGTTCTCTGGATTGTTATGGATGTAGTTTTCTGGATTTTTACTTTCTTTTTAGTTGAACTACTTTCCATCATTAGCAATCCTGAAACACAAATCGCTTCAGTCCTAACAAGTATCAGTGGAGGTTTTCGAATGTTAAGCATGGAAACAAGACGTGCAAAAGTTCGTAAATCTAAAAGCAATTCATATTCAACAGATCTTTTAGGATTTGAATCAACTAGTTATTCACCACAAAGAAATGCTGATTTTGAAATGAATAGCCTAAATAATGGGCTCCTCAATGACAAACATAATTCAACAGTTAGTGATTGTTCAATTCCATCATTACCCAAAAGAAAATTTCATTTCCCAATATTATTTATATTTTTTGTATTCATTATAGTTGCAACTTATGGCTCAAAAGTTTTGAATTTAATTATCTCCAATAATATTTATCCTACTTACGAACCTACGTTTGCTCCTATTAAAGATGCTTTAAGAATTCACCCTGGTGACAAATCAAATACCTCATTATATATTCCTTCTGATTTTAACATCAGCAATCACTGGGAACCTTCAACCATTTTTTATAACCCAGATGGCAATTATAGCTTAGCTGATAAGTGGGAAAATAATAATTTTTTTTCTAAAGACATTATGGTTGACTACGAAGATTCAAAGTATATAGATGGAACCACAATTTTTAATAAAAGTGATTCATCATCTGGGAACTTTTTCAGTTGTGGTTTGACTGATAAATGGAGCAGTGTTATACTCGGGGTTAATGGTGCTTATAATCATTACATCAATTTGCCTGTTGTCCCTATATTACCCCAGGTTATGTGTATCAATAAAACATCAAATTTAAATAACAGTGAATTTATCGTTCCATCTGATTATCTGGATCCTTATTTTGGAAGTAATCCTGGTGACAATTTTACATTATTTGGAATCGACAAAACAGCAGGGAAAATTTTTGCCGGAAGCGTTTCTTATTATAACTTTAGATATGGCTATAATTATCTTTCAAATGAACCGGGATTTTCGTCTGATCCATTAAGCTTTTTAAATAGCACATTTAATTCATTTGACCTCGATCTATCTTCTCCTAATTACAACATTCTCTTCAACAAAAATAATAATGATACAACTCTTACATATATGAGAAATATCACTAAAAGTCTTTTGAAATTTATCGACCTTTATTATAACAGCGATGCTAGTTTTGTTTTGACATTCACCTTGGGGAAAAAGCTTGAAGGAAACATTTCTTCATATGGCGTCCTACATAATAAAGTAACACTTGGATATTATCGAGAAGCAGATGCTTTAGCTGTTACTCAAAATGTTTTCACCACCAGAAATTTTATCTTTGAATATGATTATAACAACCAAAATACAAATACCCCAAATTATTATTCTAACCTTATTGAACAATGGGGTGTTAGTCTCATTCCGGTTGCCTCAAATATCAAGGTATCAACATTCGTGTATACTGTGCTAAGTGAAACTTTGGGTATAACTGTAAAAGGTTATGGAGAATTGGGGTTTTATTATCCAGGTAAAGTCAGATATAATGCAACTGCTATTGCAATTGCGATCGCTTCCGCAACTTTAGCATCTTTGGTTTTGTTTTTTATTACAAAAGTTATTCTCTATAAATATCCTCAAGGTATTCCAACATATTATGGTCTATTGCATGAGTATCATAAGAACTGTTTAGATGCCAGTCCTCCATATGATGCTGAGATTGAACGCCAGTCTATTTTTAAAATCATTGACAAAGCTTATGAAGGTGCAGGGTATGATGGAAAACTGCAGAGAAATCGAGTTGGAATTCTAGACGAGGCTTCCATTAGGGTAGGAACTAATAAAAATGGAATAATTAAAAGACGATTTATAAGATAAGATTTTGAATATATTGGAATTTTAGTTTTTTTTTTTTGAATTGTAATATTAAAATTTGAAATCAATTTTTGTTAAAGTTATTAATTTTATAATGTAATGTTTGATCATTACCCTCAGTGAATCAATCTAACCCTAAAACTAAATCATGTTCAAAATAGTATGGTTGCAGCTTAAGTTTTTTTTTTTTTTTTTTTTTTTTTTTTTTGGTTATTAACATTTACTTTGAAATACGAATTCTAAGATAAGATCATTAAGACCGATGATTATTTGGGATGTTATTTAACGTAACTAAAAGATTCTAATTAGTTGAAAATAAAGTGTTGAAACATCTTTAGAATATTAACGGCAGTCATAAAAGAAGAATAGGTTAAATAAGAGGCATTTTTATCAAGAAAAAAATTATTTTTTTAGTATATTGAGATCTCAAATTTGAGAATTCATTCAAAAGAATTTACTGGCCTAAATAATTTCTAGATTAATAATAAAGTCTCAAAAAAAAAACTAATTACACTGTTGAAAATACGTGGGAGGGAAATGGGAAATGCCCCTAACAAAATGGTCGATTTCTTATAAATCTGCCAGAAAATTTGATTTTTATCTCCTCCTCGTCCTAATTCGATCATAAAAAATTACCATCTTGGGAATTCTTTGATAATCATCCACACAAACATTACTAAGATTAATTTAATTCTTACTAAAATCCAACACAATCCTGACTAATTTGTCACGTGAAACTTTTCCATTTTCCCACCCATTTATTTTCAAGTGTGTTAATTTATTTCTTATAAGAAATAAATTAACGATAAAAAAAAAAGTAGCTTAAAATAATTTTAATTGAATTAAAGCACTGCAATACAACAACACAATAAAATTTATTGTTATTAATTAATAATTATGATTAAATATAAAAAAAAAATAAAAATTAATGTGTTAATACAAAAAATAACCCAATTTTATCTTTAAAATAACGTAATTGTTAAAGCTTATGTACATACGTAATAGATGTCAATTTTAGAAATCTAATTTTTTTTTAAACGCTTAAATAAGATTTTTATGGTTAATTTATAGTGTAAGCTTTTTTTTTTTTTTAATTAAAATATATTTCTAAATAAATATTAATTCCCAAGACTTTCTTTATCTCATAAAGCACAGAAAAAACTTTTTATAATAATTCCTTGATTACGCCTTTGTTTTTTTTGATAGGAATGGTGAAAAATGCTTATAAGCATCTTTCACTATTCATCATAATTATGATGAGAATTTTTCAAATGCAACTTTCAAAATTAATATATATATATTTAAAGAAATCCCTAATAAAATGCAACTTCTCTTTTAATTCTTTTTTTTAAAATTTCTTTAGAAAAAAATTTAAACAATTTACGAATTCATAAATCGTTTAATCTTATTGAATTTTTTTTCTACAATTTTTTAATAAAAAAAAATCTTCTACTCCGTTGGTTTTATTTTTTGTCACATTTTTTTTTTCATTAATGATGAACCCCATTTATGTTTATGATCAATTATCAATTCAAGTTCTACTATATACTTTGGAAGCTATTTTTTGGCTTTGTACTTTTTTTTTAATTGAGCTGCTTTCCATCATCAGCTGCCCTGAAACACAAATTGCGACTATAGTCACAAATTTCGGTGGACTTTTACGGTTTTTGGGTATGGAAGCAAGACGTGTAAATATTCGTAAAACCAAAAGCAATGATCCTTCAAAAAATATTTTCGAATCTGACTCAATTAGTTACTCTCCACAAAGAAGTTTTGAATTGGAACTAAATAATCTCAATAATGGGCTTCCTAACGACAAACAAAACACAACTGTTAACGATTGTTTAATTCCATCATTACCAAAAAGAAAATTTAGTTTCCGAGTATTCGCAATATTTTTTTTGCTTCTTTTAGCTGCAACTTATGGCTCAAAAGCTTTAAACCTAATTATCACTAATAACATTTTTCCTTCTTATGAACTTGTGAGTGCTCCCATTAAAGATGCTTTAAGATTTCAGTCTGGTGACAAATTAATTACCTCATTATATATTTCTTCTGATTTTAATATCAATAATCACTGGAAATCTAAGCCAATTTTTTATAATCCAGATGGGAATTATAGTCTGGTTGATGATTTGGAATATGAGCATATGGTTCATGAAGCCGATAAAGTTGGATTTGAAAATTCATTTTACATGGCGGGAACAGTTCTTTTCAATAATACTGATTCTTCATCGGGAACCTTTTTGAGTTGTGGTTTGACTGATAAATGGGAAAATCTGGTTCTATATACTAATGGTGCCTATGCTCTCAGTAGAAGTTTTCCTACCGTTGCTATTTTACCTCATGTTGTATGTGTAAACAACTCTTTAAAAAATTACGACATCACTTTTGAATTGCAATCTTATAAGCTTGAACCCTATTACGTGATTAATCCGGGAGATAATTTAACTTTTTTTGGAGTTAACAATGAAACTAAAGAAATTTACGCCAATCACTTTCAATACCATGATTTTAAAAGTGGTTACTATATTCTTTCAAAAAAAAAAAAATTTTTAGACAACCCATTAAAATTTTTAGTAGACTCATTTGATTCACTTGGTAATAACTTATCTTCTAATAATTACAATATTCTCTTCAACGAGGATGATAGTCAAATGATTAGTTATGCCACTAATAATATCACTAAAAATCTTTTGCGATTTGAAGATCTTTATTATAACAGCAACGTTAGTTATGTTTTGACATTCACCTTGGGAAAAAAGCTTGAAAACAATAATTCCTCATATGAGGTGAAGCATAACAAGATAATACTTGGGTATTATAGACCTGATGACACTTTAATTATTACTCAATCTTTCTACTCTACCAAAAAAACTCTTTTTGAATTTGAATATAGTGACAATGTTACAAATGCTACTGCTTATCAAACAACTAATCCTATTAAAAAATGGGGCATTCATCTTATTCCACTTGTTTTAGATATCAAAGTATCAAGATTTGTCTATACCGTGCTAAGTGAAACTTTGGGTATAAACGTCAAAGGTTATGACGAATTGAAATTCAATTATCAAGGTAGAATCAGATATGATGTAACTTCTATTGTCAAAGCAGTTATTTATGCAATTTTAGTTTTTTTGGCCCTTTTTTTCATCACAAAACTTATTCTCTACAAATGTCCTCAAGGTATTCCAACTTATTATGGTCTATTGCATGAGTATCATAAGAATCGTTTAGATGCCAGTCCTCCATATGATGCTGAGATTGAGCGTGAATCTATTTTTAATATTATCGACAAGACATATGAAGGTGTAGGATATGATGGAAGATTGCAAAGAAATCGAGTTGGAGTTCTTGACGAGGCTTCTATTAGGGTAGGAACTAACAAAAATGGTGTAATTAAAAGACGATTTATAAGATAAAGTTTAAAATATATTTAATGTTTTTTGTTTGGAATATATAAAAATAAAAGTTATATATAACTTTTATTTTAAGTATATATACTTAATAATTTTTAATATGAATCATTTATCTTGAATGACCTAGTTTTAGGGTTGGGTTGATTCAATGGTGGTAACGATGTAATTGATCATCAAATTAGTTGATCATATAATTATTTAAATATTAGTAATACATATACTTTTTATTGAATCGTCAAAATCATTTAAATGATTTCATTATCTTCATAATTATAATTTGCTTTGAATGCCATTCTTTAAGTAAACATAGCATCTCATGAGATCAACTATAAATTCTGAAATCTACTGAAATATAAAATACCTTATTTATAATATAACCCAACTTAAGATATTTATTAGTCTAAGGCATTGCATATAGAGATAAATCATTGTTTCTATTAAGATAATCACAATCGTTTTTACAATAAAATTCATGTATAATTATAAATGATCTTTTTTAATATATAGTCATATATATTACAGTAAGTGTACTATAAATGCAATTATTTTTTTTAAATATGTGAGTGGCTATTCAAATTCTGTGTACTTGTATCAGTAAATACCAAGAAAAAAAAACAATAATCAAAAAGTTTTCAGTTCAATATAAAAAAAACCTTATATACTTGCTTTAAATCTAAAACTCAGCCTCGAAAGTATATTATAAATACTTTTTTTTTTCTAATCATTTCCCTTTCGGCTCATTAAAGATCATAATGACCCGACACCCGGGTTCCTTGGACAGGTACATGGGTTTTCAATTTCCGGAGCCTAGATCGTTCTCTTTTTTTTCCCTTCCTCTTTTATTTCAAGTCGAGTCTTATTCTAACCCTCATTTGATTTTTTTTTCAAACTTTTAACCGATTAACCGGATCTGAACTCAAATAAAAATAAAATAAAAATCTTACATTCTTATCAAGCTTCGTCATTGTCTTTTTTGCCCTTTTTAGGGGAAAAAAAATCTTATTTTTTTTTCTTTTTATCTCCGCTCTTCATTTTCTTTAATTCATACAAAGAATGGACCAACATTTGTAAGCACAGGGAATGAACAGTCAGGCGAATAGTTTTTATTTTTTTGCAAAATATTTGATTGATATTTCCAAAAAATAACCTTTTCGTGCATTGCGGCTCAGTGCAATAACTTGACGTGAAAAAAGAAAAAAGAAAAAAAAAATTGTAATCGCATCAACGGTTCGCCACGGTGGACTTTTCAAAAATATGACTTTTTTTGTTTTTTGTTCTATGTTCTATGAAAAGTTATATGATATATCATTACGAATATACGTAATAACTCTGTTATACTCCAAATTTAGGTTCCATAGTCGATTACCTTATATCCATCCATCAAACGTGTCTTTTAAGATATCTTCTTGAGAAATTCTTATCATGTCAAACTTACTTAAAAACTGGCGCTTGAGTCCCAAATCATACAGTACCAACTGCCCATTGTTCAGCTCTACCATGTTTGCAATTCTAGGGATAATACCGTAATTGCAAAACAAAAACGATTCTCGAGCATGCTCAATCTCATCTATACCAGAATTGTCTTGAAATAATCCCCATACTGAAGAATCACCTTTTATTTCTTGAGATTCTCTACCGCCTTTATTTCCTTCTCTCAGGGGAATCGTATTGTGTTCGTAGTTTTGAAAGTTGAGTAGTACTTGTTTTAAATCACCTGTACTTTCTCTCAGTAACCGATCTAACTTTACTGATGGTTGGAAAAAGTTTCCGCCAACGTTGATTGCCAAATACTGCAACGATGTGACTTGTTGGAGTTTTTCAAAAAGAACCTCAAAAAATGCCAAGGTTGCAAGCTCACTGGAACCCACCCAGCCCCCGCCGTTAAAATACCGGTATGCTGTTTGGGGGTCTTCCACAAGTGCAACCAAAGCCCTGAACGCCATTGTTGCATCCATACGGGTGATTGTTTCCGTTTGCTGATTGTGAGAGCTACTATTAGATTCATGGTGTTGGTGGCGGTGTGGATAGCCAGGGAGACTCTGCTGATGCCGTTGTTTCACCATCTGGTTAGGTATTTGACACAGCACTTGATATAATGATTTATTTTGCTTTAAAAGTGTTTGTAGTCCCGCAGTGGGGACGCGTCCAAGTGTATGGTAGATTCTCATGGTCCCCAGTAAATAAGGCTGGATTTCAGAAAAGTAACGTAAAGTTGGCGATTCCACTTCAATGCTTAAACACATAAGTAAGTTAAGCGAATCTAAGATATTAATCAAAGAAAAAACATTGTCGCGGTGCATACTGAGTGAAAGTTTAGTCAGTGTGTGGGCCACCGATACTAGCCCTGCAGAAATTGGATCGTGTTTTTGACTTACTATTGATAATTGTTGTAAACGAGGGAAAGAAAAGTATCTACATAAATCTTTAAATGCCTTCATTCCAAACCGAAACGTTAACGAGGTAACTTGCGGCAGACTGATTATATCCATTTGTTGCTGGTATGTTTCCATGTCTATTAAAGTCCGGTCATCTTCTGGGAAAAATGGATACTGGAGGGTTATATTGCATTGCTCTAAAGTTCTGGGTAGTCTGGTTAAATGTACAAAAGATTGTTGTACTAGTACTGGTGGCGAATCTTTATGCATCCAGTGATGGGAAAAGAAACGTTTAAGATTTGGGCTTTTAGATATTTGTCTGATGATGTATTCAAAGACATCATCACTTATTTCAAACATGTCGATACTTTCCAGATTTGTAAAAGCAATTGATGAGGGGAATTGTTCAGTTGATAGGAAAACATCCGAAAGATTAAGGGACGTTATTGTCTCAACAAATGGTTGCTGGAAAAATAAAGAGTTGCAATTGTCTGAAGGGCTAAAATGTAGATCAACACTTAAGATATGTGTCATTGGATAAAATCCAGGAATCAAGCAAATGTATTTTTGCGAAACAATGGTTTCAATAAGACTATCAGTTGGAAAATACCGGAACTTGATTTTTTGCAAAAAGGGGAACTGGCGCACTGCGAAAAAGGACAAGAGATAAGGCTCTGCTTTATCCATCAACACAAACCTCACGTAATGGCTTGAGAACCAATGATACTTGTTTGGTTGTTCTAAGACTTTTGCAGGTAATGGCCGGTTATAAGAAAAGGCCAAATCAGTTTTTGTATCAACAAATCCTGCTGGGACAATTTCGACTCGGTTCCATGAAATAGGTCGGAAAATGAATTGGAGAGTACTATTGCATTGGCTCAGAATCTTGCACTCTTGGGGGCTTAGGTACTCTGCGATTTTCTTGTAAAACTCTGGAGGCAGACAGTCGAGCAAAGGAGGTGGCCCTATTGTGCCAAATCCTGTGTTGGTTTCCATGAACTCAAAGCTTGGTATATATTTAGTTTGGTCTATTAAAAGTTGGAGTGAAATGATTAAGAAGATGATTATGAGAAAAGAAAAAAGAACAAGAAGAAAAGAAAACAAACGAAACAAACAAACAAAAAATTCGGATATTTTGAATTCCTTATAAATGATTTTTTTTTCTTCATGACAGTTATATGGTTTTTTATCTATTTATTTTTTTTTTCCGGGATACATTTCTCGAGCTGTCTAGAAAAATAATTTCTACCCTGTCTTTGATACTTTGTATCTGCACCCAAAGGCATCATGACCAAGAAAAAAAAACTTTATTTTCAGGTATGATTAGAAAGCCTTAACAATAGGAGGGGATAAAATGAACAATAAGCTTTCAAATCATAAAGAAAAAATTTTAGACCGAAATACATGAAAAATTCCCCGTCTTTTTTAATTATTTTTTATTTTTTGTTTTTTGTTTTAACTGTATGTATTTTATCAAAAGCCGTGAATTTATTCTATTGTTTATCCGTCTTACTAAACGTCCACTTTTTTTTTTTCTTCTTCTTCATCTTGATACTTTTTACCTATCAACGCAACCCATTCCTATGGGTTAGAACTGTCATTTCATTTCATACCATTGCGCTGGACTGCCCAAAAAGTTTGGTATATTTGAAGTCAGTTACAATGTAGTATGTAATGCGATATAAATGGATAATGACCAATTCCACAATCTACTTTGTTAATTAAAATTTTATTGAACCCCTTAAAAATTCCCATGTATTCAATGGATAGAGACCATATTTGTTTCTGATATTTTTTTTTTCAATTGTATTGTTAGATATTGTTAAAAGAGTTAAACGGTGGCAATTGTCAGCTTTTCAAAACTCCATAGAGTCTATGGCCAACCGCGGTCTCAATGGAGTTTTTTTCCCCCCAAGTCACTTGACGGCTTAAGGTTTAAACCCATTCTTTTCTCTGTCTCTAACTCGAGTAAATTTTAATTACCAGCCACCGGTGCCCATACTATTCCCGGAATCCGAAAACCGTTTTATTTTCATAAAACGGGGGAGTTTATTTTTTTTTTTAATTGGTTTGGTTTTGAAAGCTTTAAAATATTAAAAAGAAACAATAATAATATTAATATTAATATTAATATTAATAATAGTTGCTTTCTGTTAGAGCCCTAGAACCGGTACCCGCCTTCAACCAGGTTGGGAACTTAATTTATTTCGTCATAAGTGAAGACCATCATTGATTTTAAATTAAGAAAAAAAAAAGAAAAAGGTCAAATTATGTACCTGAAAACTTTTACATTCTGCTCCACTTAGTTGAGTAAATGGTCCGAGTGGATTTTAACGTCTTAGTGCGCCTTAGTAGATACATTTATTGCACAGTTTATTTTTTTTATTTTTTTTTTCTTCCAGATTACCATTTTTGGCACACCACATTAATATTAATAAAAAAATAAATTAAGAAAAAAAAAATGCTGGATTTTCCTTAGAAAAAAAATGTGGGCACATATTTTAAGCCAATAGAACAAAGGCAAAAATACCCGGATGTATACTATCAAAAAAAAAAAGATGTGTGTGAGTAAATAAATTTATTAATTGCTATATAAAAAATAATCAAACTAGGTCTACTTTTTTTTCTTACTATGATTTCATCATTATTAAATGAAGTTGCCCCCCAAATGGTATGAATGGCTTGGGTGTTCACTCAATTCACACATTTTATTAAAGGACTCCGACGGCAGTACTCCAAAGTTAAAACAAAAAGAAAGTTTTTTTTTTTTATTTAATCATTATTTCTTAGAGTGATGTTCTCTGTAAGCTAAGCAAAGTCTTATGGATTACAAAAAAGTTAGGGCAAGTGATGCAAATAAACTTTCGGTATCTTTTAAATGAAACATTGATGGAGGGGGGGTTATTTTCAATTGGTGTTGTTTCTATAATTTTTCTTTCCCATTTCTTCCTCGGTATTTAAGTCAAATACCGAAAGACGGTGTAAAGTCTTTAAGAATTTTAGTGGATAAATAGATTAAAAATAATTCCAGACTCTGACACTTTTTTTTCAAATCCCGCGTGGCGAAATTAAGTATATAATCAAAAAATAATATAATTTTATTGGATGCAATGATAAAAACAAAAGTTTATAGCCAATTCCAAGGTTTTTTTTGTTTTTGTCATCAAATGTGTGGTTAATTGAAAAATGTATGAAAAATTAGATTCTTGCTATTGTATTGATAGATATCAATTAAGAGCTACAAATAGTCAAGTGATAGTCTAAGTAATTCAATAGCAAGATTAAAACTTTGAAAATAAAATTTAATAAGAAATGAAAAGTAAATGGCATCTTTATAATAACAAAGATGGGATAGTCATTGGTATAATAATCAAATATATGGGCCAAATTACTAATTCAACTATAGTATTGAAACCGAAAAATGTTTTCTCTGGATGAGTGTAAAGCGGGTATTGTGATTAATATGTGGATCTCATAACTTATAAGCAAGATTAAAAATAAATAAATAAATATTTTATTATTACCCCTCTCTAAAGTTCTCGTTTTTCCAAAGAATTTTTTTTAACTGTCGTTACTATTTATCGATTACCAATCGGTGTTTTAATAAGATATGTAGTATGAGAAAAAAAATTTTTTCAGCATACAGTTGAGCGGCTTTTTTTTTTCATCTTGCTAGTATATTGGTATCAAATTATAAACAAATCACTCAAGTTTTTTTTGATGAACTGAAAAACTTATTTGATGGAAATAAATATGATGGGTATAATGTTTAAAAGAAAAAATCTAGGGTATACATTATTTGAAAGAATAAAAGAGTAAATTACTAAAAAAAAACTTAGTCCTTTTATTTTTTTTTATTAAAAAATAAATGATTCATTTAAAAAGAAATCCTGGGTTAAACTTTTCATCTAATCAATTTTAAGCATGTTCAAAATACAGAAAACAATAGTTGAGATGATTTTTTTCTCTCAATTTCCATAAATCTGATTGGTTAATTTTTTTTTTTTGATATCATTGTAAATAAAAATGTTTGAGATTAAAAAAAAAAAAAAAAGAAAAAAAAAAAACCGAAAGAGAAAGAGAAAAATGATTGTTTAGCAGTGCAATGGTTGCACAATCCAAAAATGGATGCTGAAAGGCCTGTATTTGATTATAAATGATTACATAACAAAATTGGTTATACACAATTGGTTGTAACTTTTTTTTTTCACTCTTCATCATTTATTTTTATTTTTAATTTTAATTTTAATTTTAATTTTGGTTTTGGTTTTTTTTTTTCTTCAAATATCATAAAAATAAAATTCTTTTTTAGGTTAATCAGCTGATGAATTTTAACGAAATAGGCTGAAAAAAGAGTCATTTTTCCTTCCCCGTTTTTCTTTACTTTTGTAATTAATTACAAATTCTAGAAAACTTTTCAGGAAGTCTTGACACAACCCAAAATACTTCCTTTCTTTTTTTTTATTCTTTTCTTTTTTATATCTCAATAATAAGTTAGAAATTAACTGTTTTTTTTTAAAAAAAAATGTGTTTTCAAATAATCAACGGATAACTTTTTTTAAAAATGATTTCATCTTTTAGGGCTAATCAGGTTGAAAAGTATTATTCCACGTCAATAGACCTTTTTTTTTCTTCTTTCTTCTTTTTTCTTATACATATAATAGGATTGTGAGTTAAAAAATTTTTATTAGTAATATTAGCCTGATAAAAAAAAAATGAAAAAATATCCAGTTACTTCAATCGGAAAATTTTGCAAGGTTTTGTTTAAGAACGGAATAATGATTCTTTAAATATCATTGCTATAGTATAGTATACGTTGAATTTACCCAAGAAATTCTTTTAGTTATTATAATAATTAATACCATTTGTGGTTCGACTTTCAAATCCATCACAATAATAATAATAATACCATTTTTGCCTGAATTATAAATTACAATTGATTGATATCTTTAAAATAAAAAAAAAAATTATTCTTGATTGCTAACTCGGACGAGATATGTTGAGTTTTTTTTTTTTGTGACTTGAATATTTGGATTTTAGATATTCTTTTGATTTTGGAAATATCTTAGTTGGGTCATTTACTACCCTCAAGAGAGTTTTTGTTTGTAGTGATATTCAAGTAACAAAGAACATTATGGCGTTTTTGAGCAAATAAGTTGAAATCTAACTAAGAGATTTTTTTTTTTTGTTTGTTTGAAGATAAAGGAAAGAATGAATAAAGGTGTGAATAAAACGTGCATTTAAATACCTCTCTTTTTCTCAGTTCAGGACTTTTAAAAGTTCCAAGTTTGGAACCATGTTCAGCAGGCATAATACCATTCCCAACAAGCAACAAGGGCATTTTTTATGCGTGAAGGGTCCACAAGGATATATGGTGAAATAGGTAGTCAGCTTCCTAGTTTACTAATATTTTTTTTCTTTAGAGTTAGACTAACAGAGAATAATTTAATTGTTATGTACTGTTAAATTATTTAATAATAATTAGGAAGAATTACTGGGGTAAAAAAATTATTTAATTTTATTTTATTTTAATTTATTTTAATTTAATTTAATTTAATTTAATTTTTTTTCAAATAATTATTTAAATCTGGTACACGAACCAAATCAAGTAGCTTTAGAGGTATTTGTAATCTCACACTCTTATTGCGGGGAGGTTAGAGAAAGACTTTTTCACATCTGTCAAACGTATATTTCTATATTTAAATAAAAAAAAAGGCAATGAAATGACCCGGGTTTTGACAGGTGTTGTTTTTATACGATTTTTAAACTTTAAATACTTAAGCGAGTTAGTTATTCTTAGAGATTTTGTTTTTATTTTTGTTTTTTATTGATTCCGCCTGCCAAACTTTTTTCCAAGATAAAGGATATTTTTTTTTCTTTTATTTTTTAAGTTATTAAAAAGACTCGATAGGAAGGAGACCTTTTATTTATTTATCAACTTAATAACTAAAGAGATTCAATAATGTTGAACAATTGTAGATATAATTGATACGAAA